AAATGCTTACTTGGAGAATCGAAAGCAAAAACTATTTGGAGATACAAAAACAACAACTAATTCATAAAAGAGTCAAGTCAAGGAAGGGAAACATTTTTTTTTAAATGTGGGAATTTACCTGCCAAGTTTCTGAAACAGCAGATGACGGGCACCAAAATACTTGGTATATCAGTATCATCATTGCTGTAGCTGCCGATTCTATGGATGGCCAAAGTGTGTAGTGTGTTGGCACAGTTTTGGCTTGCTGCAGTCAACAGCTTACATGCTGGGGAGTGATCAAATCATTTTAAAGTAAACAGCTACACAGGGTAGGGTTCAGTCATGTATGTGCTTAATAAGGCGTGTTACAATGTTGGTTGGCTATTCGTAGCAGGTCTAGGCCTTTTTACTGAGTGGACCATCATTAATGACCTGAAGCATAAACTTGGTGGTCTCAAATAGATCACCATCTTCTTCTTCTTCGTTCTTAATTTTAGTGTTGGAAGGGATCCCCTTAAACACAATAAAGTATATGTGTCAACTGGTTATGCGCCATTGAGGCCATTGACTCCGATTTCAGCCTGCTTTTCTTTTTGGCTTTGCTTCCATAGCCTTTGTCCAACCAAGTACAAACTACAAGGCAGCAGTTGTTAGAATTTGGAGTTGTCTCTAATAGAAGAGTGGCTATCCCCAGTTAACGAGCCTCATCTACCCGAATGTTCGAACTCGAGACTTTTCGGTTTAGCAGCCATTAGCTTTTACCTACTCGATCACGCCGACCCCTAAATAGATCACCAACTACTGACATCGCTCCATTTTTAAACTACCATTACTGACCAAGTCTATTTTTATGCCACAGCCCCTGAGTGTACGGTGTGTTGACCTTGATTACTGACCTTTGTTGAAATACACCTGGCAGTTACTGAGATCCAACACACGGAGCTGCAGCTGGGCCTTCAGGAGTTTTCTCAGGAGCTCAAAGACATCCAACGGGTACCGCGGCAACGCGTGGACAAGGTTGGTCAGCTTGAAGGTCAGCAGCTGTTTGTTGCGTGCGTTATTCAGGTGAGCTAGAAACTCGTACAGTTTATCGATACTAGATGTCCTATCTTTCTGTTCTATAAGAAGCAACAAAGCAAATTTGTATCGATGGATAGTCATATATTTCTAAAACTTTAGCGATGGTTTCAAAGTCAAATATTTCTATAACTGACAACGTTTATCCCAACAAATGAGAGCTACCTAGACAATGCACTTGGATATGACGTAGATGTTTCCCATTTCTTTTCACAAATCTGATCGCTTTCTGGTCGCTCTGAGAGTTGAAAACAAAATCTCCGGACTGCCATAAGGACGGCACTGAGAGTGGACGGAGCCAAGACTTGCAGGTGAGGGCGGCGTGGTACTTGTCGCTGTTGTCGTTCAGGTAAAGGAAGACTTTGAGTACAATCTCGTACGGCAGCTGGCTCCAGTCAAATGATGCCGCCTATATGTGTTACGTTTGACAAAATAGTGAAAGAGAAATGTTTTAAACATTTAGAATTTGGTGCCTAAGTGGGAACATGTTCTAGATTAAACGTTTACGGGGGAGAATCGTCGAACTTCAAACTCTACATCGCATTTTTACTGGGTGCACTCTAGCTGAATACGCAGCGTTGGCGTGTAGTAAATATTACTGTGCCTAGTGTCTCACAAGGTCAGCCTCAACACACACTAACCTTAAGTGAGTGACCATCATGTTTGACACACTAACCTTAAGTGAGTGACCATCATGTTCGACACACTAACCTTAAGTGAGTGACCATCATGTTTGACACACTAACCTTAAGTGAGTGACCATCATGTTAGACACACTTACCTTAAGTGAGTGACCATCATGTTCGACACACTAACCTTAAGTGAGTGACCATCATGTTCGACACACTAACCTTAAGTGAGTGACCATCATGTTTGACACACTAACCTTAAGTGAGTGACCATCATGTTAGACACACTTACCTTAAGTGAGTGACCATCATGTTCGACACACTAACCTTAAGTGAGTGACCATCATGTTTGACACACTAACCTTAAGTGAGTGACCATCATGTTTGAAACACTAATCTTAAGTGAGTGACCATTCATGTTTGACACACTAACCTTAAATGAGTGACCATCATGTTTGACACACTAACCTTAAGTAAATAACCATTACGTTTGACACACTAACCATGATTGAGTGACCACCGTGTTCGACACACTTACCTTAAGTGAGTGACCATCATGTTTGACACACCCACGGAGGAAGTGATACAATTCGATAAAAAGACTCAGTAATCAATGGGTACATACTACATTGGCTATCTTAAAAAATAGCTGAATTTGTTTAAAATGACACACGTCAATATCTACACAGAATCTAGGTGTAGTCTAGATCTAGACAAAATAATGGTCTTGTAAACTAGAATAGACGACCTACCAAAAGCTGATCTGCACATTTCGGGTCCCGCTTAGCCACGTCCCCCTCACAGTCAACTAGGTCAACCGTCACACGCTTGAGCCGTTTGTCAGTAGATACCGACATGACAGTTCCTATATAAGCTTAATAGAAATCTATATACTTTAACTTTAAATAAAACAACTGATTCCAGAGTTTTAAAGAACTACCTAAATCAGCGCCATATTTGATACAGTTTCCACAAATGCGCAGCACAGGAATTGATGACGTTTATTGCAAAGAAACGTATTTAGACACTAATTTAACTAATGGGATTGGAGGTTTATATTAAAGGGAACAAGGCTATCCCGCTTATCCCGCTTACATTTCATAGGTTTTTCAGACAGATATTAATTGTGTTGATTAGGGCCCAAAAACAACTTTAATAATTTAATTGTAGAACTATTAGATATACCCAGCGTTCTATAAATATTTAGAAATAATAAACGCTTAATTTATTAGTAATTTGTATTTGATATACTATACGTAGGCCTATTTGCTTTTTAAGCAAGAAACGTGTGATTAAACTAGTGTGAATACGCTTAGTAAACATGTGTGAGTTATCTGCCTTCTGCAGTGCCACTGAACATTAACGGTCCTAAAAAATGCCATCCAAGCGCAGAGGCGTAACGTCTCATTCTGCCGCTCGGGTCGAACTATCATTTTGCGCTCTCCCCCCCCCCCCTGCACTTAACATTTGGGATAGTATCTTGCTGCACTTAACTTTTGGGATAGGATCTTAGCTGCACTTAAATTTTGGGATAGTATCTTGCTGCACCTAACTTTTGGGATAGAACCTTACCTGCATTTAACTTATCCAGTTCTAAATGTACACTATAATTTTTAATAAACATATCATAACTAGGCCACGTAAAATTGTGAGTACATCGAAGGCTTTTCAGACGATCTTTCACGGATTCTCTGTACACCCAATCAATGTTAGTCTTTAGAAAGTGAAATGAAAATAAATAGAAATGTACCTTTAACACACACAGAACTGTTTTCGAGTTGCCTGTATTTGAATCAGTTTCATTACCAATTTTTAAACTATTAAACTTTTGACTTTGTTGCAAGCTTAATTATATTTGTACGGCCGCCATGAAAACAAAATTGACAAAAACACGTTTTTACTTTCTCGTATACGAAGTAGGGCCTATAGAGGAAATGTAATCGTGCAAAAAAAATCGTTTTACACTATACTTGAGTCGGAAAAATAAAGTTTTGCAATTTTGTCCGTATGTGTGTGTATGTGTGTCTGTCAACACGATAACTTGAGTACCATTACAGCTAGATTGATGAAATATCATATATAAGTATTATATCAAATTAGTAGTTCTGTGTCAACTTTTCAGCGATTTTTGGTAACCGGCCGGAAGTGAAACGTTTTCTACTTTCAACTTTTCAAAAGTTTATAACTTGAGTACTGTTTCAGATAGATAAGTGAAATTTTATTTCTAAGTAAAAAAATTTATTCTCTGCCTTCTGTCAAATTTTGAGTTATGTCCATGGAACGGAAGTAGTAATTTACGCTATTTCCGATTTCTTAAAAAACGCATGTGAATTTACAAAGTGCTATTAATACTCCGCACTATTATACACTTATTGTTCAGCATTTACTTGGTGTGAAATTCTTTTTCTTTCCAGATTCTATTCTACTATAAAGTTTAAGTAATTAAAAATGGACTAAAAATCATGTCTATATCCCGAGTTGCCATGGAAGTATTTTCGCCAACTTATTGATTTCAATTAATATAAACCCGGAGTAATCTACCTTAAACTTTCTCAAATATTCTTATATAACACTACGGGGATGGCAAATCGGGATAGAGACATGAATTTTAATTACTTTTTACATACTTAATTTTTTTTAATTAAATAGAATCTCGTAGAAAAAAAAAAGAATTGCGCATTAAGCGAACAGCAAACATTGTGTGAATAATCGTGCTGAACACTAGTATTTTAGAGATTCAAATGCGTTTTTTGAGAAATTGGAAATAGCGTAAACTACTACTTCCGGTAAACGGAAATTACTTAAAATTTGACAGCAAATAGAGAATTAGATCGTTTACGTACATAAGCTTTTCATAAACCGAAAGTAGAATAAGTTCCACTTCTGGTTACCCTAAATCGCTGAAAAGTTGACACCGGACTGCACATTTTATATAATACATATATATGAAAGTTCATTAACCTAGCTGAAGATGACAGGCCCTGTTATAAAAATAATACGTTCCCTAAGAGTCGAAAATCTAAAGTGTTTTGTTAAATTCAAATAAAAGTTGAGTACTTCAGAGGGACAGGGAGGTCTAGCGGTAGAGAGCTGTACTGTTACCCCGTAAATCTCGAGTTCGAATCCGGGTTCAAGTCAGTAGACCGTCCCTGAGTCCACGCAACTCTGATGGGTACCTAACTCACGTTACGTAAAGGGAACTTTACTTTAAAGTAAGTTTGTAACATAGTCACAATATACACGGGTTTTGCTGAGTGAATTTAGGCTGTAAATTGTGGAACTACAAGTGATTTAAAATAGAACAAAATGCAGATAATGATTTGTTTAAAATTGTTTTAATAAATGAAAACATTCATAAAACGTTCAACATAGTGCACTATACAGCACCCAGCACATGGCGCACTGTATAGCACCCACAACACGAGTCACAACGATAAGTTTTAATTCACTTTTTCACCGTTCAGTGTGACGTCACATGACACTGGGTACAGAGCCATGACATCTCTGATGGTCAGATTGTACTTCTCTACGTCATCACTCGTCTCACAGGTCAAACCTAGCGACAAGGTGTCCAGATTTTTGCAAGGCTGTAAACTGTGGACACACAGATAAAGTAGATTTTATATGCAAGTAAATGGCTTAAAGTTGTTGATACATCAGACGTACTTCGCTTAGCTGAAGGAAAAATGAATTAAGATTTGCTTCTACAAAATCTGTGGTCTTTAGTAATAACGTGAACATATGATGTATCACTTATAAATAACAAACAGTTAAACATAATGATTTTGTGAAATATGTGTGTTTTCTGTGGGCAAAAACAGAACATCGTGCCGTTGTTTTCACTGCTTGGTGGAAGGTTACTAGTGGAGAGGGCATACATCTGCCAAAGTCAACTAATAAAAAGAACTTTTTCAATATGTACATCACTAGATGTAAGTAAATTTCCTTTTTCAAACCTGACGGTCTATAGGGCAAGTAAGGTAGAAGTGCACTTGTTTCTGTGACCTCGACATTTGAAGAGATAGGGTGGTCAGGTCCATGCTCAGCTTTCCCTAACATGAGTTAGGTACCCATCAGATTTGGGTAGACTCAGGGACGGTCTACTGACTTGAGCCCGGTTTCGAACTCGAGACTTACGGGTTAGCAGTCCAGCTCTCTACCGCTAGACCACACCGTCCCTTACATCAATACATGACTTCAACTAAAATAAGACCTTGTCACACATCTGTCAAGGTATACATCATTACGTGACATCTAATATAGCAAGACAACCTTAATCAATGATATCTTCTTGTAACAAGAAATAAAATTAGACAGGTCTCTCTATTTTCTCTCCGCTCTCTCTCTCTTTTTTTAGTGATAACATCACAATGTTTCGCATTAATCCCGGTCTAATAAAAAGGCACATCGTAACAAATTATTTTAATTTAATTTAAATTATTGTAACTTTTATAAAAAAAAAAACATTTTTAGAATTACACCAGCATCAACTTCTTCTTACCCTCAAAATGAGAGCCATCAGAATCCTAAAAATGAATATTGCAACACCCTGCATAAGATGTTTTACTGCCAAGAAAATTAAGTCCCAGAACCTGATTCAATTTGAACTAATACTAGAGTAAACTCTTGTTAACACAGAAAACAGGTTAACCTACCTCTTGAACAACACTTCAAAGCACTCCATGTCTAGGCCGGTGCCAGTCTGTAGCTCCAGATTATGCATCGATTTCTGTAAAAACATACACACGCATCAGTCAAACGAACAACATTATTGCTGTGATATCGAATGGGTGTTTACATCAAAGTTAGCTTCACACCGTGTACGTCTTTAGCTCTACAGTCAAATTGTGTGAGAGAATACTCTAAAAATCAAACATTGATCACAAGCCAGTCTATCAAAACAATGTTTACTCATACATTGCCCCGCCCCTCTGACCTGTCAAAACAATGTCTACTCATACATGCCCCGCCCCTCTGACCTAACTAACCTGGAAGTGGCGAGCGACGTGTTGAAAGAACAGCTCAATGCTCTCTATCGCTATCAACCTTCCTGCGTTCCAGTGAACTTCATAAAGCGGCATAGAGGGCTGGAGAACTGTGGTTGTTGTTTGGTCAAAGTAGCATTCCTAAATAACATTGAGAATTCCGTGGTGCATCAATTATGATTACACACACACACACACACACACACACACACACATATATATATATATATATATATATATATATATATATATATATATATATATATATATATATATATATATATATATATATAGGCCTATAAGGTAACAATGCAATTGATCTCACGGACAAAAAATCTCAGGAAAAAATATAAATATTCTATAACAGTAGTTATTAAACAAAACTCTAACATTTTGAAATTGTAAATATAAATTTGAAAAGAAAATTCGACCATATCCAATATCTGGAACTTAGCATGCGATAACTAAAAATAAAACACATTTTCCTAGGTAAAAAAAAAATTGTCCCTAAGGTGTGAGAGATTTTTACGAGCGACCAAAGGTGTTAATAAAGAGATACAAAAATATGCTCACATATGTCTGTTTGATGAACACCACTGTTCTTAGCTCGGGACAAGCCTTTGTAAGCTTCTTCCATGCTGGAGCGGTCGTTCCAACCTCCTCCTCCTCCTCCATTGAGTCGTTTTCAGCTCGAATTGTGAGCACCTTCAGGCTTGTTGTTTTAGTGGCCAGTTTTAGCAGTAGGTCATCACACAGGTATTCATAGCTCAGCTCCAGGTCTGAAAGTCACAAGGTCTGGTGTTATGTAAGTAGTCATAGCTTCAGGTGTAAAGTTACAGGGTGTGGTGTTATGTAAGTAGTCATAGCTTCAGGTGTAAAGTCTGCTGTGCTGAATCACATTTTTGAGTTCATTTGCAAGAATTCGACCTCAAAACGAGGCACACTTTAAGTTTTTTCAACTTTTTAAAGTAGATTTAAATTATGTTTATTTAAAATACTTACAGGGAGAATCAAAAGCAAAAACTATTTGGAGATACGAAAACAACAACCAATTCCTAAAAGAGTCAAGTAAAGGAAGGGAAACATTTTTTAAATATGGGAATTTACCTGCCAAGTTTCTGAAACAACAGATGACGGGCACCAAAGTACTTGGTATATCAGTATCATCATTGCTGTAGCTGCCGATTCTGTCGATGGCCAAAGTGTGTAGTGTGTTGGCACAGTTTTGGCTTGCTGCAGTCAACAGCTTCACGGCTGGGGAGTGATAAAGTAAACAGCTCCACAGGTTAGGGTTCAGTCATGTATGTGCTTAATGGGGCGTGTTACAATGTTGGTTGGCTAGGCAGGTCTAGGCCTTTTTACTGAGTGGACCATCATTAATGACCTTGTCTAAACATAGACTAAGTGGTATCAAATAGATCACCTTCTTCTTCTTCTTCGTTCTTTATTTTAGTGTTGGAAGGGACCCCCTCCAACACAATAAAGTATATGTGTCAACTGGTTATGCGCCATTGAGGCCATTGACTCCGATTTCAGCCTGCTTTTCTTTTTGGCTTTGCTTCCATAGCCTTTGTCCAACCAAGTACAAACTACACGGCAGCAGTTGTTTGAATTTGGAGTTGTCTCTAATAGAAGAGTGGCTATCCCCAGTTAACGAACCTCATCTGCCCGAGGGTTCGAACTCGAGACTTTTCGGTTTAGCAGCTATGAGTTTTTACCGACTCGACCACGCCGACCCCTAAATAGATCACAAACTACTGACATCTTTCCATTTTTAAACTACCATTACTGACTAAGTTTAATTTTACACCACAGGCACTGACTTCCGTCTATGTGTAGATCACCAAAACAAAGAGTGTACAGTGTGTTGACTATATCACCAAAACTAAGAGTGTACAGTGTGTTGACCTTGATTACTGACCTTTGTAAAAGGCCACCTGGCAATTACTGAGCTCCAACACGCGGAGCTGCAGCTGGGCCCCCAGGAGTTTTCTCAGGAGCTTCACGACATCCGACGGGTACCGCCGTAACTGACCTGCAACACGCGGCAACACGTGGACAAAGTTGGTCAGCTTGAAGGTCAGCAGCTGTTTGTTGCGTGCGTTGTTCAGGTGAGCTAGAAACTCGTACAGTTCATCGATACTAGATGCCCCATCTTTCTGTACTATAAGAGGCAACAAAGCACATTTGTATCGATGGGTATCAAAGTCATAAAATTCTACCACTTTAGCGATGGTATCAAAGACATACATTTCTACAACTGACTTAACGTTTATCCCAACAAATGAGAGCTACCTGGACAATCCGCTTGGATGTGACGTAGATATTTCCCAATTTTTTTTACAAATTTGATCGCTTTCTGGTCGCTCTGAGAGTTGAAAACAAAATTTCCGGACTGCCATAAGGACGGCTCTGAGAGTGGACGGAGCCAAGACTTGCAGGTGAGGGCGGCGTGGTACTTGTCGCTGTTGTCGATCAGGTAAAGGAAGACGTTCAGTACAATCTCGTACGGCAGCTGGCTCCAGTCAAATGATTCCGCCTATACGTGTTACGTTTGACAAAATAGTGAAAGAGAAATGGTTTAAACATTTAGAATTTGCTGCCGAAGTGGGAACATGTTCTCGATTAAAAACTTACGGGGGAGAGTCGTCCAACTTCAAATTCTACATCGCCGTGTTACTGGGTGAACTCTAGCTGAATACGCGGCGCTGGCCATCATTGAGTGACCATCATGTTTGACCAGAGGCGTAGCGACCCTTCCCGGCGCCCAGGGACAAACTTTCAATTTGGCGCCCCCTCAAACTGTTTATAATGCAAAAATGCAGCTAAAATGACATTTTAATTTGTTTTTACAACCCATTTTGGTGCCCCCTAAGCCCCTAAGGTCAGCGCCCGGGGACATATGTACCCCCTGCCCCCCCCCCATCGCTCCGCCTCTGTGTTCGACTCACCCAATAAGGAAGTGTTACAATTCGATAAAAAGACTCAGTACTCAATGGGTACATTGTCTATCTTAAAAAGTAGTTTAATTTTTTTTAAAAATGACAAACTTCAATATCTACGTAGAATCTAGATCTAATCTAGATCTAGATAAGATAATGGTGCTGTAAACCGGAAGAGACGACCTACCAAACTCTGATCTGCACATTTCGGGTCCCGCTTAGCCACGTCCCCCTCACAGTCCACTAGGTCAACCGTCACACGCTTGAGCCGTTTGTCAGTAGATACCGACATGACAGTTCCTATATAAGCTTAATAGAAATCTATATACTTTAACTTTAAATAAAACAACTGATTCCAGAGTTTGAAAGAACTACCTAAATCAGCGCCATATTTGATACAGTTTAAACCAATGCGCAGCACATGAATTGATGACGTTTATTGCAAAGAAATGTATTTAGACATTAACTAATAGAATTGGAGATTTATATTTGGGGGATGAGGCTATCACGCTTACATTTCATAGGTTTTGTGTTGATTAGGGCCCAAAAAAACACATTAATAACTTATTACTACATTTTTCAATGTAATGTGTATAATTATTTAGAAATAATATACGCCTAATAATAGTAATATGTATTTGATATACTATACGTATTTGCTTTTTAAGCCAGTAACGTGAAATTAAACTAGCGTGAATACGCTTGAATAAACACGTGTGAGTTACCTCCCTTCAGCAGTGCAACTGAATGTCAGCGGTTTTAAAGTTATGCCATCCAAGCGTATAGGCGTAGCATCCCATTCCGGCGCCCGAGTCGAACTATCATTTTGCGCCCCACTCCCCTATTTCTATGTAGTTATTCAAGTTGGTGAAAAAGCGCCTCCTCCCCCCCCCCCCCCCCCCCCTCAGTCGGAAAGGTTCCTGGTACTTTTTACCAGTCACTATGCAGTATAGATCTAGGTTTTTAACGGGTTTACGACAAATTTCCGAAAGAGACTTGCCCGAATGCGACAAATGCCCAATGTGCTAGGTTGGGGTGAGGGTGGGGTTGGATTATTGTGACTATGCGTTAGGTTGGGGTGAGGGTGGGGTTGGATTATTGTGACGATGGGCTAGGTTGGGGTGAGGGTGGGGTTAGATTATCTAGGTTGGGGTGAGAGTGGGGTTGGATTATTGTGACAATGCGTTAGGTTGGGGTGAGGGTGTGGTTGGATTATTGTGACGATGTGCTAGTTTGAGGTGAGGGTGGGGTTGAATTATTGTGACGATGCGTTAGGTTGGGGTGAGGGTGTGGTTGGATTATTGTGACGATGTGCTAGTTTGAGGTGAGGGTGGGGTTGCATTACTGTGACGATGCGTTAGGTTAGGGTGAGGGTGGGGTTGGATTATTGTGACGATGGGCTAGGTTAGGGTGAGGGTGGGGTTGGATTATTGTGACGATGGGCTAGGTTGGGGTGAGGGTGGGGTTGGGTAATTGTGACGATGGGCTAGGTTGGGGTGAGGGTGGGGCTGGATTATCTAGGTTGGGGTGAGGGTGGGGTTGAATTATTGTGACGATGCGTTAGGTTGGGGTGAGGGTGTGGTTGGATTATTGTGACGATGGGCTAGGTTAGGGTGAGGGTGGGGTTGGATTATTGTGACGATGGGCTAGGTTGGGGTGAGGGTGGGGTTGGATTATTGTGACGATGGGCTAGGTTGGGGTGAGGGTGGGGTTGGGTAATTGTGACGATGGGCTAGGTTGGGGTGAGGGTGGGGCTGGATTATCTAGGTTGGGGTGAGGGTGGGGTTGAATTATTGTGACGATGCGTTAGGTTGGGGTGAGGGTGTGGTTGGATTATTGTGACGATGTGCTAGTTTGAGGTGAGGGTGGGGTTGCATTACTGTGACGATGCGTTAGGTTAGGGTGAGGGTGGGGTTGGATTATTGTGACGATGGGCTAGGTTAGGGTGAGGGTGGGGTTGGATTATTGTGACGATGGGCTAGGTTGGGGTGAGGGTGGGGCTGGGTAATTGTGACGATGGGCTAGGTTGGGGTGAGGGTGGGGCTGGGTAATTGTGACGATGGGCTAGGTTGGGGTGAGGGTGGGGCTGGATTATCTAGGTTGGGGTGAGGGTGGGGTTGAATTATTGTGATGATGTGCTAGGTTAGGGTGTGGGTGGGGTTGGATTATATAGGTTGGGGTGAGGGTGGGGTTGGATTATTGTGATGATGTGCTAGGTTAGGGTGTGGGTGGGGTTGGATTATATAGGTTGGGGTGAGGGTGGGGTTGGATTATTGTGACGATGGGCTAGGTTAGGGTGAGGGTGGGGTTGGATTATTGTGACGATGGGCTAGGTTGGGGTGAGGGTGGGGTTGGATTATTGTGACGATGGGCTAGGTTGGGGTGAGGGTGGGGTTGGATTATTGTGACGATGTGCTAGAATGCGGTGGGGTTAGATTATTGTGACGATGGGCTAGGTTAGGGTGAGGGTGGGGTTGGATTATTGTGACGATGGGCTAGGTTGGGGTGAGGGTGGGGCTGGGTAATTGTGACGATGGGCTAGGTTGGGGTGAGGGTGGGGCTGGGTAATTGTGACGATGGGCTAGGTTGGGGTGAGGGTGGGGCTGGATTATCTAGGTTGGGGTGAGGGTGGGGTTGAATTATTGTGATGATGTGCTAGGTTAGGGTGTGGGTGGGGCTGGATTATCTTGGTTGGGGTGAGGGTGGGGTTGTATTATTGTGATGATGTGCTAGGTTAGGGTGTGGGTGGGGTTGGATTATATAGGTTGGGGTGAGGGTGGGGTTGGATTATTGTGATGATGTGCTAGGTTAGGGTGTGGGTGGGGTTGGATTATATAGGTTGGGGTGAGGGTGGGGTTGGATTATTGTGACGATGGGCTAGGTTAGGGTGAGGGTGGGGTTGGATTATTGTGACGATGGGCTAGGTTGGGGTGAGGGTGGGGTTGGATTATTGTGACGATGGGCTAGGTTGGGGTGAGGGTGGGGTTGGATTATTGTGACGATGTGCTAGAATGCGGTGGGGTTAGATTATTGTGACGATGGGCTAGGTTGGGGTGAGGGTGGGGTTGGATTATTGTGACGATGTGCTAGGTTGGGGTGAGGGTGGGGTTGGATTATTGTGACGATGTGCTAGAATGCGGTGGGGTTAGATTATTGTGACGATGGGCTAGGTTGGGGTGAGGGTGGGGTTGGATTATTGTGACGATGGGCTAGGTTGGGGTGAGGGTGGGGTTGGATTATTGTGACGATGTGCTAGAATGCGGTGGGGTTAGATTATTGTGACGATGGGCTAGGTTGGGGTGAGGGTGGGGTTAGATTATTGTGACGATGGGCTAGGTTAGGGTGAGGTTGGGGTTGGATTATTGTGACAATGGGCTAGGTTAGGGTGAGGTTGGTTATGGAACGTGACGGTGAATATTCTTTGCATTTCTGTGGAAAATAACTTTACTCTAGCCATCGTGATGATGTGTTAAGACAGAGCATAGACTCATAGAACAGAGCGTGCACAATAAGCTATTTAAAATATTATTATATAGCCTACTCTAGATCCCAGAGAATATTTGGAATCGACCCTTCAATACCTGGCAGAACGAGCCCCATGCGTGGCCTCATCCAACCGGCGGGCTTGTTAAATATAAATTCAAAACAATAATATAAACAATATATCTTTTAAGTAGGCCACTCCACCCACACTTGGTGTTGTGTGTTGTCACGTTGTGCTTTAGCTAAAACAATAGGCTATATCCGGTTTTCGGTCTGCCTTGGCTGTTTTGCTAAAATAATCAATTGTTAGATTTTTTATAGGCTTCATGTATTCTGGATTCCCATTATGATGCCATTATCATATCCTAATGCTTGATTTATCGTAAATTAATTAAAGCTAAATAATTTATTAATATAGGTAGACTCTAAATAATGAATAGTCGTCATGAAAATAGCATAGATCTACATTGTGTTTTAGGTAAAAATAAAATCGGAAAATTCCAAACTCGGGAGATATTAATAGATCTAGTAACGGTGTTAACGAAACGTTATCGATTTTGTTAGATGTTTGTTTTGGTTACGATGTGGGAAAATGGCGACAGCCAGATACCATTGACAAGAGAGTTAAGACCTAATAATTGTCATTTATTTTTAAATAACAAATCGCCGTATCAATTGTTATTGGCTTGGCTTGTCGTATTCTAGGTCACACTAAAAAAAAACTTAGTAGACTCTAGCTAAGTTTAGTTATAAATAACTAGATCTAGATCTATAACTTATAGAATGTAGTTATTTAGTTTTAAGATTTTAAGTCCCGTTTACGATTTACTCACTCAGACTTTAGTAAACGGTTTAGTGTTCACTGTGTTTAGTCAGTGTGTTTAGCCTAATCAAATCTTAATCTAGAATAAATAGGCTAATAGAATCGAGCTCAATTTATTATTTTACAGCCAGTAAGTTAATTAAGAGTTAAGACTTACTGAAAATATTACAGATAAATTTATTTCAAATAAATAATAATAAATAAATATCATTATAGTATACAGTATAGCCTACTTGTAATAGCCTACAATTAATAACTATTACTATTACTAATGTACTACTAATAATCAGATCGTATATTCAACTACACTTGTATTTCTTTACAAGGAAACCTATGAGACTAAGGCATGGCTAATCTAGCTGTCCATGAGAAGGCAGTACATGATGGCAGTGATTTAGCTAAACTTTTTCAAGGTAAAAAATTGAATAGTAAATTCAGTAGTTTATTATAGGTTATAATAACTTTGTAATGTATGTAGAAGAGAACAGAAAATTAATTTGTTTATATTTATAGGTTATAATAACTTTCTAGTTTATGTAAAAGTGAATAGTAAATCCATTAGATTATAATAACTTTCTTATGTATGTAGGTTAATGTAGGTATAAAATACATTATCAACAGGCAGTTATAACATTTATCTTAGCTTATTAATTAAATTATAGGCCCACAATGGTTTAGGATTAAAAGATTAAGCTTTATTTATTCACAATATTGTGGCAAATGGGTTTAACTGCATGTCTACCTGTGATGAGCAATACAAATGTCTACATCTCAGTGTACTCTGCCACATTTATAAGTATTTTTAAACCTGAGTTAAGCCAGTGCTAGAGTTGTGAAGAGCTCCGCTGAATAAATATGTATTAATATGTGATATAGAATAAAGAGTTATGTAGCATTAGACACTGTGTGTCACAAATATTTTTTACATCAACTAAGGTACACATGAGGTACAAGAATGCCAGCCAGGGGAAGGGGAGCCAACTCTAGCTCAGTACAAGACAAACTGCAGGAAAAATCCTGGCCACGCTGGGTTTATCGCAGTAAACAACTTTGCCATCAGCCACCTGCCTTCTGGTTACCATGACAACGACATAGCTCAGCTGATCTCATGCCTAGCTGACTTAACTGTGAAGATTACAGTTAACTTTAACAGCCTGGAGAGGCCGAAGCACCTCCCAGGGAACGATGGCGTGTACCCTGGGTATGGGATGAGAGGAAGAAACTCATTGAGGACAGGGACGGGGAGGGTGTGGCGAGCCATCAAATACACAGAGCTTGTCAAGACTTGTCCGTGTCCAACGTGTCAAAGTTCAGACACACCCAGCAAGGTGTGGGGGGAGGTTGAGGTCGTGACCTCCAGTCATGTGATATTTGACGAGAGCGAGGCCAAGCAGTCCAGATGTAGGCTGTGGTACAACGACGACAACTCTCCGCTGGTCACCCTGGATGGGTTTAGGGTGGACAAGTGGGGGTCAGGTGCTGTGGATGGCTGCAGGCTGTGCTGTGTGACGCATGACTTAAAGCTGGCAGACAAGCTGCAAGAGATGGTCAACCAGTTTGATGATCTGAGGTACACTTTAAAAAACAAATACAAGAACACGGAAAACAAGCTGACGGTTCTTGTTTCACATCCTCACGGCTGCTCTAAACTGATCTCTGTAGGTCACTGGGTGCACAGGCAGGGCAACAAGGCCAGCAGGTACACATACACCAACTGCACATGTCCAGGTAGTGGTGGCGCTACCGTCTACAGGCTGGGGTGCGGGTCATCAGAGCACTCCCATATTGGGACCAACTCGGATGGTCTCAGTTTTTGTGGTGCACATTTAGACTAGGTTGTTAATGGCCTGGGATGGCGTAGGAAATGGGCTGTTGCCAACATAAATTTTTGTGGTGCACATTTAGACTAGGTTGTTAATGGCCTGGGATGGTGAAGAAATGGGCTGTTGCCAACATGAATATTTTTTTATGTATGTCTGAGACAGAGTAGCCAAATGGTAGAGATACAACTGCTAACACCAAAAGTACCAAGTTTGAATCTGGGATCAAGAATGTAGAACGTCCCTGAGTCCACCCAGCTCTGATGGGTACCTCACTCACATTAGGGAAAGTAAAGGCGGCTGGGCATAGTGTTGACCATACCATCCCTTCACATGCAAAGGTCACAGAAACAGGTGAACTCTACTTCACTTGCCCCATGGACCATCAGGTTCGAAGCGGAACTTTACTTTTTTTTTTACTTACTTTGAGACCACACATCTGGGCATTGTTCTTAATGTCTAGGTCAAGTTTGGGTCCTGGCTAAATGGATAGGGCATCATTGAGTCCTCATAACTAGTACCAGTACCAGACTCAAGTCAGGGAAAGTAAAGACAGGCCACTTAATCCCATTATATGTATGAGGTTCTAGAAACAGATGACTTTTAGTCTAATTTTGTACTGTCCAACTTGTTTAAACTGTATCCTAGCAACCACATCTCTAGCTTTGCAGAGATTGTCAAAGCGAGTTACCTGCTCATTTACCTGCCATTTTTGTTCATGCCATTAATTTTTTTTTAGTAGGCTAAGAATTTCCAAAAAAAATGTATTACTATTAATATGTATGTGTTGTATGTAATTACATTCAAAACTTTAAAAAATTTTTCTTGAAAGTGTTTGTATTTGTATGTACTTCAGAATGTTTATGTACTGGTAAAAAGATACAGCCATTCAGATTTTATTGTTTTCCTTTGTTACACTTTTGGTCTTAAAACATGATGACTACTATTATGATGTAGCATTTTTGACACAGAGATCTAAAATAAAAGGAAAACAAAACTTTAAAATTGTTACACTTTGTGTAGAGTTTTAATTCTTGTAATATCATTAAACATGATTTGTACAGCTTTATATTCAAATACAAAATTTATTTACATTAGTTTTACAAAATTAAAACAATTGTATACACTATAAAAAAATAAAGTTAAAAATTAGATTATTTTTTTGTAAAATGTGATTGACAGTGAAAGTAAACAATGGAATGTGAAGTGATTTCCTTTGCCAGGATAAAGTACAACAAATTATATAATGAAGTTATTACAAGGTTTTTCAATAATGGAATGTGAATCTTTGCACAAAAAAATAAAATTTTGTTACACAATGAGTAAATCACAACCTTATGAGCAAATAACATGAATCTCCATTAACTGTTGCGAGATATTTACATGGAAGAAACAAATATATTGCATTATAATACCATGGATACTGTGACTGGTATTTGCTGTAGTGTTGTGAAAAGAAAGACCAGTCTGTGCTAATGATGTGTGTGAGAGTACCAAGAGGGAGAGAGATAACATGACTTTAACATGATAACTTTTCTATCAACTATCGGCACCGCTGCTAATTAAACTACAATTTATTAAACTACAAATTATTGAATGTCTGACTTAGGTATTAATTACATTCTTATGTTTCTGATGTCTTCACTTATGTTTTGTAGAATGTTCATTTCTTTACTACAAACTTCTTGCGCCAACATATCTGGGACTTTCAGTGACATATTTAGTGCTGTTTTTACTTAGAAAATTTACATTGATAAAGTGGAGATCATAACAACAGGAGCGAACTTTCCTAGAGTAGACTGAGGTGTATTCCCCAAAAGGATTTAGCCGGTAGTTAAACTTTTTAAACCCCAACTCCTCAAGTGCCTTTAACGTATCAAACATACGGAGAAAATCTGACTTGTCGTTCTGCTGTGTACGAGGTGGCGGAGGATTTTTCTTCAGTTTGAAGATGCGATACATCTCCGGTGTGTGGATCTCAAACGCCAACTGCTTGACATACTTGAGTGAGTTATCCCTCACCGCCTGACGCAGGACCTCCCACTCCGAGAACTCAATGTCCATCTTCACATAGTCAACAGGCACCTACCAGTAGAAAATTGAAACCATCAAACAGAAATCAAGTTTTTAAAAAACTGAAAATAAGAAAGGAATGACATTTTCAAAAAATTATTTTTTTTTTATCTTATGATCAAATACAGGTTTTTATTGACATAATTAAGAAAAAAAGGTTTAAAAATTAGATTATAAGTTTAAAAAAATAAATGTTTTTGTATAGATATTAATGCAAAACATGACAGTGTTGCAAGGGACTGCTAACACATAAATCACGAGTTCAAATACCAAGCTCAGGTCCTTAGTCCTGTAGGGGCTGGGCATAGTGACCATAATATCCCTTCATATGCCCAGGTCACTGAAACAGGCTAACTATACTTATTCTGACAAATGGGCCACCAGGTTTGAAAGTGTAATTTACTAATAAAGCAAAATATGCATTCAATAAGGTAACAAAAAAACACCTTTATAATATTGTTGATCATGAAAGACCACACAACTCACCCCCCAAAAGCCCTCATCTTTGAGGTGCCGAGCCAATGTCTTCATCTGCCAGCCTTCAGGACTGATCCCATTCCTGGCACCAAGTCCAGTTTTCCGAAAGTCAATCAGTGCACTCCGTTTCACATAGGTTTCATTCATACTGCAAAATTTTAGAAATTATTATCTCCGTCCTGCCAGATTGTATAAGATCATTCAAACTGCAACATTTTACAAATAATTATCCATCCTGCCAGATTTTATAAGATCATTCATGCTTTAAGATGTTAGAAATATAATCCATGCTGCAAGATAAACACAACACAGAACAGCTTTAGATTTATTTACCGCCTCTGCATTCTCGCTTACCTGGGATCAAAAGCTAGGACATGACAGTGAAAGTTATTGGCGACACTGTCATCAAATTGCCAGTCATAACCAATGCTGTTGAAACACACATTGCAGGTTAAAGTACAGATAACTACACAATACACATTAATACAAAGAAAAAACACATAAATAAAAAAAAAACATAATATTGATATATACATATACTGATATATATAAAAACATATACAAATAAAAAACATAAATACAGATAAAAAAACAATACATAAATAAATATAAAAAGCACGGAAATACAGATAAAAAATATGCATATAAAAAACAAATACAAATAAAAAACACATAAAAACAGTTAAAAACACATAAATACAGATCAAAAACATAAATGCAGATAAAACTACAACTTTAAAAACATACAGCTCACAATCATACTGTGAGTAACATACGCCTGGAGAGATTAACTGGTTAACACAAAACTTACCCAAAAGAAAAGACAATACATGGGCGCTTGAATAAGAAGGGAGGGGAGAGGCAAACATTCCAGCCACCCTCATTCCAGTTGCCAAGGCGAGTGTCTTTAAGACAGCGGACATCTTTGTTTTCTAAATACCTGAAACGTATTGGATTATTTTTTTTGTACATATTTTTCACATCCAGTTCATCATAACTATTTGAACTCCTTTTATAATGTCATAGAGATAATTCTGACTTAACTTGTTATGTATAAAATATTTATCTGAAGAAATGGATACAATAGATCATTTCTTGTGCATGATCCAAAAGGTTTTAAGACAACTTAAGGTTCATCAGTAAAGTAGTTTAACATCCAAGTAAAAAGTTGAAAGCCTTCTACAAACATTTCGATAATATTTAACATATTAGTAACTTTATATGAAGGTAGATACTTAATGTAAAAGCAATTTCTATGACAGTTTCAGCTAATTTAACAGAAACACAACAAAGTAGTGTTAAAAAAGCCTAAACACAGCAAAATAGTATTAAAAACAAATAAATTACTTCAAATGGCCAGTCATACAAACCTCAGTTTACAAGTGTATATTTTTAAGCTTGGTCAGTTGAAGTAAAGCCTCTCACCATTCTACTAGATGTATCATATATGAAAGTGTCTACCCTAATACAGTTTAAGATCACCTGAAAAACTGCTCCTCCACTTTAGCAATAGGCCAGTCCTGTTGAATGCTGACAGATGGTTTGATCTTCACCTCAATCTGTGGGATCTTGGGTGTGACAATTGCTTTCTGTAAAATCACTTCATATATCAGTAAAATACAACATAAAATGCATTTATTTAGCAAAATACTAATGATAATTACTAACTTACTTAGTACAGTCTGTCTGACAAATTATAGTTATCTTACATATTTACAAAAACAAAACCCTTTTCCATCTAGATCTATTAGCTAAACATATAACTCAGGGTCAGACTTCCAAACCTTCATTCATAACAGATCTACTGTACAAGTGAGCTGCTATACAACGATGTCATACCCTGGTTGTTTCATCTGGAGGCCCCAGGTATTTCCAAAGCTCCGGGTCTACATATGGCCTGCTGTAGTAGGGCTTGCTTAGTTCATTGTTCAGCCAGATGATGATTGCAATCGTGAACAAAAGTAAAACAGCTATTACGGCTGCACGCTGCTTAGTTCGGAGTCGAATCATCAAGGTTTCTGTCATCACATCAAATATTTGTTTTGATGATTCTACAAGATTTCACACAACAGTGCACAATCACAATTGTATCTTCTTTCTAGCTCATGAAGAATTTAATTAAATTTACTGAAATGAAATATACATGATAAAATAGATCTATAGACTATAGGGCCTACATTGTATTTATTTGATCTTAATGACTAGTTTTTTTGGCTTTTTTAAAATTGTGTTTAAAGTTTAGTTAAAGCTTAATGAAAATACTAATAACATCAAATAGTCAATAGCCAACATCCAATGTTTAGTTAAGTCAGAGAAAAACACAAATATTTTATAACTACAATTTATTTAAGGGCAGAGTCTTGCCGGAACAAAGTATGCATGTACAGTGGGGTGGAAATGTTTTCAATGTTGTACTGCACATGCAAGCCATATATCAATCCTACCTAAACCTAATCTAACCATAACCCTAATGATGGCTAATATTAGTTCGCCTAATATTATTAATAATGTCTAAAATTTAACCCGTGCCTTAACATACCACATACCACCATATGAATAATGCGGTGGTAATGAATAATCAGTGGCGTAGCCAGGATCGTCTCAAGGGGGGGGGGGGGGGGGGGTTCTAATTTTTACCCGAGGACAAACTTTCAATTTGCACCCCCCCCTCAAACTTTCAATTTCCACCCCCCTCAAACTTTCAATTTGCACACCCCCCTCATACATTTTCTATATACCGAGGGGTCTATGGGGGGGGGGGGGGTTATGACCCCCCCCTAACCTTCCCCTGCCTACGCCACTGTGAATAATGCCTAGCCCCTAACTCTAACTTAAACTAAAAAAAGTAGGCTGGCAGGCCTAACAGTCGGCTAACACAACAGTAAACAGTTATAATAAGTTAGGCCCTATAATTTTCAACAAACAGCTGCACTGTCTCTAGTCTAAGTTTAGTTAGTAAGAAGTAGGCCTAATCTAATAATTAGTTTAGTATTAAGTAAGTTGAGACTAGATCTAGAATCTCTCTCTATTCAACTCAGACAGCGGCGTTCACTCACTGACTGACTAGATTTACTGATTTTAGATTAGTTTCATCCGTTGTTATTAGACTCTAGATCTATTATAAGATCTAGAATCTAGATTTAGATCTACTTAGGGGCCTATTCATACGAAGATCGCTTGAAAAACATATTTACTTCGAAAATAGGCCTAATAGTAACTACTGTAATAGAGTTTGAGCTCAATAGAATAGAGTTTGATGTCAATATTATTTGTTTTTAAGTTTACATGGGCGCAGACATTTTTAAAGGGACGTTACCATTTTTTAGTTCTTTTAGTTACGAAGATGCAAATACATCACCCAATGCCACTCTCACACGTATAATTTTAAAAAGTATCACTTGTTTTGAACTGCTGGATCTGCTACGGTAGAAAAATAGACTATGGGGAAAATAATTATTCTCATCTTTTTGATAATTTTAATAAATGTATGCTGTGCAAAGAAATCTAAAGAATCTAAGAAAGCAAGTGACGGTGGATCTGAAAAGTGGAAGAAGAAAGACGTGAGAGATTATAACGATGCTGATATTGAGCGGCTTTTTGAACAGTGGGAGGTACGATTTTTTTTCTTCATTTTAATTTTTACTGCTTTTACGACTTTTACGTTTGGGGTCATCCATAAATGACGTCACACTCGTAAGGGGGAGGGGGGGGGGTTCCTTAATTTTGTGACGATGTGTGATGAGGGGAGGGGGGGGTCAGATGTTGTTAGAAAACGAATTTTAGACGTTATTTCGAGTTTTAGATAACTGTTTTAGGTAAAATCTTAGTTTAGCGTCGTAAATTCCACCGTAGCTAGTAATGTGCGATGAAGGTATCTAATGAATATTTCTTTCATTTGGCCATATTTATGTCATATTTTACATAATATAACAGATAATTGAATAACAAATCACAATCCAAGACCAAACCAGTCATAAATATCCTGGAATAAACTTTAAACTACCCCGTTCGAGACAACAATGAGTAAATTCAAGCAGCGGCCATGTTTTAAAAACAATAAATTGTCTATTCGCATGTCTTTTGTGTTGATTTTGTGGTTTAATATGATTGTTTTGTATTGTTTTAATACATGCCTGGGGGTCGTCCATAAATGACGTCACACTCGTAGGGGGGAGGGGGGTCCGTAATTTTGTGACGTTGTGTGATGAATTTTAGACGTTATTTTGCGTTTTAGAAAACTGTTTTAATACATTGTAATAACAATTGATTAAAATACTCTATTTTGACAGAGTTCAGACAAGATTTTGGAAAAATATAGCTGTTTAAAAACAATTCAACTGCAATTTTGAGGGGGGTTGTAGGCTGAGGTGTGACGTCACTTTAGGGGGGGGGTCTGGCCTTTTGTGACGACGTGTGGGGGGGGGGGGGTAAAAACGTCAAAAAAGCGTGACGTCATTTATGGATGACCCCCTGTATAGTAATTTTTCTTTTTTTTTTTTTAAAATATAGTTGACATTAATGACTAATAGACCTTACCAGACTTAATAGTGTGCATCCAAGACCACAACAATTGTTGGGAGCGCGAACTTTTGAACACTTTATTTGCAGTAAGCAAATCAATATTAGATCGCTCATAAATGACGTCGCTCTTATGATATTAATGACAGCGTGAATTATTACAGAGCAAACATATGAACATATTGTTTCAGATAGAAATTGTGATTTGTGGTGGGGAGAGGTTGAGTAGAACTCAGCGATGTGATTTTGGAGACGGGTCAGGTTTTTTCTCTCGTGAAAACAGGGGATGATTGTGGGAGAAAGACCAGCTGTAGAAGTATGACGCGTCATTCATTGGTGATCCATTTTCTCAGTGGGGACGATAGAACTATTAAGAAGGGTCAAGAAATGTAAAAAGCTTGCTGAGTCGCATTTCTTGAACCCCACCTTTTTCATTCCCCCACTTAGTACATCGTCACCGAGTTAGCGCTCGCACGTGACGTCATGTACCGGTACCGCCGACCGTTAGGCTAATTTTATATTTAAAAAAAAACAACAAGCACTGCCTTTTTGACGCTTATGCGACGTTTAATTTGATTACATAAGTTGGTGTTCATTAAACAGCCCCTAACACACCTATCACTCGTCCATTTAAACGCACGTAGTTATTCCTGCAAGCTTGCTGCCTATTAAGCTCTCACCGTATAGAACTAGACTACCCATATTAAGCTCCAAAAGAAGCTTGGTGAAAACAGGATGGCCGTCCGATTTTGAAGCTGCTCTGCGCTTTATAAAAAGCACAATAAACGATAAGATGACACTTATATTAAAGTAAATTATAGTTCTGAATCTTGATACATTAAAAGTGATATTCGGAAATTAAGAGCCAGACAGTCAACATGATATTTCAATTTAAGTCCAAGAAAATAAATTTCCTCAAACGATGGAACATTACTAAATTTTCGCGCAGTTTAGCGAAATTGAATTTAAGTATTTACGTCATCTTACAAAGCGCAATAGCCTACTGGTGCTCTAACGCGGCCCATGCTAATGGCTGTATTCCTAACGCCCCGCATTAGACGCGGCTTATTCGTCGGCAGGCATTTGGTGGCAAGCCTTTTTTTTTTGCAAGCCTTAAGGCCGTTTTGCCAAATGTTTTGCCAAAACAGCAGGCTTGCAACATTTGTGATGATTCGTTTTAAGCAAGGTATACGTATACTAATGCTTATTTATCGTTATTTTGATTGAACAAAGCATTATAGAGGTTCTCCATCAACCACCTAGGTATTTTTCCCCGTTCACCTCCTTTCGTGAGACCGACACATCATAAATTGCGGAGCGGAGCCGCCTGAGTTGACGCCACAAATCTTCACTCACTCCCGTAGCAAATCATATGTGATATCGTTTATGGACAACCCCATACCACTCACTTGGGTACTTGATGTTGACATTTTGACAACAAGGGATAACCAAAATGTGTCTGGCGGGTGGAGACTTGCGATCGACCATAATGACAACACGCACTTAAGGGGTGGAGTGGCTGATTATTTTAGGTGATGTTTTACGAGGGAAGCGGGTGGATAATACATTTTGTCTCTCTGTATATATAAATGATGACAAACATTTATTGTTGTCAAAATTAAGGCTAGAGATCTTAGATAAGGCAGAGCGAAGCGTAATTTTTTACATTGGGGTCATCCATAAATGACGTCACGCTTTTTTGACGATTTTTACCTCCCCCCCCCCCCCATTTCTCCGTCACACGTCGTCACAAAAAGCCAGCTCCCCCCCCCCTAAAATGACGTCACACCTCAACCTACACCCCCCCCCCTCAAAATTGCAGTTGAATTTTTTTAAAATATCGATATTTTTCCAAAATCTTGTCTAAACTATTACAATTTATAAACAGTTATCTAAAACGCGAAATAACGTCTAAAATTCGTTTTCTAACATTGCTCTTTTATAATGCAAAAATGTGACGTCACAACATCTGAACAATCCCCCCCCCTCCCCCTCATCACACATAGTCACAAAATTACGGTCCGACCCCCCCCCCCCCTCCCCTACGAGTGTGACGTCATTTATGGATGACCCCTTATGACTTGTTGTGACATTGACAACAAAAATATGACGGAGGTTGGGGTTTAATTAAGGTAAAGAGAAGTAAAAAGAATGTCATAAGTTACGATAGAATCACTAATTGATGAAAAGAAAAACCTGAAATGAAAATAGTGAACATTCAAACAATAAGAAAAAACTCAAACTATATAGTAATAGTAAGATCAAATAAACATTAGTAAAAAAAACGTGATTTAAAACATGGATACAAGTTGCATCTCACAATGCTTCTAGAATTAATAAAATTGTTTGTTAGGAGATTCAGTTTTTAAAGAGCAGAATTTAAAAAAAAATGCTTTGTTATACGGACTATACAACAAGACAATCATATTTAAATACATTTTCATACGAATAGAAATGAAAGGGAAGCTACTCTAAATAACATTTTCTTAAGATGGCTGCTGTTTTTAATAGCAAATTTACTATCTCGAACAGGGTTGATAAAAATTAATTTCAGGATATTTAAATTGATTTAACCATAAATGGTGATCTATTATTCAATTATTTATAATATTTTATCAAAATATACGAAAATATACTCATATTTAATGACATATTCATTATTGCACTCTCTCCTACATTACTAGTTTTGGCCGAATTTACGACGCTAAACTAAGATTTTACCCTGTTTTAATAAATTGTAGATCTAATTAATAGTTTAGACAAGATTTTGGAAAAATATTGATGTTTTAAAAAAATTCAACTGCAATTTTGAAGGGGGTTGTAGGTTGAGGTGTGGCGTCATTTTAGGGGGGGGGGGGGTCTGGCTTTTTGTGACAACGTGTGGCGGAGGGGAGGGGGGGAGGTAAAAATCATCAAAAAAGCGTGACGTCATGTATGGATGACCCTTTTAGTAATACAAACTACACACACATACACGTTACTTGTTAGATTCTAGATCTAGATTCTAAGTGTTAAGTTGAACCGTTAAGTAAAGTTATGTTACCGTTACTGTTAAGTTAACTGTTAACTACACTCAACACTGTGTGTTTACTCTACCGTACAAATGGACCGATTCCAGTTCTTGATAATTGATAACAATCTAATTTCCTCTCTCTCTCCCTCTCTCTCTCTCTCTAGAATAGTCTAGCTTCTAGATTACTAGATCTAGATCTGGAATGGATTTCTAGTTCTAGAGCTAGATATTAGATAAGAAATATGATTTTAGTTGTGGTAGAAGATCACATGGACTAATTATATATTTTCCTCAGGATGCAGATGAGGATGAACTAGAAGAAGATGAACTGCCAGAGTGGAAGAAGGAGCCACCAAAGATTGATCTGGCCAGCATAGATCCAAATGATCCCGAGGGACTGCTCAAAATGTCCAAGAAAGGGCGCACATTGATGATGTTTGCTACTGTCTCAGGTTTGATGATTTACTTAGTATCAAAATATTGACAGTAAATATGTTTATAAATAATTGTAATTTCAGTAGCCTATAGATTTAGTTTTAGTTTGAAATAAAAGATTGCAAAGTTCCTTTAGGTTCATCCCTTTGTAAACCATTGCATCTCTAACTATTGATTCTCAGTTTTTCACTGTCGGGTTTTCTGAACTATTTTAGTTGACTAACTAATCTGCATGGTGTATATATCTTTGTTCCACTGATTTACTTTTATATCCACCATTTATATTCATCACTAAACAACACATCCACTATGTTAAGAGAACCTGTTGATGAGAGCCTTGTTCTGTTGGTCAATAAATCTCTGGCTTTTATTCTTTAGGTAATCCAACCAATGAAGAAACTGAGAAGATAACTCAGCTCTGGCACTCCAGTTTGTTTAATGCCCACATAGAAACACAGAGGTAATATCCATGTTAAGGATCTTGATAAGTCACTACTTGGGCAGAACAACAGCAATTTTTTAATCTGCTGATACCAATGTTAGGGCTAGTACACTTAAACATAGCTAGTTAAAAGTATCTTCAATTTACCTTCCCACCATTCTTGCAATTACCAATCATTAGAGACGTAATATGGGTTGGCGTGGTTGAGTTTGTTCCTAAACCAAAAAGTCTCGAGTTCGACCCCTCTGACAGATGAGGCTCGACAGCTAGGGACAGCAACTCTTCTATGAGAGACAATAATCAAATTCAATAATCAAATTACTGCTATTTTGTAACACATCCAAAAAGAAAAGCTGACTGAAATCGGAGTCAAAGGCCTACATGGCGCATAAACAGTTGACACTTAATACTTAATAGTGTTGGAGGAGATCCTTTCATCACTAGAATTAAAAGAAGAGACGTAATGCCATTTAAGATTTTAGTGGAGTTCCCATCACTTTATTAGAAGTTATTATCAATTAAATATAATAAGAGAAATATGGTGACACAGGCTGAAACTACTATTGTCAGTAAGTATTCATTTTTCCAACTCTCGCCCCAACCCAGGTATGTGGTAGGTGACAACAGAGTTTTGTTCATGCTCAAAGATGGGGCCAAGGCCTGGGATGTCCGGAACTTTCTGGTCAAGCAAGAGAGGTGTGAGGAGGTCTCCATAGAAGGACAGTCCTACCCTGGTGCGGGGGCAAAGGTCAGTGGAAAGTTCAATCTTTATACCAGAGCTAGTTGGTGGTCAGTGGAAAGTTCAATCTTTAGACCAGAGTTAGTTGATGGTCAGTGGAAAGTTCAATCTTTAGACCAGGGTTAGTTGATGGTCAGTGGAAAGTTCAATCTTTAGACCAGGGTTAGTTGATGGTCAGTGGAAAGTTCAATCTTTAGACCAGAGTTAGTTGATGGTCAGTGGAAAGTTCAATCTTTAGACCAGGGTTAGTTGATGGTCAGTGGAAAGTTCAATCTTTAGACCAGAGTTAGTTGATGGTCAGTGGAAAGTTCAATCTTTAGACCAGAGTTAGTTGATGGTCAGTGGAAAGTTCAATCTTTAGACCAGGGTTAGTTGATGGTCAGTGGAAAGTTCAATCTTTAGACCAGAGTTAGTTGATGGTCAGTGGAAAGTTCAATCTTTAGACCAGAGTTAGTTGATGGTCAGTGGAAAGTTCAATCTTTAGACCAGAGTTAGTTGATGGTCAGTGAAAAGTTCAATCTTTAGACCAGAGTTAGTTGATGGTCAGTGAAAAGTTCAATCTTTAGACCAGATTTAGTTGATGGTCAGTGAAAAGTTCAATCTTTAGACCAGATTTAGTTGATGGTCAGTGAAAAGTTCAATCTTTAGACCAGAATTAGTTGATGGTCAGTGAAAAGTTCAATCTTTAGACCAGAGTTAGTTGATGGTCAGTGAAAAGTTCAATCTTTAGACAAGAGTTAGTTGATGGTCAGTGAAAAGTTCAATCTTTAGACCAGAGTTAGTTGATGGTCAGTTAAAGTTTATTCTTTAGACCAGAGTTAGTTGATGGTCAGTGAAAAGTTCAATCTTTAGACCAGAGTTAGTTGATGGTCAGTTAAAGTTTATTCTTTAGACCAGAGTTAGTTGATGGTCAGTGAAAAGTTCAATCTTTAGACCAGAGTTAGTTGATGGTCAGTTAAAGTTTATTCTTTAGACCAGAGTTAGTTGATGGTCAGTTAAAGTTTATTCTTTAGACCAGAGTTAGTTGATGGTCAGTTAAAGTTTATTCTTTAGACCAGAGTTAGTTGATGGTCAGTTAAAGTTTATTCTTTAGACCAGAGTTAGTTGATGGTCAGTGAAAAGTTCAATCTTTAGACCAGAGTTAGTTGATGGTCAGTGGAAAGTTCAATCTTTAGACCAGAGTTAGTTGATGGTCAGTGAAAAGTTCAATCTTTAGACCAGAGTTAGTTGATGGTCAGTGAAAAGTTCAATCTTTAGACCAGAGTTAGTTGATGGTCAGTGAAACTGAAGATGTTAAATAACAAGGCTAAGTCTCTTGAAAAGTAAAAGAAATTGAAATACAATTAAAAAGTCTAGTTTAAGATCTGTGAAAAAAGTAAAAGTTTCATTTAATAAAATATGAATTCAGTCATTAAAAATATTACAATGATCAGTTTACAGGTGTGAAAATATTCTATTTTAATATTTAGAAATTTGTTGTTGATTAAGTTTGAAGACAAAATGTTTCTATCGGGTTTAGACTAATGCAGAATGCCAAACTAAACAAAGGTCTCAAATATATTTGACTGCAAGTGATGTTCACTCAATTTTATTTTGATCTACCAGAAAGACACGACAGATAAAAAGACAAAGAAAGGAAAGAAAACAGAATTATAATGCTGGATAGGTGCATAAGCGTACCCAGTTTTGTGTGGAGTATGAGTCCTAATAGACTCATGATGGTGGAATGTAGTTTTGAGCATTTAGGCCCAGGTTAGAACTCTGCCGTGTCTGTGTTTATGGAGTTCAACACAGAATAAGACAATCAAAGCAAGTTGTGTTTGATACTCAATATATCATATTTTTTTAGAGGTTTACATAAATATAAATTTTGTGATCAGCTTTAGAAATGAGTTATTTGTATTTAGATGCATTATCATTGAGATTGTATCCTACAGTTAGTGCTGTGGGCAAAGTTAAGCAATTGAGGGGTGACAAAAATAATTCTGGATGGTGAAGGAAAATTGCGTAATGATAAATTAGGTGTCCATTGACATAATATCTATTGAAAGGTCACCACATAGAATTATTACATACTTATACAAAGGTCTTCATGTTTTTGCTAATACTTATTACATTTAATTTATGCTTGTTTTTAAATTTACAACCGTATAATTTACACAATTTACCATTTTTGTCTTTTAGTACTGAACATTTTTTAGTATTCTCTGTCAATGGCTATATACAACTGTGTTCATCTGTGTTGTTGCTCATGCAATAATTATTGTAATTTGATTTCTGCTTGTGTACATTCCATGTCATAAAACACAAATACTTTGTTAGGACCCTAGCTGTATTGATTGTTGATGTTCCTAATATTTGATTCCTGTCTTCCATATCTAGTGTGGCCTACTCCATCGTCCTGTCTGAACATTTTCTCAGCCAAACATAGAGTAATGTGTCATGGTTACTTGGGTCTTAAAAATTATTATCTTTTATATCAGTAGGGTTCTATTTGAGTTGTAGGTTGGGGATAAAAAGTTTCAAATGAAGTGAAGGTGTGATGAGAACCAATTGAACCGTTCATAAGATAATTTCCTTTTAGTAAGTTCTAGATCATCATGTGTGACTGCACAAAGTAAATAGTTTGATACAGGCGTCTTAACTGATCTGTTTTATTACCATTTGGTGTTACTTTCAGATTTTCATCTAATTAAAATGAGTGTACTAAGCGAAGTGTTATATAGCTGATTTGAGCACTAATTATAGGGCGATGAGACAGAGCACTAATTACAGGGTGATGATATACTGGTGTTGAAGCAGTCATAATTATATCAAGTTCAAATGGACATGACAATAGCTATACTATATAACAAGCCAATTCATTAGTGGGTGATGATAGATATTAAACCCACACATAAAAACTTACATTGTAAGTTTTTATGTGTGGATAAGTTACAAGTTTAAAATCTTAATTATATAAAACAATTTTGTCACCCAATTTTCATGTGTTAATTTCATATTTGATGGTATTATGTTATCAATCATAAGACTGATCTGATTTGCTTAGAACATGTTTGATCTGAGGTACTTCTGTTATGAAATGTTTTCTATGCATAACTTTGATATTCAAATGACAATCTTTTCAAAACTTGTATGGGAGTTGTAAACATGGAACAAAAGATTGTATAGTCTGATCTAGTCACCAACTGCCATGTGAATAAATACATCAGAAGCTGCATGTTTTGTCCTATTCTTTATATGTTGTTATTTCTTAAGGTAAGAAGTAAAGTATCCCCTCAAACCTTATGGGGCAGGTGAAGTAGAGTTCACCTGGTTCAGTGACTTGGGCATATAAAGGAATAATGTGGTCAGCATTATGGCCAGCTGTCTTTACTTTCCCTAGGTGTCCATTAGAACTGGATGAACTCGGGATTTAAACTAGAGACTTTGAGCTCAAAAGATCTACCATTCGACTATAAACTTTTTAGTTTTTAAATTATTATACAAATTTCTCAAAAAATAATATTGACAAAGAACATATATTAAAAAGCATAACATATGTGTCATAGAAAATCAGGTTTAATTGTGTGCTTCATCAGTGTCAGAAATCAGGTGGACAAGGCAAATATAGGTTGGACAGTTAATACTGGCAGTGAACTCAGAACTTCAACAGTGTGTGCTAGAGGTCAGTGTAGGTGTGTGGTCAGTGCAACGTGGGTCTGTGTTAGTGGTCAGTGTAGGTGTGTGGTCAGTGTTAGTGGTCAGTGTAGGTGTGTGGTCAGTGTTAGTGGTCAGTGTAGGTGTGTGGTCAGTGTAGGTGTGTGGTCAGTGTTAGTGGTCAGTGAAGGTGTGTAGTCAGTGTAGGTGTGTGGTCAGTGTAGGTGTGTGGTCAGTGTAGGTGTGTGGTCAGTGTAGGTGTGTGGTCAGTGTAGGTGTGTGGTCAGTGTAGGTGTGTGGTCAGTGTTAGTGGTCAGTGTAGGTGTGTAGTCAGTGTAGGTGTGTGGTCAGTGTTAGTGGTCAGTGTAGGTGTGTGGTCAGTGTTAGTGGTCAGTGTAGGTGTGTGGTCAGTGTAGGTGTGTGGTCAGTGTAGGTGTGTGGTCAGTGTTAGTGGTCAGTGTAGGTGTGTAGTCAGTGTAGGTGTGTGGTCAGTGTAGGTGTGTGGTCAGTGTAGGTGTGTGGTCAGTGTAGGTGTGTGGTCAGTGTTAGTGGTCAGTGTAGGTGTGTAGTCAGTGTAGGTGTGTGGTCAGTGTTAGTGGTCAGTGTAGGTGTGTGGTCAGTGTTAGTGGTCAGTGTAGGTGTGTGGTCAGTGTAGGTGTGTGGTCGGTGTTAGTGGTCAGTGTAGGTGTGTGGTCAGTGTTAGTGGTCAGTGTAGGTGTGTGGTCAGTGTTAGTGGTCAGTGTAGGTGTGTGGTCAGTGTAGGTGTGTGGTCAGTGTAGGTGTGTGGTCAGTGTTAGTGGTCAGTGTAGGTGTGTGGTCAGTGTAGGTGTGTGGTCAGTGTAGGTGTGTGGTCAGTGTAGGTGTGTGGTCAGTGTAGGTGTGTGGTCAGTGTAGGTGTGTGGTCAGTGTAGGTGTGTGGTCAGTGTAGGTGTGTGGTCAGTGTTAGTGGTCAGTGTAGGTGTGTGGTCAGTGTAGGTGTGTGGTCAGTGTTAGTGGTCAGTGTAGGTGTGTGGTCAGTGTAGGTGTGTGGTCAGTGTTAGTGGTCAGTGTAGGTGTGTGGTCAGTGTTAGTGGTCAGTGTTAGTGGTCAGTGTAGGTGTGTGGTCAGTGTTAGTGGTCAGTGTAGGTGTGTGGTCAGTGTAGGTGTGTGGTCAGTGTAGGTGTGTGGTCAGTGTAGGTGTGTGGTCAGTGTTAGTGGTCAGTGTAGGTGTGTGGTCAGTGTAGGTGTGTGGTCAGTGTAGGTGTGTGGTCAGTGCAACGTGAGTCTGTGTTAGAGGTCAGTATAGGTGTGTGGTCAGTGTTAGTGGTCAGTGTAGGTGTGTGGTCAGTGGTGTGTTTGAAAAAGGGTGTGCATACATTTAAAAAATTAAACATTGGGCTTAGTATGTTACACTATAACCAAGTAAGTAAACATAACCTTGTCAGTTTGTCAAACAAAAACATAAGGTAGGTACAAGTTTAGTTTAGACCCACATTAAATGAATGGGGAAAGGGGGCGGGGTAATGTGCTTGTCAAGCATACAGCAATACACTTGGTGGAAAGATTACCACATCAATCTTAATCAGTGTATGGCAGTACTGATTTCCATGTGATGCAAGCATAGGCACTCAGTAAAGAAAAGTTCACATGTCCAACAAACCATAATCCTCATCAAAACAAAGAATAGAGTAAAGAGCTAGATGAAAACAAAAAACAAACAGATCTTGGCAAGATGTCATTAAAAAACATTTTGTAAAAGGCATACAATCCATATATCAGGGAGCTTGATATTACCCCCTCCATCCCCCACCCAGGTCAATTACCTTCCTTAAGTCCAAAAATTTTGATAGGACACTACCATCTGTTGATTATAAATCAACACTAATCTTGAATCTAACGCAAAATATGGTCGGGTTTAGAAATGTTTTGGGTAGATTTGTATTCATAGTTCCACCGCTTGGTGATCTATATAATGTCCATTTGAAGAAGAAAATATACTGTATTTTATACTCTCATCAGCCCATATTCTTAATCTCATTGCCTAGAGATAGGGGTAATTATTATCACCACAAATGCAATATGAATAATAGTGGGGTGGGGGGGGGGGGGGGGGTGGGGAAATAACTGACATGGGGCATAACTCTACCTCCACTTTAACTTTACAAAATATCTATATATATATATAATTCTCTTCTTGGAGACAATAGAAAACACCAAGCTGTAAGCGCGCTCGCTACCACCCCCACATGGTCTGGTGAGCTGTGGTTTACGCTAAATGTTTACAATCGTAGAAACGGGTTTAGTGACGGCTATTAGGGGCAGATAATTTAGTTTGAAACGATTTAAAACTTAGGGGAGGTAACTAAGAGGAGTTTACTTTCACAGGGGTGGGGTGGGGTAGGGGAAAGGAGGGGGGGTTTATCGTGCTTAACGAGCTACTGATAGTGTTTTAAAGCAAATATTTTCAGTGGCAGCGTTGGAACTGTCGAATTCACAAATTATGAATTGCTGAAAAGTAGAAAATAAAACAACTAAATAGCGGCAAATGATACGCAGCGGGTCGCCTCGTTCATATTAATTGTAGACTGGTGATTGATGTGTTCATGTAAGTCTGTGATCATCAAGTTGACAATAAAAACTATGTCAGGAAATGGCAAGGAATGGTGGACAGACTGGTCAATATTGCAACAGCAAGTCTTATGTTAATATAATATATATATATAAACATTTAACTTTGTATAGCAATTTATGGTATGTCAATTCATGCCCTTATGTAGCACAATATGTGATACAATTATGTATAAAAAGATATATAAATTAAATGTAACAGATCACTTCACAACCATGGTAGATTCTATACAGTAGATGCAACAATGTAGTGCTTGGTTCCAAACTTTTTGTGTTATAGTAGACAGTACACAGTCAGTGGTCTAATGGACAACCTGTTACCCAAAGACAACAAATAGTGGGCACAATCATTGGCCTAATGGGCACATTCAATAGCTAATGGGCACAATCATTCATATAATGGATACAATCATAGCTCTGAACATAATCATTTGTCAAATGATCACAATCATATATTTAATAGAGACAATCATTGGCCTAATGGACAATCTGTGGCCCAAAGACTACAATTTGTGGTCTAGTGGACACATTCAATAGCTAATGGACACATTCCTTTGTCTAATTCACACAACCATTCATGTAAACAATCATACCTGTGAACACAATCATTTGTCAAATGATCACAATCATTCATTGACCTAATGGACACAATCATTCATATAATGGATACAATCATAGCTCTGAACACAATCATTTGTCAAACAATCACAATCAATCAGTGACCTAATGGACACAATCATGGCCCATGTCACTCCTGCTTCAAGACCTCGTGTGGAATGTTGGCCACGACGCAGCCAAAGGTTGACATGACCGTGGGCAGCTCCTGACCTTCTGACCAGGCCCAGGTCTGGGACTGACCTTCATTCTTGAGCCAGCAGATACCAGCCATCCAGCTCTTGTCATCCTCACCTCCCACCACAAGGATGGTCTCACCATACTTGACCACACCTGCAATAGACAGGGGAACACAGGTCATACATTACAAGGTGAGATAGTTCATACAAGGTGAGATAGTTCATACAAGGTGAGATAGTTCATACAAGGTGAGATAGTTCATACAAGGTGACACAGTTCATACAAGGTGAGATAGTTCATACAAGGTGACACAGTTCATACAAGGTGAGATAGTTCATACAAGGTGAGATAGTTCATACAAGGTGAGATAGTTCATACAAGGTGAGATAGTTCATACAAGGTGAGATAGTTCATAAAAGGTGAGATAGTTCATACAAGGTGAGATAGTTCATAAAAGGTGAGATAGTTCATACAAGGTGAGATAGTTCATACAAGGTGAGATAGTTCATACAAGGTGACACCTGGTACATACAAGTTTATACATGAAACATACAAGGTGATATATTTATATGTAACAGACAATGGCACATTAAAACACAAGGTAACACACTATGGATGAGTTGTTACATGACAGGTAACAAAGCCCTTACCTGCGCCACACAAAGCATTAGCCAATGGTGGGCCCTCGCTCCAGACCTCCTGGGACGGGTCAAAGATCTCAACAGAGGTGACGCAGTGCTCAGGGAGATATTCTTTCTTCCACTTCTCACTCAGTGCTGAGTTCCCACCTGCAAACACATGAGGTACATTAGGGCCAGCTCGTTGACTCACTGTCAATTACCTCACAGGTATATTAGGGCCAGCTCATTAACTCACTGTCAATTACCTCACAGGTATATTAGGGCCAGCTCATTAACTCACTGTCAATTACCTCACAGGTATATTAGGGCCAGCTCATTAACTCACTGTCAATTACCTCACAGGTATATTAGGGCCAGCTCATTAACTCACTGTCAATTACCTCACAGGTATATTAGGGCCAGCTCATTAACTCACTGTCAATTACCTCACAGGTACAATAGGGCTAGCTCATTGACTCACTGTCAATTACCTCACAGGTACATTATCCTGATGTTAATTAGCTGTATTCTCCACTTCCATGGTTGATTACTAATTAAACTAAATCTGATTGGGATAGGTTTACTTAGGGATATGATTTAGACTAAAGTCCTAAATAGAAAAAGCAGTTTTGCTGATTCATACTGTCAGCCTATTTCAAGCATTTTATAAAATGCCAGATTTCTTATGTTACTGACTTCAAGTATTTGTTCTATGAAGGGTGGGCCAAGTACCAAAATAAACTTAGAAAGTTTAAACGTCCCAAAAGTACATTAAAAATTGTAGAAAAAAAATACAATTAAAAATAAAATGCCAAAAATGATACACAATATAAATGACGTAATATGCGAGCTGCCTTAAAAAATTAAAATTAAACTGCCCAATGAAATACAATAAAATTAAACTGACCTATGACATAGTTAAAAACTGAACTGACCAATGACGTAGTTAAACTGAACTGACCTATGACTGTTAAAACTGAACTGACCAATGACATAGTTTAAACTGAACTGACCTATGACATAGTTTAAACTGAACTGACCAATGACATAGTTTAAACTGAACTAACCAATGACATAGTTTGAACTGACCTATGACAGTTAAAACTGAACTGACCAATGACATAGTTTAAACTGAACTGACCTATGACTGTTAAAACTGAACTGACCTATGACCTAGTTAAAACTGAACTGACCAATGACATAGTTTAAACTGAACTGACCTATGACAGTTTAAACTGGACTGACCTATGACATAGTTAAAACTGAACTGACCAATGACATAGTTAAAACTGAACTGACCAATGACATAGTTTAAACTGAACTGACCTATGACAGTTTAAACTGGACTGACCTATGACATAGTTTAAACTGAACTGACATATGACAGTTTAAACTGAACTGACCTATGACATAGTTTAAACTGAACTGACCTATGACATAGTTAAAACTGAACTGACCAATGACAGTTTAAACTGAACTGACCTATGACAGTTAAAACTGAACTGACCTATGACAGTTTAAACTGAACTGACCTATGACAGTTTAAACTGAACTGACCTATGACAGTTAAAACTGAACTGACCAATGACATAGTTTAAACTGAACTGACCAATGACATAGTTTAAACTGAACTGACCAATGACATAGTTTAAACTGAACTGACCTATGACATAGTTTAAACTGAACTGACCAATGACATAGTTTAAACTGAACTGACCAATGACATAGTTTAAACTGAACTGACCAATAACATAGTTTAAACTGAACTGACCAATGACATAGTTTAAACTGAACTGACCAATGACATAGTTTAAACTGAACTGACCTATGACATAGTTTAAACTGAACTGACCTATGACATAGTTAAAACTGAACTGACCTATGACATAGTTTAAACTGAACTGACCTATGACAGTTAAAACTGAACTGACCTATGACAGTTTAAACTGAACTGACCTATGACAGTTTAAACTGAACTGACCTATGACAGTTTAAACTGAACTGACCTATGACATAGTTTAAACTGAACTGACCTATGACATAGTTAAAACTGAACTGACCTATGACATAGTTAAAACTGAACTGACCAATGACAGTTTAAACTGAACTGACCTATGACAGTTAAAACTGAACTGACCTATGACAGTTTAAACTGAACTGACCTATGACAGTTTAAACTGAACTGACCTATGACAGTTAAAACTGAACTGACCAATGACATAGTTTAAACTGAACTGACCAATGACATAGTTTAAACTGAACTGACCAATGACATAGTTTAAACTGAACTGACCAATGACATAGTTTAAACTGAACTGACCAATGACATAGTTTAAACTGAACTGACCTATGACATAGTTTAAACTGAACTGACCTATGACATAGTTTAAACTGAACTGACCTATGACAGTTTAAACTGAACTGACCTATGACAGTTTAAACTGAACTGACCTATGACATAGTTTAAACTGAACTGACCTATGACATAGTTAAAACTGAACTGACCTATGACATAGTTAAAACTGAACTGACCAATGACAGTTTAAACTGAACTGACCTATGACAGTTAAAACTGAACTGACCAATGACATAGTTTAAACTGAACTGACCAATGACATAGTTTAAACTGAACTGACCTATGACATAGTTTAAACTGAACTGACCTATGACATAGTTTAAACTGAACTGACCTATGACAGTTTAAACTGAACTGACCTATGACAGTTTAAACTGAACTGACCTATGACATAGTTTAAACTGAACTGACCTATGACATAGTTAAAACTGAACTGACCTATGACATAGTTAAAACTGAACTGACCAATGACAGTTTAAACTGAACTGACCTATGACAGTTAAAACTGAACTGACCTATGACAGTTTAAACTGAACTGACCTATGACAGTTTAAACTGAACTGACCTATGACAGTTTAAACTGAACTGACCAATGACATAGTTTAAACTGAACTGACCAATGACATAGTTTAAACTGAACTGACCAATGACATAGTTTAAACTGAACTGACCAATGACATAGTTTAAACTGAACTGACCTATGACATAGTTTAAACTGAACTGACCTATGACATAGTTAAAACTGAACTGACCTATGACATAGTTTAAACTGAACTGACCTATGACAGTTTAAACTGAACTGACCTATGACAGTTTAAACTGAACTGACCTATGACAGTTTAAACTGAACTGACCTATGACATAGTTTAAACTGAACTGACCTATGACATAGTTAAAACTGAACTGACCTATGACATAGTTTAAACTGAACTGACCTATGACATAGTTAAAACTGAACTGACCAATGACATAGTTAAAACTGAACTGACCAATGACAGTTTAAACTGAACTGACCTATGACAGTTAAAACTGAACTGACCTATGACAGTTTAAACTGAACTGACCTATGACAGTTTAAACTGAACTGACCTATGACAGTTAAAACTGAACTGACCAATGACATAGTTTAAACTGAACTGACCTATGACATAGTTTAAACTGAACTGACCTATGACATAGTTAAAACTGAACTGACCTATGACATAGTTAAAACTGAACTGACCAATGACAGTTTAAACTGAACTGACCTATGACATAGTTTAAACTGAACTGACCTATGACATAGTTAAAACTGAACTGACCTATGACATAGTTAAAACTGAACTGACCAATGACAGTTTAAACTGAACTGACCTATGACAGTTAAAACTGAACTGACCTATGACAGTTTAAACTGAACTGACCTATGACAGTTTAAACTGAACTGACCTATGACAGTTTAAACTGAACTGACCTATGACAGTTTAAACTGAACTGACCAATGACATAGTTTAAACTGAACTGACCAATGACATAGTTTAAACTGAACTGACCAATGACATAGTTTAAACTGAACTGACCAATGACATAGTTTAAACTGAACTGACCTATGACATAGTTTAAACTGAACTGACCTATGACATAGTTAAAACTGAACTGACCTATGACATAGTTTAAACTGAACTGACCTATGACAGTTTAAACTGAACTGACCTATGACAGTTTAAACTGAACTGACCTATGACAGTTTAAACTGAACTGACCTATGACATAGTTTAAACTGAACTGACCTATGACATAGTTAAAACTGAACTGACCTATGACATAGTTAAAACTGAACTGACCAATGACAGTTTAAACTGAACTGACCTATGACAGTTTAAACTGAACTGACCTATGACAGTTTAAACTGAACTGACCTATGACAGTTAAAACTGAACTGACTAATGACATAGTTTAAACTGAACTGACCAATGACATAGTTTAAACTGAACTGACCAATGACATAGTTTAAACTGAACTGACCAATGACATAGTTTAAACTGAACTGACCAATGACATAGTTTAAACTGAACTGACCTATGACATAGTTTAAACTGAACTGACCTATGACATAGTTTAAACTGAACTGACCTATGACAGTTTAAACTGAACTGACCTATGACAGTTTAAACTGAACTGACCTATGACATAGTTTAAACTGAACTGACCTATGACATAGTTAAAACTGAACTGACCTATGACATAGTTAAAACTGAACTGACCAATGACAGTTTAAACTGAACTGACCTATGACAGTTAAAACTGAACTGACCTATGACAGTTTAAACTGAACTGACCTATGACAGTTTAAACTGAACTGACCTATGACAGTTAAAACTGAACTGACCAATGACATAGTTTAAACTGAACTGACCTATGACATAGTTTAAACTGAACTGACCAATGACATAGTTTAAACTGAACTGACCTATGACATAGTTTAAACTGAACTGACCTATGACATAGTTAAAACTGAACTGACCAATGACAGTTTAAACTGAACTGACCTATGACAGTTAAAACTGAACTGACCTATGACAGTTTAAACTGAACTGACCTATGACATAGTTTAAACTGAACTGACCTATGACATAGTTTAAACTGAACTGACCAATGACAGTTTAAACTGAACTGACCTATGACCTAGTTAAAACTGAACTGACCTATGACATAGTTAAAACTGAACTGACCTATGACTGTTAAAACTGAACTGACCTATGACATAGTTTAAACTGAACTGACCAATGACATAGTTTAAACTAAACTGACCTATGACATAGTTGAAACAGAACTGACCTATGACATAGTTTAAACTGAACTGACCAATGACATAGTTTAAACTGAACTGACCTATGACAGTTTAAACTGAACTGACCTATGACATAGTTTAAACTGAACTGACCTATGACATAGTTAAAACTGAACTGACCTATGACATAGTTAAAACTGAACTGACCAATGACAGTTTAAACTGAACTGACCTATGACAGTTAAAACTGAACTGACCTATGACAGTTTAAACTGAACTGACCTATGACAGTTTAAACTGAACTGACCTATGACAGTTAAAACTGAACTGACCAATGACATAGTTTAAACTGAACTGACCTATGACATAGTTTAAACTGAACTGACCTATGACATAGTTAAAACTGAACTGACCAATGACAGTTTAAACTGAACTGACCTATGACATAGTTTAAACTGAACTGACCTATGACATAGTTAAAACTGAACTGACCTATGACATAGTTAAAACTGAACTGACCAATGACAGTTTAAACTGAACTGACCTATGACAGTTAAAACTGAACTGACCTATGACATAGTTTAAACTGAACTGACCTATGACATAGTTTAAACTGAACTGACCTATGACATAGTTAAAACTGAACTGACCTATGACATAGTTTAAACTGAACTGACCTATGACAGTTTAAACTGAACTGACCTATGACAGTTTAAACTGAACTGACCTATGACAGTTTAAACTGAACTGACCTATGACATAGTTTAAACTGAACTGACCTATGACATAGTTAAAACTGAACTGACCTATGACATAGTTAAAACTGAACTGACCAATGACAGTTTAAACTGAACTGACCTATGACAGTTAAAACTGAACTGACCTATGACAGTTTAAACTGAACTGACCTATGACAGTTTAAACTGAACTGACCTATGACAGTTAAAACTGAACTGACTAATGACATAGTTTAAACTGAACTGACCAATGACATAGTTTAAACTGAACTGACCAATGACATAGTTTAAACTGAACTGACCAATGACATAGTTTAAACTGAACTGACCAATGACATAGTTTAAACTGAACTGACCTATGACATAGTTTAAACTGAACTGACCTATGACATAGTTTAAACTGAACTGACCTATGACAGTTTAAACTGAACTGACCTATGACATAGTTTAAACTGAACTGACCTATGACATAGTTTAAACTGAACTGACCTATGACATAGTTAAAACTGAACTGACCTATGACATAGTTAAAACTGAACTGACCAATGACAGTTTAAACTGAACTGACCTATGACAGTTAAAACTGAACTGACCTATGACAGTTTAAACTGAACTGACCTATGACATAGTTTAAACTGAACTGACCTATGACATAGTTTAAACTGAACTGACCAATGACAGTTTAAACTGAACTGACCTATGACCTAGTTAAAACTGAACTGACCTATGACATAGTTAAAACTGAACTGACCTATGACTGTTAAAACTGAACTGACCTATGACATAGTTTAAAATTGAACTGACCAATGACATAGTTTAAACTGAACTGACCTATGACATAGTTTAAACTGAACTGACCAATGACATAGTTTAAACTAAACTGACCTATGACATAGTTGAAACAGAACTGACCTATGACATAGTTTAAACTGAACTGACCTATGACAGTTAAAACTGAACTGACCTATGACATAGTTTAAACTGAACTGACCAATGACATAGTTTAAACTGAACTGACCTATGACATAGTTTAAACTGAACTGACCAATGACATAGTTTAAACTAAACTGACCTATGACATAGTTAAAACTGAACTGACCTATGACATAGTTTAAACTGAACTGACCAATGACATAGTTTAAACTGAACTGACCAATGACATAGTTTAAACTGAACTGACCAATGACATAGTTTAAACTAAACTGACCTATGACATAGTTGAAACAGAACTGACCTATGACATAGTTTAAACTGAACTGACCAATGACATAGTTTAAACTGAACTGACCTATGACATAAATCTTGTCACGAAAAACAACACTGCCAGCCAGCACCCTGGGAGTCTTCATTGGAGGGAGTTCAGTCCAGCTGTCTTCTTGTGGGTCATACCTGTCATGGTGGAACATTTTAGTAGGTCTGCGTCATGTGACTTACAGGACAAATTTAGACAAGAGCATCATGTGACTTACAGGACAAATTTAGACAAGGTCATCATGTGACTTACATGACAAATTTAGACAAGATCATCATGTGACTTACAAGACAAATTTAGACAAGATCATCATGTGACTTACAGGACAAATTTAGACAAGGCCTGCGTCATGTGACTTACAGGACAAATTTAGACAAGGCCTGCGTCATGTGACTTACAGGACAAATTTAGACAAGATCATGTGACTTACAGGACAAATTTAGACAAGGCCTGCGTCATGTGACTTACAGGACAAATTTAGACAAGATCATCATGTGACTTACAGGACAAATTTAGACAAGGTCATCATGTGACTTACAGGACAAATTTAGACAAGGCCTTCATCATGTGACTTACAAGACAAATTTAGACAAGGCCTGCGTCATGTGACTTACAGGACAAATTTAGACAAGGCCTTCATCATGTGACTTACAGGACAAATTTAGACAAGGCCTTCATCATGTGACTTACAGGACAAATTTAGACAAGGCCTTCATCATGTGACTTACAGGACAAATTTAGACAAGATCATCATGTGACTTACAAGACAAATTTAGACAAGGCCTGCATCATGTGACTTACAGGACAAATTTAGACAAGATCATTATATGACTTATGGGACGGAGTGGTCTAGCTTACTTTACTTTATTATATGACTTACAAGACACACAAGACAAGGCCTTCATCATGATACAAATTTAGACAACTGTCATGAGAGGACTGACCTGAGGGCACCGCTGCTGACGTCAGTCTTGGTCTCCCCACCAAAGACGTAGAGCTTGCCCTTGTAGCTGACCCCCGTCATGAACCTGAGGGGGCGGGGCAGGGAGTGGACCATGGTCCAGGTGTTGGTGTGGGGGTCGTATCTCTCCATGGTCATCAGGATCTCATTGCCGTCCTGGCCTCCCACAGCATAGATGTAGCTGGAATAGTAGGTGATACAGTGGTGATACATGGCTGCAGCAATAGGTGATACATGGCTGCAGCAATAGGTGATACATGGCTGCAGCAATAGGTGATGCAGTGGTGATACATGGCTGCAGCAATAGGTGATACATGGCTGCAGCAATAGGTGATGCAGTGGTGATACATGGCTGCAGCAATAGGTGATACATGGCTGCAGCAATAGGTGATACATGGCTGCAGCAATAGGTGATACATGGATGCAGCTATAGGTGATACATGGCTGCAGCAATAGGTGATACAGGTGATACAGTGGTGATAAATGGCTGCAGCAATAGGTGATACATGGCTGCAGCAATAGGTGATACATGGATGCAGCAATAGGTGATACAGTGGTGATACATGGCTGCAGCAAATAGGTGATACAGGTGATACAGTGGTGATAAATGGCTGCAGCAATAGGTGATACATGGCTGCAGCAATAGGTGATACATGGCTGCAGCAATAGGTGATACAGTGGTAATATATGGCTGCAGCAAATAGGTGATACAGTGGTGATACATGGCTGCAGCAATAGGTGATACAGTGGTGATACATGGCTGCAGCAAATAGGTGATACATGTCTGCAGCAAATAGGTGATACAGGTGATACAGTGGTGATACATGGCTGCAGCAATAGGTGATACATGGCTGCAGCAATAGGTGATACAGTGGTGATACATGGCTGCAGCAATAGGTGATACAGTGGTGATACATGGCTGCAGCAAATAGGTGATACATGTCTGCAGCAAATAGGTGATACAGTGGTGATACATGGCTGCAGCAATAGGTGATACATGGCTGCAGCAATAGGTGATACAGTGGTGATACATGGCTGCAGCAATAGGTGATACATGGCTGCAGCGATAGGTGATACAGTGGTGATACATGGCTGCAGCAAATAGGTGATACAGGTGATACAGTGGTGATAAATGGCTGCAGCAATAGGTGATACATGGCTGCAGCAATAGGTGATACAGTGGTGATACATGGCTGCAGCAAATAGGTGATACAGTGGTGATACATGGCTGCAGCAATAGGTGATACAGTGGTGATACATGGCTGCAGCAATAGGTGATACAGTGGTGATACATGGCTGCAGCAAATAGGTGATACATGTCTGCAGCAAATAGGTGATACAGGTGATACAGTGGTGATACATGGCTGCAGCAATAGGTGATACATGGCTGCAGCAATAGGTGATACAGTGGTGATACATGGCTGCAGCAAATAGGTGATACAGTGGTGATACATGGCTGCAGCAATAGGTGATACAGTGGTGATACATGGCTGCAGCAATAGGTGATACAGGTGATACAGTGGTGATACATGGCTGCAGCAATAGGTGATACATGGCTGCAGCAATAGGTGATACAGTGGTGATACATGGCTGCAGCAAATAGGTGATACATGGCTGCAGCAAATAGGTGATACATGGCTGCAGCAATAGGTGATACATGACTGCAGCAATAGGTGATACATGACTGCAGCAATAGGTGATACATGACTGCAGCAATAGGTGATACATGACTGCAGCAATAGGTGATACATGACTGCAGCAATAGGTGATACATGACTGCAGCAATAGGTGATACATGACTGCAGCAATAGGTGATACATGACTGCAGTAATAGGTGATACAGTGGTGATATATGGCTGCAGTAATAGGTAATACAGTGGTGATATATGGCTGCAGCAATAGGTGATACATGGGTCATGCATGGCTTCAGCAATATGTGATACATGGCATGAACTAAAGTGGCTCGCCCTAGACAGTGGAATGGCGGAGATTTGTTGCTGCCCTATACTCCACAGAGGGTTATGAGGATTAAGGCCAAGGTAAGGCAAGGGTCATACATGGCTGCAGCAATATGTAATACAGTGGTTATTCATGAGGCTTGTATTGATAGAACAGTTAATATATGTAGGTGATAAAGTGTTGATGTAGAGGTGATGTATAGAAAATATAAAGCTAGATTAATGTTAATATTAATATGAGTTTGAGTTGGGTAAAATAATAGTTGATAATTAAAATTTGTACCTGTGGGTAAATGATGGGTTAAATCCCCCCCCCCCCCTCCATCAACTAGCTAGCTTAAACTTACCCATCTACAATAACCAGCGCAAACTGTGACCTTGACATGTGCATCTTGGCCCTGGGCTGCCACGAAGCCTCACTCTGGTCAAAGACGTACACGTGGTTGGACACGCCCTCTGTGGTGATGGAGCCGCGGTAGTTGATCTTCCTGATGGCCCCGCCTGCCAGGTAGATCAGGTTGTCACCTGTAGATGCCACACCTGGGGACAGACAACACCCAGCTGTGACAGGTGACAGGACAGGTAGATCAGGTTGTCACCTGTAGATGCCACACCTGGGGACAGACAACAACCAGCTGTGACAGGTGACAGGACAGGTAGATCAGGTTGTCACCTGTAGATGCCACACCTGGGGACAGACAACAACCAGCTGTGACAGGTGACAGGACAGGTAGATCAGGTTGTCACCTGTAGATGCCACACCTGGGGACAGACAACAACCAGCTGTGACAGGTGCTAGTACAGGTAGATCAGGTTGTCACCTGTAGATGCCACACCTGGGGACAGACAACACCCAGCTGTTTAGTGTCAGCTAGTGACAACTAATACATTCAACCATAACATCCACAGCTGGCAGTAATATCAATGTAAAAATAAAGTTTCTAAAGTTCAATAAAAATAACACTTGAGGATTCAGCCATTAAATCTTTATATATAATGTCTAAATGCTCTAGGCTAGCCCACACTTATGTTGTGTGTATCATTAAAACAATGTGAGTGTGTTGTCAATGATGCACTCACCAGGCGTGTAGAGGCTAACCCACACTTATGTTGTGTGGCACTCACCAGGCGTGTAGAGGCTAACCCACACTTATGTTGTGTGGCACTCACCAGGCGTGTAGAGGCTAACCCACACTTATGTTGTGTGGCACTCACCAGGCGTGTAGAGGCTAACCCACACTTATGTTGTGTGGCACTCACCAGGCGTGTAGAGGCTAACCCACACTTATGTTGTGTGGCACTCACCAGGCGTGTAGAGGCTCTGTGGCAGCTTACAGATGTGGATAACCTCCCCTGTCTTAGGCAGCAACATCTCCATGCTGTTGTACTTCTTCAGTACGTCCTCGGTGTACGGGTTGGCTATGATCATCACACCACGCTCGTACACCATGCCTCTACGTGGCATCAGCTTCACGTCCATCTCCTGCTGGCGGTTCTAGAAATGGCAAACATCAATGTTAGTCTAGGCAAGGTGTGACATCAATGTTAGTCTAGGCAAGGTGTGACATCAATGTTAGTCTAGGAAAGGTGTGACATTAGTATGTTAGTCTAGGCAAGGTGTGACATCAATGTTAGTCTAGGCAAGGTGTGACATCAATGTTAGTCTAGGCAAGGTGTGACATCAATCTTAGTCTCGGCAAGGTGTGACATCAATGTTAGTATAGGCAAGGTGTGACATCAATGTTAGTCTAGGCAAGGTGTGACATGAATCTTAGTCTAGGCAAGGTGTGACATCAATGTTAGTCTAGGCAAGGTGTGACATCAATGTTAGTCTAGGCAAGGTGTGACATCAATCTTAGTCTAGGCAAGGTGTGACATCAATGTTAGTCTAGGCAAGGTGTGACATCAATGTTAGTCTAGGCAAGGTGTGACATCAATGTTAGTCTAGGCAAGGTGTGACATCAATGTTAGTCTAGGCAAGGTGTGACATCAATGTTAGTCTAGGCAAGGTGTGACATCAATGTTAGTCTAGGCAAGGTGTGACATCAATGTTAGTCTAGGCAAGGTGTGACATCAATCTTAGTCTAGGCAAGGTGTGACATCAATCTTAGTCTAGGCAAGGTGTGACATCAATCTTAGTCTAGGCAAGGTGTGATATCAATGTTAGTCTAGGCAAGGTGTGACATCAATGTTAGTCTAGGCAAGGTGTGACATCAATGTTAGTCTAGGCAAGGTGTGACATCAATGTTAGTCTAGGCAAGGTGTGACATCAATGTTAGTCTAGGCAAGGTGTGACATCAATGTTAGTCTAGGCAAGGTGTGACATCAATGTTAGTCTAGGCAAGGTGTGACATCAATGTTAGTCTAGGCAAGGTGTGACATCAATGTTAGTCTAGGCAAGGTGTGACATCAATGTTAGTCTAGGCAAGGTGTGACATCAATCTTAGTCTAGGCAAGGTGTGACATCAATGTTAGTCTAGGCAAGGTGTGACATCAATGTTAGTCTAGGCAAGGTGTGACATCAATGTTAGTCTAGGCAAGGTGTGACATCAATGTTAGTCTAGTCAAGGTGTGACAACAATCTTAGTCTAGGCAAGGTGTGACATCAATGTTAGTCTAGGCAAGGTGTGACATCAATGTTAGTCTAGGCAAGGTGTGACAATGTTAGTCTAGGCAAGGTGTGACATCAATGTTAGTCTAGTCAAGGTGTGACAACAATCTTAGTCTAGGCAAGGTGTGACATCAATCTTAGTCTAGGCAAGGTGTGACATCAATGTTAGTCTAGGCAAGGTGTGACATCAATGTTAGTCTAGGCAAGGTGTGACATCAATGTTGTCTAGGCAAGGTGTGACATCAATGTTAGTCTAGGCAAGGTGTGACATCAATCTTAGTCTAGGCAAGGTGTGACATCAATCTTAGTCTAGGCAAGGTGTGACATCAATGTTAGTCTAGGCAAGGTGTGACATCAATGTTAGTCTAGGCAAGGTGTGACATCAATGTTAGTCTAGGCAAGGTGTGACATCAATGTTAGTCTAGGCAAGGTGTGACATCTGTTATGTCCGACCTCCGACAGCCGCGGAGGAAGCGGACGCCCCAGGTTCGTTTGGTATGGTACCGATAGAAGACGTTGTAACGGAATCTCAACAACTTGCCGTGAGCTCGTTAATGCAGTCTAGGGGTAAAACACGACAAATCGAAGAGACTCACACGACTTAAACTATGAATACCTTTTTAATTTATGTACAAGAAAATGACACTAGGTAAGATCAAAATGTACAGATTCTCAGTGTAATATAAATAAACTCAACTCCAACTTACAGTTTGAGAAAAATCACAATACCTCACAGCTGTGATAAATCATTAATACACACAACTGAACTGGCCTCATAATAATTACAACAAAAGACCAAGGAGAGACAATTTGCCTCTACACCAATAGAAATCCTTATACAGGTTAAACTATCACCGATAGTCAAAAAGGCGTAATAATACACCAGAACACAAATTCAGTAAACTACAACTAGTCACATAATTCCTTATACAAAAGGTGAAATCATGTCACAAAATAACAATACTGCAAAATGTGGCGTACCTAACCACTGGCACACCTCTCCTAGTCCAAAAGTCAATCTGGCGGCCTCTGGACTTGAGAATCCCGTGATTAAATACAACTCAGAGTAAGGGGAAATAACTCAAAAGTCTTACGACTATTGGTTGAGGGTCAGTCAAGGATCCTCACGGTCGCAAGTCCATTGGTTGAGGTTCTGCCAGGGATTAAACTTACAATCACATGATGTGATAGCGTTCAGTTGACCGGGTTGTACCAGTGAACTGACAATTCTCCCAAGGACAAATACATAACTCAGGAGATTAAATATACATAAAGCCAAACAGACCTAAGTAGGTCATACATCAATGTTAGTCTAGGCAAGGTGTGACATCAATGTTAGTCTAGGCAAGGTGTGACATCAATCTTAGTCTAGGCAAGGTGTGACATCAATGTTAGTCTAGGCAAGGTGTGACATCAATCTTAGTCTAGGCAAGGTGTGACATCAATGTTAGTCTAGGCAAGGTGTGACATCAATGTTAGTCTAGACAAGGTGTGACATCAATCTTAGTCTAGGCAAGGTGTGACATCAATGTTAGTCTAGGCAAGGTGTGACATCAATGTTAGTCTAGGCAAGGTGTGACATCAATGTTAGTCTAGGCAAGGTGTGACATCAATGTTAGTCTAGGCAAGGTGTGACATCAATGTTAGTCTAGGCAAGGTGTGACATCAATGTTAGTCTAGGCAAGGTGTGACATCAATCTTAGTCTAGGCAAGGTGTGACATCAATGTTAGTCTAGGCAAGGTGTGACATCAATCTTAGTCTAGGCAAGGTGTGACATCAATGTTAGTCTAGGCAAGGTGTGACATCAATGTTAGTCTAGGCAAGGTGTGACATCAATGTTAGTCTAGGCAAGGTGTGACATCAATGTTAGTCTAGGCAAGGTGTGACATCAATCTTAGTCTAGGCAAGGTGTGACATCAATGTTAGTCTAGGCAAGGTGTGACATCAATGTTAGTCTAGGCAAGGTGTGACATCAATGTTAGTCTAGGCAAGGTGTGACATCAATGTTAGTCTAGGAAAGGTGTGACATCAATGTTAGTCTAGGCAAGGTGTGACATTAATCTTAGTCTAGGCAAGGTGTGACATCAATGTTAGTCTAGGCAAGGTGTGACATCAATGTTAGTCTAGGCAAGGTGTGACATCAATGTTAGTCTAGGCAAGGTGTGACATCAATGTTAGTCTAGGCAAGGTGTGACATCAATGTTAGTCTAGGCAAGGTGTGACATCAATGTTAGTCTAGGCAAGGTGTGACATCAATGTTAGTCTAGGCAAGGTGTGACATCAATGTTAGTCTAGGCAAGGTGTGACATTAATCTTAGTCTAGGCAAGGTGTGACATCAATGTTAGTCTAGGCAAGGTGTGACATCAATGTTAGTCTAGGCAAGGTGTGACATCAATGTTAGTCTAGGCAAGGTGTGACATCAATGTTAGTCTAGGCAAGGTGTGACATCAATGTTAGTCTAGGCAAGGTGTGACATTAGTATGTTAGTCTAGGCAAGGTGTGACATCAATGTTAGTCTAGGCAAGGTGTGACATCAATGTTAGTCTAGGCAAGGTGTGACATCAATGTTAGTCTAGGCAAGGTGGGACATCAATCTTAGTCTAGGCAAGGTGTGACATCAATGTTAGTCTAGGCAAGGTGGGACATCAATCTTAGTCTAGGCAAGGTGTGACATCAATGTTAGTCTAGGCAAGGTGTGACATCAATGTTAGTCTAGGCAAGGTGTGACATCAATCTTAGTCTAGGCAAGGTGTGACATCAATGTTAGTCTAGGCAAGGTGTGACATTAGTATGTTAGTCTAGGCAAGGTGTGACATTAGTATGTTAGTCGCAGACAAGTACAACTATGTCTAGTGACTTCATTGCCATTTCAATTAGGCAGCATATGATAGCATCTTAGGGTATTACCTTTAACATATGGTAACATCTGGTGGTATTAGCTATAACATATGGTAGCATCTTGTGGTATTACCTTTAACATATGGTAGTACTTGATGGTATTACCTTTAACATATGGTAGTACTTGATGGTATTACTTTTAACATATGGTAGCATCTGGTGGTATTACCTTTAACATATGGTAACATCTTGTGGTATTCAGGATCTCCCATAGCTCAGCGTTATCTCTGAGCAGTTGGTTGGTGTCAATATTGTCACAGAAATAGTAGGAGCTGATATTGGCAAAACGGACACAGTTCATCACCTGATGGGGGCGGGGGAGGAGTGGGCAACACAAGCATATAAACACTGCTAGAATCATTTCATAAACAGAGGTGATGAACAGTAGGATCAAACACAGAAGTGGCTACACACACTGGTATACAAGACTATATAATATATTATATAAGACTATCAGGTTTTAGTTTTGTTAACTAATTCTAAATAATATAAAACAACATTTTTCTAAAACTGGTTAATTTAACTGATTACGCAACCAGAAATTTGTCTGTACCTCTACGAGATTATTTTTCCTGGTGTCTGGGTCTTCGTTGACCCAGGCCATACACGCCTCGTACACGCTCTCCTCCATTGTGACGTTGAGGTCATCATCACTGACTATCTCAACCAGCTTGTCTATGGGCAGACACAGGAACTCTTGCTGCCTGCATAGGAGGGGGAACTGGGGGAGAGAAGAGGCAGGGGTCAGTGAGGGGGTCAGGGAGGGGACAGGGGTCAGTGAGGGGGTCAGGGGGGGGACAGAGGTCAGTGAGGGGACAGTGAGGGGGTCAGGGAGGGGACAGGGGTCAGTGAGGGGGTCAGGGAGGGGACAGGGGTCAGTGAGGGGGTCAGGGAGGGGACAGGGGTCAGTGAGGGGGTCAGGGAGGGGACAGGGGTCAGTGAGGGGGTCAGGGAGGGGACAGGGGTCAGTGAGGGGACAGTGAGGGGTCAGTGAAGAGACAGGGGTCAGTGAGGGGGTCAGTGAGGGGTCAGTGAAGAGACAGGGGTCAGTGAGGGGGTCAGGGAGGGGTCAGTGAGGGGGGGTCAGGGAAGGGACAGGGGTCAGTGAAGGAAAAGGGGTCAGGGAGAGGGACTGTGAGAAGGGATGGAGGGTTTATAGGGGGATGGGGTGAGTGTAATGCAGGGTTTAGTGGGGGATCAGTGTAGGTACAGGGTTTACTGGGTGGGGGGGGGGGGGAAGTGTGGAGAGAAGTGGGTCAGGGACAATAAGGGGACCAATAAATGCTGTACAAAATGGTACAAACTAAATGTTGCTGCTGCTAAGACACACTATGTTCGTACTTTGCTATCTACAAACTGTTCTACTCAACTGTACATGGTAGCAAGAGATGTGACATGATAGTGTGATATGACAAGGTCATGAGATCATGTTATTTGTCAAGTCAGATCATGATGTCATGACATGACATCATTATGTCATGGCATGAGATCATGATGTCATGGCATGAGATCATGATGTCATGTCAAAATATCACAATGTAATGTCATGAGATTGTGACATTGTGTCATAAGATCATGACATCATGTCATACAATCATGACATCATGTCATACAATCATGACATCATGTCATACAATCATGACATCATGTCATGATATTGTGACATGATGTCATGATATTGTGACATGATGTCATGATATTGTGACATCATGTCATTAGATCATGACATCATGCCAAAAGATTGTTATATCATGTCAAAAGATTGTGACGTCATGTCATTGTCACATTATGTCAAAAGATTGTGATGTCATATCATGAGATTGTGACATCATGTCAAAAGATCATGACATCATGTAATAAGATTGTGACATCATGATAATCCACTGACCTTGTTGTTGATGATCTCCTTAGCCTTGAGGGCCAGCACATTACACTGGTGGGCTTTAGCGAAGAAATACACACCAATACAGTTACTGACGTTGACGTGGTTCATCATGAACTCTGCGCAGCCGTCACGCAGTGAGATCAGCTGGAACAGATTGGCTGCGGACAGCAGGTGCTGTACAGTGTCTTCTGTCAGGTGGACCTGTGGGTCAACAATCTGATGGTTAGATTCTTTACAGTGTCTTCTGTCAGGTGGACCTAAGTAATCAATATGGCTAACTATTTTTATGACTTTTTAGAACTCCTAGAAACGACACTTATTTACTTTTCCCACTAGTTTCTTAAATCTATTCTAAGCATGTCTATTATCAACTGATAGTAAACAATTTCAGCAAGACTACTTAATCTAGTACTGAAAAAATTTCCAACATAAAAATATGTATGTGTTAGTAAGTCCTCATTTACATTATTGTAGAAATTCTACAACAGCAATTAAGTTTTTAATTTTATTCACAGCATCCTGTGACCACTGACCTGTCCAGTATAAATATAGTCCAGGATGAGCTGAAGTGTCCTGGGCTCCATGTCCTGCAGGGTGATACAGTCCTGCTGACCCTCCGCCAGACTGGTGGAGAACATGACCAGGAAGTACGGGCTGGACACAGCTAGAACATTCTTGTGACAGGGGAAGGAAGTCTGTTCTACCTTCAGAGTAATGTCAACAAACTGCTGGTTCTTGTATAGGGTGGAGAAACCTGGGGGGAGAAGGTATTTTAAAACATCATAGGATTTCAATGTGTTTTTTATGGATTAATACACAGACACAGACTTTCAACCACTGGCTTGTACCGTTTGTTTACAGGATTTTTTACTTTCTCGTATATACGAAGTATAGAGAAAGTATTGTAATCGTGCAAAAAAAAGAGCGATTTCCGATTCCGATAACCGGAAGTGGTACTTTTCTACTTTGAATTTATCAAAAGCCTATAACTTGAGTACTATTTCAGGTAGATAAATGAAATTTCACATGCAAGTAAAAGATCTAATTTTCTACCTTCTGTCAAATTTCGAGTAATTTCCGTTGAACGGAAGTACTAATTTACGCTATTTCCGATTTCTCAAAAAACGTATGTAAATTTATAAAATACTAATAGTATTGCGTACTATTATGCACATTTTGTTTTGGCGTTTACTCGGTGCGCAATTCATTTTTCTATTCTATTCTATTTTTAAAAGTTAAAGTAATTAAAAATCATGTCTATATAAGAATATTCGAGAAAGTTTAGGGGAGATCACTCCCGGTTTATTTATTTTGAGACTGAAGTAAAACAAAATGTCTGGGATTATGAAAGTGTTGTGTAGAAGGTTATGAGGTTTTCAAGGCTTCAGATTTTTAGTTTATGCAGAAAGTTTAATTAGTAAGGGCAATGTCCATCTGTACCTTAGAAGATAAAAGTTCAATGACCATTAGACAATAGGTTAAAGTTCAATGACCACCAGACAGGAGGTTAAAGTTCAATGACCAACAGACAGGAGGTTAAAGTTCAATGACCATTAGACAATAGGTTAAAGTTCAATGACCACCAGACAGGAGGTTAAAGTTCAATGACCACTAGACAGGAGGTTAAAGTTCAATGACCACCAGACAGGAGGTTAAAGTTCAATGACCACCAGACAGGAGGTTAAAGTTCAATGACCACCAGACAGGAGGTTAAAGTTCAATGACCACCAGACAGGAGGTTAAAGTTCAATGACCACCAGACAGGAGGCTAAAGTTCAATGACCACCAGACATGTGGTTAAAGTTCAATGACCACCAGACAGGAGGTTAAAGTTCAATGACCACCAGACAGGAGGTTAAAGTTCAATGACCACCAGACAGGAGGTTAAAGTTCAATGACCACCAGACAGGAGGCTAAAGTTCAATGACCACCAGACATGTGGTTAAAGTTCAATGACCACCAGACAGGAGGTTAAAGTTCAATGACCACCAGACAAGAGGTTAAAGTTCAATGACCAACAGACAGGAGGTTAAAGTTCAATGACCACCAGACAGGAGGTTAAAGTTCAATGACCACCACACAGAAGGTTAAAGTTCAATGACCACCAGACAGGAGGTTAAAGTTCAATGACCACCAGACAAGAGGTTAAAGTTCAATGACCAACAGACAGGAGGTTAAAGTTCAATGACCACCCGACAGGAGGTTAAAGTTCAATGACCACCAGACAGGAGGCTAAAGTTCAATGACCACCAGACATGTGGTTAAAGTTCAATGACCACCAGACAGGAGGTTAAAGTTCAATGACCACCAGACAAGAGGTTAAAGTTCAATGACCAACAGACAGGAGGTTAAAGTTCAATGACCACCAGACAGGAGGTTAAAGTTCAATGACCACCACACAGAAGGTTAAAGTTCAATGACCACCAGACAGGAGGTTAAAGTTCAATGACCACCAGACAAGAGGTTAAAGTTCAATGACCAACAGACAGGAGGTTAAAGTTCAATGACCACCCGACAGGAGGTTAAAGTTCAATGACCACCACACAGAAGGTTAAAGTTCAATGACCACCAGACAGGAGGTTAAAGTTCAATGACCACCAGACAGGAGGTTAATGTTCAATGACCATTAGACAGGAGGTTAAAGTTCAATGACCACCAGACAGGAGGTTAAAGTTCAATGACCACCAGACAGGAGGTTAAAGTTCAATGACCACCAGACAGGAGGTTAAAGTTCAATGACCACCAGACAGGAGGTTAAAGTTCAATGACCACCAGACAGGAGGTTAAAGTTCAATGACCACCAGACAGGAGGTTAAAGTTCAATGACCAACAGACAGGAGGTTAAAGTTCAATGACCATTAGACAAGAGGTTAAAGTTCAATGACCATTAGACAAGAGGTTAAAGTTCAATGACCACCAGACAGGAGGTTAAAGTTCAATGACCATTAGACAAGAGGTTAAAGTTCAATGACCACCAGACAGGAGGTTAAAGTTCAATGACCACAAGACAGGAGGTTAAAGTTCAATGACCACAAGACAGGAAGTTAAAGTTCAATGACCACCAGACAAGAGGTTAAAGTTCAATGACCAACAGACAGGAGGTTAAAGTTCAATGACCACCAGACAGGAGGTTAAAGTTCAATGACCACCAGACAGGAGGTTAAAGTTCAATGACCAACAGACAGGAGGTTAAAGTTCAATGACCACCAGTACCTGACAGGAGATTTGCCGCCCTGGCCTCATCAGTGTATAGGTCCTCCCCTGGGGCTGAGGCTTCACTATTTGGAGATGTACAGGAGTCGCACAGTTTCAAGTCGGACATTTTACTCTCAGTTGTCATGGTTGACAGAAAGGTTCTGTAGTAACAGATGGAAAACTACAGCAGGTCGGTTATTCAAAGTACATTGTTATAAAACATGAAAGGTATAAACAACATAATTAATAAGGCCAGCAGAATTCTCAAAATACTACAGAAGATTCATAAGTATCCATTAAATAAAATACAATATGAAGAATATGATCAATATTATTCATTAGCCTACTATATATATATATATATATATATATATATATATATATATATATATATATATATATATATATATATATATATATATATATTGTAAGAGCAACTATTAATAAATTAATATTAGACAAGGCCTATGCAGCAGATTGAGACATGTGTTCTATATTTTAAATTATAAATTCAGACATACTTACAGATTTTGGTCTAGGAGAAAGGTTAGGTTTTGCAATTCTTTTTCATAAGGTTTCCATGCACTGAAAGATTTTAATAAATGTTTTCTTTTTACTTTCAACAATTACAAAATACCTATGAGATACACTTTTAATAATAACTAATAACTTTACTAAAAAAGTTCAGCTATTAGGTGTTTATATAATATTTTTTTTAAATTAATTTTAATAGGCATATAATTAATAATATTTAGACCTAGCAGCTAGCTTTTGCAAATATAAACCTAGCCCTACTCAGTACCAGATACTATACTAACAGTAATAATTATCAAAAACACTAAAAATTCATTAGCTTAACCAAATGATTTGCCTTTACAAATGCTAAACTTGCTAAACCATTCCAGAATAGTAAAATAATATTAATAAGGCCCTTAGGGATCGTCCATAAATGGGGGGAGTGGGGGTCAGTAATTTTGTGACGGTATATGATGAGGGGGAGGGGGGGGTTCAGATGGTGCGACGTCACACTTTTGCATTATCAAAAAGCAATGTTAGAAAACAAATTTTAGACATTATTTTGGGTTTTAGAAAACTTTTTTAATAAATTGTAATTGGAATTGATTAAAATACTCTTTTTTGACAGAGTTCAGACAAGATTTTGGAAAAATATAGATGTTTAAAAAAAATTCAACTGCAATTTTGATGGGGGTTGTAGGTTGAGGTGTGACGTCATTTTAGGGGGGTCTGGCTTTTTGTGACGACGTGTGACAGAGGGGAGAGACAAAAACTGTCAAAAAAAGCGTGACGTCATTTATGGATGACCCCTTTAACTCTTAACAGACTGAGGGTTTTAGTGATATTTTCAGTGTTCGGCAGTATGCTTGTAACTTTTGACCATAAGTATAGATTGAACATCAGTACACACATGTGTTATATATCATTGTGTAGGTATTTGATTTGTCTTTAATATTACTGAAGAGTTTTTAGGTGTTAACAATTGGTTTTAGTTTTGTAGCCTAAAATTGGATGGTTTTATTTTAAAAAAATAATTAAAAACTTTAAAATCAACAGTTCCTAAGAAGCAAAAAAATAATTAATAAGAGCTATTGAGTTTATATGTATATTTTATTGACTTACATCCATATATGTATAAATGTGACAATTTTGAATGCACTGTGCCAAGAAATGGATTTTTCACAAATTAATTGATCTTATGATGATCTTTACATGATTTGGACCTCTCCGCAAACATTTTTACTCTAAAAGTGGCAAACATAGGTTAACATGTAATCAAACACACACATAAGTCAATGTAATGAAATAATCAAATTGTAATATCTACAGTGCTTCTTATTACATTAAAACAGATGCTTTTAATGATCTTCAATTAATAAATAATGCGAACACACATGATAACTAAACAAACAATTTCCTTCTTTTTGTAAACATAAAGTGTATCATATACACTTATCTACACTTAACTTACATTCTTTTAATATTGTTTTATCATACAATAACAATTTAAAAACCTCATTCTAATCTGATATAGTATGGTTCATAGAATGGTTGGAAAATAATGGTGGCTTACAAGCCAAAGAAACAGTATGGTTAAGTGAAATATTACCTAACTTTCCAACTAACTTTTAAAGAGTGTAATTGGCAATACCATGTTGGAATTTTTTTCCCTATGATATCTGGATTCTTTTCTCAATAATCTTGAAGTAAAATACAGAAATTAACTTTAGTTATATCTCAAAGGTGAAAAAAATTAGTTCTAGTACACTACTAGTACTTAATTGTTTACCGAAGGACATAACAATTTAATTAACTGATCACTTTCATCCACCACATAAGCTAACCAATCTGGCCCACTGACCAGAATAATAAAATATAAAAAACAAAACCTTATGTGTAACCTCTCAATGATCAGCCAAAGCTCATAATTGCATACCCTACTGTTGGCTTATCCACAATCATAATGTATTGTCAAGAAAAATATTCTTCCTAACCATTCACCATTGTCTTATCTATGGAAATATTGTATAAAGCTACAACAATTTGCTGCACTTAATTTTGATGTAAGTAGGATGCATTATTTGTATAATATGTCCTCTGTATGTTCAGTATCTTGATAGTACATCTTTCAAAAAGCATGACAGCTTTGAAGCAATAGCGTGATATGAAAGCTTGAGCCGCAGTCCATTGTAGAGCATAGAGTAAATTCTTGCTTCAGAATCTGTCAAAATGAGTGTTGATAATCCCCAGCACATATTTAAGTCCATAAAACCTGTAAGATTTAATCAGGTGTCAAATTAAACCATCCCGAGACAGATAGGTGATCTGCGTCGCTTTACATATCCATTGGTAAATTGACATAATGGATGTATGTCACAATATCCACTGTAGAGTTTACAAACACAGTAAGTTTGAGTAAACATATACTTCATTGTACTGTCTCCTGTCCTCATCTCAGCCAGCTAAATTCCTGGTTCTTTCTCAGGAGGTAATAGTCCCAGTTGATAAGGGATACCCATTCACTCCTTTTTTCCTTTATACATTCTCAGTTCTGTTGAAAAGAAAAAATGGTAAATATTTAAAATATGGATTCTATTCAATATTTTCACATATAATAATTTCATCATAAATGTTAGGTGATTTATAATAAGTTAGTACAAGTTAGTACTGTTTGTAACAAAAGAAAACTGAGTTTTTATTACAGTCATGTATGATCAGCTGATTTGTGTTTACATTCTAGACGGTAGACAGTACTGCTACCAATACTACTATTATTTAATAATTGTCATATACTATGAACTGAAACTAGGCTAGTTACATAGTAAAATGATTGAAGTGTTCTTTTAACTACACATTTATATCTAATTAATATCATTAAAAAGAAAAATTTATAAAAATCGCCAAAAAATCAGTAGGAAAAAAACGATAAAAACTGAGTTACTTACGATGTGTAGAGAAAGAGTTCAAAATAGTGTTCAAAACTGTATTTTCATTATCTCCAGTGTCTAGGACATCAGTAAGGTCTTACACTTCTTCGTTACTTGAATCTAAATCATTTTCACGCAGATAATTAGAATCTAATTCCATTTTCCATGAGGTCTGACCGAGGATGAATGCAAAGTCGGCAAGATGGCGGCGTCTCGCCGATCACGCGATAGCATTAATTTTCGTACTCGAAAATATATAATAAGTTTAAAATTAATAATATTTTTTGCAGATTATGATTAATTCATCATTTATTTTGATATAAAATGCTATTGTGCTTGAAAAAAAACATGTTTATCACCATTTTTATGACCTCAAAGTCACATGACAATAATGGGACATAAACCAATCAATCGTTGGGTGGGAGTTAAAGCCATAGGCCTAACTAAGCCTATTAAATAAAAGGCCGATACTAGCCGGAAAAAGATATGCATGCGCATTGGAGAGAAACTACGACTTGCCTTCGTGGCGATGTTTTTTGATGGTACTGCGCATGCGTGTGTTTACAACTGCAGAACCCTAACCCTATACTTAAACTCAGCCATAGGTCACTGCGCATGTGCAGTACTATCTTTTGCCAACTAGGTGGAGACGTTGGGGCGAAAAATCTTTTTCCGAGTAGTCACTTCGTAAATAAAATAGGGGTAGGTCATTAATTTTAAAGGATTAGGTGATTAGGCCTATAAAATTAGGGGCAATTTAGTAGTATTTCTCGCTAACCCGGAGGCGTGGCCGGTTGCTAACAACAATATGGCGCCCGGACCGGACGCTTGACTTCCGACGATTTTTCGGCCAAATTCCAGAGACCTTCTACTAATTAGTTTTTAAAATGTTTACCACGCGCAAAATGGCGGGACTTTCACGTTATAACAACAAGCTATAGGTGGCAGGGCTATATATGCCAGAAAAGCATTTTAAAATTTGCGTTGGAGAATGAAGGCTAAATTTAAAAGTTGGTTTCATCAAAAATACTAGAACTTTTTAAATATAGATTTCCCTATTACAAAATTGATTTCCCTACTAAAGCATTATTAGTTTTATCAGTCTATGAAAAAATAAATCAAATATAGTCAACCCTTTTTTTTATAAGAGTGGCCAAAAAATGACAACCAAATTTTTTTTATTTTTTTGACCACGTGACCGCTATTTGATGATCACTAGTGGGGAACTCTGGGTACATGGCCACTTAAAAAGTCTAACCGCATTTGTGGTTTTCTTTAGCTTCAAGTGCCTTCAGGGGTAAGAAGAGTTGTCATGGAGAGATGTGTTGTCCATGGCAGTGAGTGTCAATAAATATTAAATTAAGTAATTTAGTTTAAAACGAACTAAAAACTTCAAAATTAGTCCCTAATGGATTAAATATGGATGTCTATCATTCAGTAGTCATGTTTAATTTGAAATTTGGGTAAATTCTAGATTTAGTAAGAAAAGCTACAATTTAGGCACAAATATGCTCTAACAAAACTAAAGTCTAAAACTTTTAGTAAAAGTCTAACAGTCTAAGCTAAGACTCTAAACTCTAAGAAGAGTAAGACTAAGATATTAAGATATATTTATAACTATATATAACGTTCTAAGAATAAAGGAGTAAGAACAGCTGAGATGGCCAGCCAGATGTGTACGCCTAACTTACTAGATTTAGATCTAGATCTACTAAAAGCTACTGATGATCCAAGAAGCATGATGTTGTTAAAACAAGTTGAAATTTGTGTAACTACAGACAACTTTCACGAACAAACAAGGTAAAATTAGAAAATAGATATCAATCTAGACTGCTCTATCTGGATCTAGATCTAGATATCAGACTGCTACTGCTATGGTAAATAAACAAATCCTTCGAGAGCTCTTCTTTTGTAAAGGAAACTAGAAATATACTATTTTGCAAATGTAAAATATGGATTATGGTACTTTTATTTCGTTATTATTTTTAAGTAGGAAACAATTTATTTTTTTGACTAGATTCTAGATCTAGATCTAGATTTGACGTAAAATATTAAAAACCATTGTTCCTTTTTTGTTTTTAAAAATAAACTGTTATACTGACAGACTTGTTTACTGTTTAGGCCTTTAACAAAACTTTTTGACTAACTATTCAAAATTAAAGCTCTAAAGTAAGAGAAAGCGTATAAAAATAATGACTTAGGCTATCAACCTTAAATCTTAAAAGTAGAATTTAGCTGAATACTAGATAAAGTTCAAGCGTGCACACCAAAGTGCTAAACGGTGCAAAAACAACACCGGAAACTATTTGTCTTTCACCTTACAACTGGCTTCGTAGCAGATATAAACGAACGTTTTGCTTCAAATTGAAAAAGCCATGAATTCTTTTACTATTTCTCTGCTTTTTCTCGTCGGTAATCTTTTGATAGTTGGGGTTCACAGTAGCAGCATAATACCCGAAGGTCCTATGACCGATCAAGGTAAAAAAACAAAACATTCGGTCCATATTTTTCAAAATCTGGTGTAAGTGTAACAAGTAATAAGGCATGTTGGTGAGTTTAGTTCGGCTCAGTGTTTAGACTAGTAGACTTTAGTCTGATCTTTGTAAAAAAAAGTATGAGATAATCTGTTCACGTCTAACAACACTGTTAGACACTGCTAACATCTGAGCAGTTACGTAAATACTTAGCCGACTTGTTAAAAAAACTGCACCGATACAAAAAAAAATCTTCACTCAACTCCCTACCAGTGTAGGGGGGGGGGGGGCACTTGAAATTTTCGGGGGGGGGGGGGGGGCTGTAGACTTTCTTCGGGGGGGGGGGGGTGGGGCGGACACTGTTAAAAGTATATATTTTCTATATAAAATTCATTTCGTTCGGGGGGGGGGGGGGGCGGTCGATGAACAGGCAATATGAATCTACATATGTTACAGAATAGACTGTTTTGTTACATAGCAGATATGAACGCTAGCAAAACACCAGACTACGTTCTTAATAAAGCAAGCTTTCTCTCTCTCTCTCTCTCTCTCAGTTTTCAATGCTGGCTGCAGCAGTGGCGTAACCAGGATCGTCTCGGGGGGGGGGGGGGGGGGGGACGACCAATTTTTACCCGGGGACAAACTTTCGATTTTCACCCCCCCCCCCCTTAAACTTTCGATTTGCACCCCCTCAAACTTTAGATTTGCACACCCCCCTCAAACTTTCGATTTGCACCACCCCCCTCAAACTGTCGATTTCCACCCCCCCCTCAAACTTTATATATATATACCGAGGGGTCTATGGGGGGGGGGGGTTATGACCCCCCCAACCCCGCCCCCCCCCCGCCTACGCCACTGGGCTGCAGTGTTTCTTCCAGACTTTTTTCTCATGATTGCTAGAATCTGATGGCCAGAGTCTGATTGATTGCTAGAGTCTGATTGCTAGAGTCTGATTGCTAGAGTCTGATTGCTAGAGGCTAGAGTCTGATTGCTAGTTTGAATGCTAGAGTATGATTGCTGGAGTCTGATTGCTAGAGTCTGATTGCTAGAGTCTGATGGCTAGAGTCTGATGGCTAGATTCTAATTTCCTCAGAGCGCAAGGACTGGGAGCACATGCAGAAACTGCTGGACATTGAGATGCAGAAAGCGCGGGAAAAGTACAGCAAGAAGCCCGGCTGCGATGCTGAGGAGAAGCCGGTACAAGCCGAGATGTTGAGACCTACATCCGGTGACAGCTTTGAGGAGGTGTACCGCAAGCACATGTGTGACATGTGTAATGGGGTCGCAGTTCAGGTGTGTTGTGAGTAACCCTGTCTTTGTGTTGTGGGGTAGGAACGGAGGGCGTGTTGTGGAGATGCTGTGTGTGTGTTGGGGGTGGGGGTTGCTGCTCTGGTTTGTTGTGTGGTCGAGGGTGTCTGGTATGTTGTGTGTGTGAGGTTGATTGTCTGGTATGTTGTGTGTGTGAGGTTGATTGTCTGGTATGTTATGTGTGTGAGGTTGATTGTCTGGTATGTTCTGTGGGGGAAGTTGATTGTCTGGTATGTTGTGTGTGTGAGGTTGATTGTCTGGTATGTTGTGTGTGTGAGGTTGATTGTCTGGTATGTTGTGTGGGGGAGGTTGATTGTCTGGTGTGTTGTGTGTGGGGGAAGTTGATTGTCTGGTATGTTGTGTGGGGGAAGTTGATTGTCTGGTATGTTGTGTGTGGGGGAAGTTGATTGTCTGGTATGTTGTGTGTGGGGGAAGTTGATTGTCTGGTATGTTGTGTGTGGGAGGTTGATTGTCTGGTATGTTGTGTGGGGGAGGTTGATTGTCTGGTGTGTTGTGTGGGGGAGGTTGATTGTCTGGTGTGTTGTGTGTGGGGGAAGTTGATTGTCTGGTATGTTGTGTGGGGGAAGTTGATTGTCTGGTATGTTGTGTGTGGGGGAAGTTGATTGTCTGGTATGTTGTGTGGGGGAGGTTGATTGTCTGGTATGTTGTGTGTGAGGTTGATTGTCTGGTATGTTGTGTGGGAGGTTGATTGTCTGGTGCATTGTGTGTGGGGGAGGTTGATTGTCTGGTATGTTGTGTGTGGGGGAGGTTGATTGTCTGGTATGTTGTGTGTGGGAAGTTGATTGTCTGGTATGTTGTGTGGGGGAGGTTGATTGTCTGGTATGTTGTGTGGGGGAAGTTGATTGTCTGGTATGTTGTGTGGGGGAAGTTGATTGTCTGGTATGTTGTGTGGGGGAGGTTGATTGTCTGGTATGTTGTGTGGGGGAAGTTGATTGTCTGGTATGTTGTGTGTGAGGTTGATTGTCTGTGTTGTGTGGGGGAGGTTGATTGTCTGGTATGTTGTGTGGGGGAAGTTGATTGTCTGGTATGTTGTGTGTGAGGTTGATTGTCTATGTTGTGTGGGGGAAGTTGATTGTCTGGTATGTTGTGTGTGTGAGGTTGATTGTCTGGTATGTTATGTGGGGGAGGTTGATTGTCTGGTATGTTATGTGGGGGAGGTTGATTGTCTATGTTGTGTGGGGGAAGTTGATTGTCTGGTATGTTGTGTGTGGGAAGTTGATTGTCTGGTATGTTGTGTGGGGGAAGTTGATTGTCTGGTATGTTATGTGGGGGAGGTTGATTGTCTATGTTGTGTGGGGGAAGTTGATTGTCTGGTATGTTGTGTGTGGGAAGTTGATTGTCTGGTATGTTGTGTGGGGGAAGTTGATTGTCTGGTATGTTGTGTGGGGGAGGTTGATTGTCTGTGTTGTGTGGGGGAAGTTGATTGTCTGGTGTGTTGTGTGGGGGAAGTTGATTGTCTGGTATGTTGTGTGTGAGGTTGATTGTCTGGTGTGTTGTGTGGGGGAAGTTGATTGTCTGGTATGTTGTGTGTGGGAGGTTGATTGTCTGTGTTGTGTGGGGGAAGTTGATTGTCTGGTGTGTTGTGTGGGGGAAGTTGATTGTCTGGTATGTTGTGTGTGAGGTTGATTGTCTGGTGTGTTGTGTGGGGGAAGTTGATTGTCTGGTATGTTGTGTGGGGGAAGTTGATTGTCTGGTATGTTGTGTGGGGGAAGTTGATTGTCTGGTATGTTGTGTGGGGGAGGTTGATTGTCTGGTATGTTGTGTGTGAGGTTGATTGTCTGGTGTGTTGTGTGGGGGAAGTTGATTGTCTGGTATGTTGTGTGGGGGAAGTTGATTGTCTGTGTTGTGGGGTAGTGGTTGCTGCTCTGGTGTGTTGTGAGGGAGAAGGTGTATTGTCTGCTGTGTAGTGCGTATGTGGGGAGGGGGGGGTGGGCTGCTAACCTCAGCCTGTGTGATCAGCCTCATTGATGTCTCCTCCCCCTCCTGTGTAGCTGGAGAAAGGTATGGTCAGCGGAGACAAGAGGAAGAAATATGGAGGGTCACTCTCTGAGGATGACGTCATTGAACTCGCCCAGAAAATTTGTAGCAAGAAAGTAGACAGGTATGACAAGACTGCCCAAACAGCAATACCAGTTTGGCCAATAGGTTGGTTTGGCTAACTGGGCGGTTTGGCCAACAGGTTGGTTTGGCCAATAGGTTGGTTTGGCTAACTGGGCGGTTTGGCCAACAGGTTGGTTTGGCCAACAGGTTGGTTTGGCTAACTAGGCGGTTTGGCCAACAGGGTGGTTTGGCTAACAGGTTGGTTTGGCCAACAGGTTGGTTTGGCCAATAGGTTGGTTTGGCTAACTGGGCGGTTTGGCCAACAGGTTGGTTTGGCCAACAGGTTGGTTTGGCCAACAGGTTGGTTTGGCCAACAGGGTGGTTTGGCTAACAGGTTGGTTTGGCCAACAGGTTGGTTTGGCCAACAGGGTGGTTTGGCTAACAGGTTGGTTTGGCCAACAGGTTGGTTTGGCCAATAGGTTGGTTTGGCTAACTGGGCGGTTTGGCCAACAGGTTGGTTTGGCCAACAGGTTGGTTTGGCCAACAAGTTGGTTTGGCCAACAGGGTAGTTTGGCTAACAGGTTGGTTTGGCCAACAGGTTGGTTTGGCCAATAGGTTGGTTTGGCTAACTAGGCGGTTTGGCCAACAGGTTGGTTTGGCCAACAGGTTGGTTTGGCCAACAGGTTGGTTTGGCCAACAGGGTGGTTTGGCTAACAGGTTGGTTTGGCCAACAGGTTGGTTTGGCCAACAGGGTGGTTTGGCTAACAGGTTGGTTTGGCCAACAGGTTGGTTTGGCCAATAGGTTGGTTTGGCTAACTGGGCGGTTTGGCCAACAGGTTGGTTTGGCCAACAGGTTGGTTTGGCCAACAAGTTGGTTTGGCCAACAGGGTGGTTTGGCTAACAGGTTGGTTTGGCCAACAGGTTGGTTTGGCCAATAGGTTGGTTTGGCTAACTAGGCGGTTTGGCCAACAGGTTGGTTTGGCCAACAGGTTGGTTTGGCTAACTGGGCGGTTTGGCCAACAGGTTGGTTTGGCCAACAGGTTGGTTTGGCCAACAAGTTGGTTTGGCCAACAGGGTGGTTTGGCTAACAGGTTGGTTTGGCCAACAGGTTGGTTTGGCCAATAGGTTGGTTTGGCTAACTAGGCGGTTTGGCCAACAGGTTGGTTTGGCCAACAGGTTGGTTTGGCCAACAGGTTGGTTTGGCCAACAGGGTGGTTTGGCTAACAGGTTGGTTTGGCCAACAGGTTGGTTTGGCCAACAGGGTGGTTTGGCTAACAGGTTGGTTTGGCCAACAGGTTGGTTTGGCCAATAGGTTGGTTTGGCTAACTGGGCGGTTTGGCCAACAGGTTGGTTTGGCCAACAGGTTGGTTTGGCCAACAGGTTGGTTTGGCCAACAGGTTGGTTTGGCCAACAGGGTGGTTTGGCTAACAGGTTGGTTTGGCCAACAGGTTGGTTTGGCCAACAGGGTGGTTTGGCCAACAGGTTGGTTTGGCCAACAGGGTGGTTTGGCTAACAGGGTGGTTTGGCTAACAGGTTGGTTTGGCCAACAGGTTGGTTTGGCCAACAGGGTGGTTTGGCTAACAGGTTGGTTTGGCCAACAGGTTGGTTTGGCCAACAGGTTGGTTTGGCCAACAGGGTGGTTTGGCTAACAGGTTGGTTTGGCCAACAGGGTGGTTTGGCCAACAGGGTGGTTTGGCCAACAGGTTGGTTTGGCCAACAGGTTGGTTTGGCCAACAGGTTGGTTTGGCCAACAGGGTGGTTTGGCCAACAGGTTGGTTTGGCCAACAGGGTGGTTTGGCCAACAGGTTGGTTTGGCCAACAGGTTGGATTGGCCAACAGGTTGGTTTGGCCAACAGGTTGGTTTGGCCAACAGGTTGGTTTGGCCAACAGGGTGGTTTGCCCAACAGGTTGGTTTGGCCAACTGGGTGGTTTGGCTAACTGGGTGGTTTGGCCAACAGCTTGGTTTGGCTAACTGGGTGGTTTGGCCAACAGCTTGGTTTGGCCAACAGGTTGGTTTGGCCAACTGGGTGGTTTGGCCAACTGGGTGGTTTGGCCAACAGGTTGGTTTGGCCAACAGGTTGGTTTGGCCAACTGGGTGGTTTGGCCAACAGGGTGGTTTGGCCAACAGGTTGGTTTGGCCAACTGGGTGGTTTGGCCAACAGGTTGGTTTGGCCAACTGGGTGGTTTGGCTAACTGGGTGGTTTGGCCAACAGCTTGGTTTGGCTAACAGCTTGGTTTGGCCAACAGCTTGGTTTGGCTAACAGTTTGTTTAGGCCAATTTTGTCTTGCAAGCATATTTATTTTGACCAACTGGTTGTTTGGCTAGTGTAGAGTGTCGACGATAATTTAAAAAAAACTCAATAGATTCAAAACCTTTTATATATCAACAAAAAACAACCTCTGTGAATGTAGTGTAAGGTATTTATTTTTCTACCCACAATCACAAGAAACCTCTCTTACACCTGGATTATAGGGTGCGGTCTCATTGGCCCACCTAGATGGTAGGCTCAAGTCTTGTTGGCCCACCTAGATGGTAGGCTCAAGTCTTGTTGGCCCACCTAGATGGTAGGCTCAAGTCTCATTGGCCCACCTAGATGGTAGGCTCAAGTCTTGTTGGCCCACCTAGATGGTAGGCTCAAGTCTTGTTGGCCCACCTAGATGGTAGGCTCAAGTCTCATTGGCCCACCTAGATGGTAGGCTCAAGTCTCATTGGCCCACCTAGATGGTAGGCTCAAGTCTTGTTGGCCCACCTAGATGGTAGGCTCAAGTCTTGTTGGCCCACCTAGATGGTAGGCTCAAGTCTTGTCGGCCCACCTAGATGGTAGGCTCAAGTCTTGTCGGCCCACCTAGATGGTAGGCTCAAGTCTTGTTAGCCCACCTAGATGGTAGGCTCAAGTCTTGTAGGCCCACCTAGATGGTAGGCTCAAGTCTTGTTGGCCCACCTAGATGGTAGGCTCAAGTCTTGCTGGCCCACCTAGATGGTAGGCTCAAGTCTTGTTAGCCCACCTAGATGGTAGGCTCAAGTCTTGTTGGCCCACCTAGATGGTAGGCTCAAGTCTTGTTGGCCCACCTAGATGGTAGGCTCAAGTCTTGCTGGCCCACCTAGATGGTAGGCTCAAGTCTTGTTGGGCCACCTAGATGGTAGGCTCAAGTCTTGTTAGCCCACCTAGATGGTAGGCTCAAGTCTTGTTGGCCCACCTAGATGGTAGGCTCAAGTCTTGTTGGGCCACAAAGTCGGGCCGCCCCCACCACCACTAGTTTATTAGCCCTGTTTTTTTTTACTGATCTTTAATTACATTAACTCTTAACGTTACATTCACCGGCATTGGCTTGTCATTAACACCACAGTGGCGTCACTAGGTCGGGTATCATCCGGTGGGGTAACCGAGGGTGTCATCCCCAGTGTTTCTTCCATACTTTTTTCTCTTGGGGACTTGAAATGGTATCACTCCCTACACTAACATAGGCACCTGTACTCCCCACACCTGTACTCCCCACACTAACCTGTACTCCCCACACTAACCAGTACTTACCGCACTTCTTCTTCTTCTTCTTATACGGAAACCGGCTCAGAAGGTTGACTTCCATCAGCCAGGCAGGCCTCAGTGTAGCAAACTCCGACCACAAGAGTTCCCCACACCTCGGTCGCTACTTCCGTGGGCTCTCACCGGGCTTTCCTTCCCCACCCACCAGACGCGGGACGTCGTCCCACCGCCTGGTACCCAGCTTGATCGAGGGGGGCATTCCGCCAGATCAAAACCCTCTAGCTGCTGTTATCTGCTACCGGCCATTCCGCACCCACTAGGGGGACATGAGTTTGGTCGGACCAGTGGCATTATTCCGAAGCCCCGTTAAGGCCGCAGCTTAAAGTCAAAATATCTGACTCTTTTGGTTCCCGGCAGTCTTGCACCTCTCCTCCCCCACGCTATTATGTGGGGGACTTGGGAGTCCGACGTACCAGGCTCTTCGGAAGAGCCGAACGCATACAGCAGTTCTACTCGGCCAGATCAAAAACCTCTAGCTGCTGTTGGCTACCACTAGCCATCCCGCACCCACTAGGGGGGTCATGAGCTTGGTCCGACTAGTGGCACACATCCGAAGCCACGTGAAGGCCGCAGCTTAAAGTCAAGACATCTGGTTAGGGTCGAGAGCAAAACCCTTACCGCACTAACCTGTACTCTCCACACTAGCCTGTACTCCCCACACTATCCTGTACTCCCCACACGAACCTGTACTCCCCACACTATGTACTCCCCACACTACGCTGTACTCCCCACACTAACCTGTACTCCCCACACTAGCCTGTACTCCCCACACTACCCTGTCCTCCCCACACTATGTAATCCCCACACGAGCCTGTACTCCACACACTAACCTGTACTCCTCACACCTGTACTCCCCACACCTGTACTCCCCACACCTGTACTCCCCACACCTGTACTCCCCACACCTGTACTCCCACACCTGTACTCCCCACACCTGTACTCCCCACACCTGTACTCCCCACACCTGTACTCCCCACACCTGTACTCCCCACACTAACCAGTACTCCCCACACTATCATGTACTCCCCACACTACCCTGTACTCCCCACACTAACCTGTACTCCCCACACTACGCTGTACTCCCCACACTAACCTGTACTCCCCACACTACGCTGTACTCCCCACACTAACCTGTACTCCCCACACTAACCTGTACTCCTCACACTAACCTGTACTCCCCACACCTGTACTCCCCACACTAACCTGTACTCCCCACACTACGCTGTACTCCCCACACTAACCTGTACTCCCCACACTAACCTGTACTCCTCATACTAACCTGTACTCCCCACACTACTCTGTACTCCCCACACTACCCTGTACTCCCCACACTATTCTGTACTGCCCACACTAACCTGTACTCCTCACACTAACCTGTACTCCCCACACTACTCTGTACTCCCCACACTACCCTGTACTCCCCACACTATTCTGTACTGCCCACACTAACCTGTACTCCTCACACTAACCTGTACTCCTCACACTAACCTGTACTCCCCACACTACTCTGTACTCCCCACACCTGTATTGACCACACTACCCTGTACTCCCCACACATGTACTTCCCACACCTGTACTCCCCACACTAACATGTACTCCCCACACTAACCTGTACTCCTCACACTAACCTGTACTCCTGACACTAACCTGTACTCCCCACACTACCCTGTACTCCCCACACATGTACTCCCCACACCTGTACTCCCCACACTAACATGTACTCCCCACACTACCCTGTACTCCCCACTCCTGTACTCCCCACTCCTGTACTCCCCACACTACCGTGTACTCCCCACACTAACCTGTACTCACCACACCTGTATTGACCACACTACCCTGTACTCCCCACACTAACCTGTACTCCCCACACTAACCTGTACTCACCACACCTGTACTCCCCACACTACCCTGTACTCCCCACACTACCCTGTACTCCCCTCACCAACCTGTACTCCCCACACTACCCTGTACTCCCCACCTGTACTCCCCACACTACCCTGTACTCCCCACCTGTACTCCCCACCTGTACTCCCCACACCTGTACTCCCCACACCTGTACTCCCCACACTACCCTGTACTCCCCACACTACCCTGTACTCCCCTCACCAACCTGTACTCCCCACACTATCCTGTACTCCCCACCTGTACTGCCCACACTACCCTGTACTCCCCACACTACCCTGTACTCCCCTCACCAACCTGTACTCCCCACACTATCCTGTACTCCCCACCTGTACTGCCCACACTACCCTGTACTCCCCACATTACCCTGTACTCCCCACACTACCCTGTACTCCCCACACCAACCTGTACTCCCCACACTACCCTGTACTCCCCACACTACCCTTTACTCCCCACACCAATATGTACTCCCTACAGTACACTGTACCCCCACACTACCCTGTACTCCCCACACTAACCTGTCCTCCCCACACTACCTTGTCCTCCCCACACTACCCTGTACTCCCCACACTACCCTGTACTCCCCACACTAACCTGTCCTCCCCACACTACCTTGTCCTCCCCACACTACCCTGTACTCCCCACACTACCCTGTACTCCCCACACTACCCTGTACTCCCCACCTGTACTCCCCACCTGTACTCCCCACACCTGTACTCCCCACACTACCCTGTACTCCCCACCTGTACTCCCCACACCTGTACTCCCCACACTACCCTGTACTCCCCACACTAACCTGTACTCCCCACACGAACCTGTACTCCCCACACTACCCTATACTCCCCACACTACCCTGTACTCCCCACACTAACCTGTACTCCCCACCTGTATTCCCCACCTTACTCCCCACACTACCCTGTACTCCCCACCTGTACTCCCCACACTACCCTGTACTCCCCACACCTGTACTCCCCACACCTGTACTCCCCACACTACCCTGTACTCCCCACACTAACCTGTACTCCCCACCTGTATTCCCCACCTTACTCCCCACACTACCCTGTACTCCCCACCTGTACTCCCCACACCTGTACTCCCCACACTACCCTGTACTCCCCACACTAACCTGTACTCCCCACCTGTATTCCCCACCTTACTCCCCACACTACCCTGTACTCCCCACCTGTACTCCCCACACTAACCTGTACTCCCCACACTACCCTGTACTCCCCACACCTGTACTCCCCACACCTGTACTCCCCACACTACCCTGTACTCCCGACACTACCCTGTACTCCCCACACTATTCTGTACTCCCCACACTACCATGTACTCCCCACACCTGTACTCCCCACACCTGTACTCCCCACACTACCCTGTACTCCCCACACTACCCTGTACTCCCCACACTAACCTGTACTCCCTACCTGTACTCCCCACACCTGTACTCCCCACATTTCCCTATACTCCCCACACTACCCTGTACTCCCCACACTACCATGTACTCCCCACACTACCCTGTACTCCCCACACTAACCTGTACTCCCCACACTACCCTGTACTCCCGACACCTGTATTCCCCACACTACCCTGTACTCCCAACACCTGTACTCCTCACACCTGTACTCCCCACATAACCTTGGACTTCCCACACTACCCTGTACTCCCCACACTACCCTGTACTCCCCACACTACCCTGTACTCCCCACACTACCCTGTACTCCCCACACTACCCTGTACTCCCCACACTACCCTGTACTCCCCACACCTGTACTCGCCAAACCAACCTGTACTCCCCACACCTGTATTCCCCACACTACCGTGTACTCCCCACACCAACCTGTACTCCCCACACCTGTACTCCCCAAACTACCGTGTACTCCCCACACTACCCTTGTACTCCCCACACTACCCTGTACTCCCCAGCAACCAAGAGCTGTGTAAGGAGTTGATCGAGCAGCACCATGAGATGCTACAGGACCGCTACAGAGAAGGGCCGGGCTACGGTCTGGCTGAGAAGATCTGCCACTCGAGATGTCAGCCCCCAGAGAAGGCCAGCCCTAAAGACACGGGTGACGTCAAGGGTAACGGTGACGTCAGCAGGAAAGATGACGTGAAAAGACAGGATGACTTGGAAGAGAAAGATGAGGGGAAAGAGAATGCTGACGTCAGCAGGAAAGATGACGCCAACACAAAAGATGAGGGTAAAAAGAAAGAGGAGGTCTACAAGAAAGATGAAGTCAGCAAAAAAATTGAAGGTAAAAAGAAAGATGGCGTCAACAAAAAAGATGAAAGTAAAAAGAAAGATGACGTCAACAAGAAAGATGACGTCAGCAAGAAAGATGACGTCAACAAGAAAGAAGACAAAGATGGCGTCAAAGAAAAGAAGAAAGCAAAGAAGAAGGATGAGTTGTAATGTTATTGAACTGTTTTCAGATTTTGACCATCGACCTACCATCATGTTATTTGTTTTTACTCACTACTGCTTTCCTTCAAACTGTTTACATGTCAGTTGTCTGACTGCTGATTGTTTTACTCGAAGTTGATTCGCATTTTCACCTGTTTAGTAGCGTTGTCTTGATTTTTTTTTAAATTTATTATAAAGGTTTACACACATTTTTTTTCAAGGTTTTAATAAGAATAAATAGCAATTAATTTCACGTATCACAGTTTAATAAAACGCTATTTACTTTTTACTTCTACCGTAGACAAGTCTTATTGGTTCTTAACATTGTTGGAGGTACCGAACCCTACCCGTTTCATTTGGACATTCACCGAACCCTTGTTGATAGTTTTATGGTGCACAGTGACAACATCTGATCGCGAATCATATGAGTCGGGTGTGTTCAACATCCGCCGAACTCTTAAGACTGACTCACAGAACCCTGGGGTACGATTGAATCCAGGTTAAGAACCACTCGACGAAAGAACAAACAAAAAAGTGGGAGGGGTTCTGACCTTTACGACGATGCCTAAAATATAACAAACGTTAATTGTCCGTAAAACATCTGGCAAGGGGAGATGTTATTTTTGTTAGGTACACCATGTGATGTTAAATGTGTAATCACAATGTGATGTTAAATGTGTATCACCATGTGATGTTAAATGTGTAATCACAATGTGATGTTAAATGTGTATCACCGTGTGATGTTAAATGTGTATCACCATGTGATGTTAAATGTGTATCACCATGTGATGTTAAACGTGTATCACCGTGTGATGTTAAACGTGTATCACCGTGTGATGTTAAATGTGTATCACCGTGTGATCTTAAATGTGTATCACCGTGTGATGTTAAACGTGTATCACCATGTGATGTTAAACGTGTATCACCGTGTGATGTTAAACGTGTATCACCGTGTGATGTTAAATGTGTATCACCGTGTGATCTTAAATGTGTATCACCGTGTGATCTTAAATGTGTATCACCGTGTGATGTTAAATGTGTATCACCATGTAATGTTAAATGTGTATCACCATGTAATGTTAAATGTGTATCACCATGTAATGTTAAATGTGTATCACCATGTGATGTTAAATGTGTATCACCATGTAATGTTAAATGTGTATCACCATGTAATGTTAAATGTGTATCACCATGTAATGTTAAATGTGTATCAACATGTAATGTTAAATGTGTATCACCATGTAATGTTAAATGTGTATCACCGTGTGATGTTAAATGTGTATCACTGTGTGATGTTGTTAAATGTGTATCACCATGTGATGTTAAATGTGTATCACCATGTGATGTTAAACGTGTATCACCGTGTGATGTTAAACGTGTATCACCGTGTGATGTTAAATGTGTATCACCGTGTGATCTTAAATGTGTATCACCGTGTGATGTTAAACGTGTATCACCATGTGATGTTAAACGTGTATCACCGTGTGATGTTAAACGTGTATCACCGTGTGATGTTAAATGTGTATCACCGTGTGATCTTAAATGTGTATCACCGTGTGATCTTAAATGTGTATCACCGTGTGATGTTAAATGTGTATCACCATGTAATGTTAAATGTGTATCACCATGTAATGTTAAATGTGTATCACCATGTAATGTTAAATGTGTATCACCATGTGATGTTAAATGTGTATCACCATGTAATGTTAAATGTGTATCACCATGTAATGTTAAATGTGTATCACCATGTAATGTTAAATGTGTATCAACATGTAATGTTAAATGTGTATCACCATGTAATGTTAAATGTGTATCACCGTGTGATGTTAAATGTGTATCACTGTGTGATGTTGTTAAATGTGTATCACCATGTGTTGTTAAATGTGTATCACCGTGTGATGTTAAATGTGTATCACCGTGTGATGCTAAATGTGTATCACCATGTGATGTTAAATGTGTATCACCATGTAATGTTAAATGTGTATCACCATGTAATGTTAAATGTGTATCACCATGTAATGTTAAATGTGTATCACCATGTAATGTTAAATGTGTATCACCATGTAATGTTAAATGTGTATCACCATGTAATGTTAAATGTGTATCACCGTGTGATGTTAAATGTGTATCACTGTGTGATGTTAAATGTGTATCACCATGTGTTGTTAAATGTGTATCACCGTGTGATGTTAAATGTGTATCACCGTGTGATGCTAAATGTGTATCACCATGTGATGTTAAATGTGTATCACCGTGTGATGTTAAATGTGTATCACCGTGCGATGTTAAATGTGTATCACTATGTGATGTTAAATGTGTATCACCGTGTGATGTTAAATGTGTATCACCGTGTGGTGTTAAATGTGTATCACCGTGTGATGTTAAATGTGTATCACCGTGTGATGTTAAATGTGTATTACTGTGTGGTAATCGATTAATTTCTTCTAGTTGTAATGTCCTGTCCTCATTTATAGACATTCCCAAACAAAACATGCTATAGTGTGTATGTCCCCGTCCACCTGGGGTAAGTTCTAAACCATCTGGGACACGTTGTTTGTATTGGCGTAATACTAGACATTTCTGAGAAGTTATGTCAAAGTGTGGATATAATATAGGTACCCATTAAAGCTGGGTGACATGAGCTAGGTATCTTTGTAGATATTACTGAATTAGTAATAAAACAGATAGTGTTGTAGATATTACTGAATTAGTAATAAAACAGATAGTGTTGTAGATACTACTCAATTAGTAGTAAAACAGATAGTGTTGTAGATATTACTCAATTATTAATAAAACAGATAGTGTTGTAGATACTACTCAATTAGTAGTAAAACAGACAGTGTTGTAGATACTACTCAATAAGTAATACAACAGATAGTGTTGGTGATACTACTCATTGTAGACAAATCTAAGTAAATCAAAAGATCAAGAGTATTGAATATGTGACTTGTCAAATAGGGCCTAGCTACGTTTTTGGTAAATAATGCCTAGAGTCAGATTAGGAGACTTAGATCCTTTTGTGGCCGAAGCATTTGTGGAGGATGACTTGGGTTTGATTTGGGCAGCCATCTTGGTGTCTGTATCTTTTCCACCAGACACGTTAGTGGACGGAACCTCGGACACGGATTTAGGAGACGGCTGGTTGGGGGTGGAGGCCAGGGAGTTGTATTTGATGGACTCCTTAACGTAGGAAGCGGTTTCACTCCACATAGACGGTGTGACGTCAGCCGCGTCTTTGCCGTCCACTTGAGTCGAAGATCCGGCAGTTTGCTGGAGTTGCTTCCGTTTCTTTTTTGCCAGTTTTCTTGCGCGTTTTTTCGCGAGCTTTTTCGCAGATAGTTTCTTTTTACGGGATTCTTTTCCGGTATCTCTTTTAGCTGAAACCTTGGCTTTCTTCTTCGATCTCTTTTTACCTGTCCTTATTGTTTGTCCATCAACTTCAGATATGAAAACGCGAGTAGATTTTTTCCCTTTACGGCCTTTTTTCTTTTTCAAGGAGGTTAACTTTTTGTAGAGATTGGGTGTAGTAAGCACAAGGATTTTCTCCCCTTTCTTGTTTTTATACCTCCAGATGTAGTTCTTTCCCTTGATGGCGGAGACCATGAGCAGGAGGGTCAATCGTGTCGCCTCGTTGTACCTGTGGTCGAGAGAGGGCATTACAACTCAATGGTTTTAGTGGGGGTTTAGTGAACGTTGTAAATGATGGAGTAGAGCGAGACTAGCTTTACAACTCAATGGTTTTAGTGGGGGTTTAGTGAACGTTGTAATTGGTGTAATAGGATATTACTAGCTTTACAACTCATTGGTTTTAGTGGGGGGTTAGTTAAAAGTGTATATTTTACAAACATTAACAATAGCTTTGACATTTAAATGTTTAAAACTATGGTTCTATCCAATCGACCGCACAAAAGGAACAAATTTTATCAACAGAGCTCATTAGTAAAGAGCACCTGGCCATAACAAACAAAACCTGACCACTTGAGTAGGTGTGCGAGATGTGTGTGTCTGTGTGCGAGATATGTGTGTGTATGTGTGTATATGTGCGAGATGTGTGTGTTTGTGTGTGCGAGATGTGTGAGCGTATGTTTATATGTCTGTGTACGAGATATGTGTGTATGTGCGAGATGTGTGTGTCTGTATGCGATATATATATATATATATATATATATGTGTATGTGCGCGATGTGTGTTAGTGTGTGCGAGATGTGTGTGTTTGTGTGTGCGAGATGTGTGAGCGTGTGTTTATATGTCTGTGTGTGAGAGATGTGTGTCTCTGTACGTGATATGTGTGTATGTGTGAGATGTGTGTGCGTGTGTGTGTGAGATGTGTGTGTACCTATTCACCACAGAGCGATGAAGGCCAAGGTTATCAACCCCAACAACAAGACCGTCCACACAGAGGAGATAAACATCATGTTGGACTCTAGAATTACATGGTCAAAACTGGGTGTGTACAGGTGTGTGTTGTACAGCAATCATACTTTATATGACATTACACTTCATGTCATATACATCAGTCACGCTTCATATGACATACATACGTCACACTCCATATGACATACAGCTGTCACACTTCATATGACATCACACTTCATGTCATATACATCAGTCACGCTTCATATGACATACATACGTCACACTCCATATGACATACAGCCGTCATACTTCATATGACATCACACTTCACGTCATATACATCAGTCAGGCTTCATATGACATACATACGTCACACTCCATATGACATACAGCCGTCATACTTCATATGACATCACACTTCATGTCATATACATCAGTCGCGCTTCATATGACATACGCCTGTTACACCACTCACATACACACATATCCCACACACCTAGAATAACACCAGTCATACTCTCCACAAAGTCAACCCACACACTAGTCACATTCTTCTCATAGTTACCCCACACACCTAGACCCACACCATTCACACTCTCCACCAAGTTTTCTCACACACCTAGACACACCAGTCTCAATCTCTACCAAGTTCCCCCACACACCTAGACCCACACCATTCACACTCTCCACCAAGTTTTCTCACACACCTAGACACACCAGTCTCAATCTCTACCAAGTTCCCCCACACACCTAGACCCACACCATTCACACTCTCCACCAAGTTTTCGCACACACCTAGACACACCAGTCTCAATCTCTACCAAGTTCCCCCACACAGCTCCCACACACCGAGACCCACACCTATCTTACCTGGACAAGCCCCGTCCACACGACTCACACAGTCCACCCCACACTTTTTCTCACACATCATCTCACACATGAAGCCATACGTCCACTCCGGGCAGGCTGTTGATTGGTTGTGAAAATTTTTGTTTTCATGTCAAATTTTGGGTTGAACAGAGCTGAACATACATTTCGTATTTAGTAACCTTAACCTAACTATATTTTATATAAACCTTAACCTAACTATATTTTATATAAATCTTAACCTAACTATATTTTATATAAACCTTAACCTAACTATATTTTATATAAACCTTAGCCTAACTATATTTAATATAAATCTAAGCCAAACTATATTTTATATAAACCTAAGCCTAACTATATTTAATATAAACCTAAGCCAAACTATATTTTATATAAACCTAAGCCTAACTATATTTAATATAAACCTAAGCCAAACTATATTTTATATAAACCTAAGCCAAACTATATTTTATATAAACCTAAGCCAAACTATATTTTATATAAACCTAAGCCTAACTATATTTAATATAAATCTAAGCCAAACTATATTTTATATAAACCTAAGCCTAACTATATTTAATATAAACCTAAGCCAAACTATATTTTATATAAACCTTAGCCCAACTATATTTAATATAAACCTAAGCCAAACTATATTTTATATAAACCTAAGCCAAACTATATTTTATATAAACCTAAGCCTAACTATATTTAATATAAACCTAAGCCAAACTATATTTTATATAAACCTTAGCCTAACTATATTTTATATAAACCTTAACCTAACTATATTTTATATAAACCTTAGCTATAAAAGAACAAACAATTTTTTGTTTCATCCAGTTGCGTGTTACAGAAAGAGATATAAATAGACACGATTAGTATTCAGTGTTTCTGTCTGTCATCTCTCAGAAGGCCAAAATCCCCCCCCCCCCCTACCCACCCGGAGCACGTCTACCATCCCCATCACTGGACGAATTAGGAAAAAATATATAGAAAATAATAACAGTGATTCCCCTCTCCCCCCATCTGCCCATCGGAACTTCGAAGTGCCACCCCACCCTCCCCGCTGCGGATTAGCTCAGTTGTTTCATTCTATCGAACTGTGCCATCAGGTTGTATATATAATAAGTGAATGCCAACACAAGGACCATTATAATGGGTGAGCCAACTTCACTCCTAGTAATGTGCGTGGGCGAGAGGTGGGTCTCTCCACCCCACCCCCAATCCCCTCCCCCAAATAACGATAAAAAAAGTTACGTGTGTTGCAGGCCAGACGAGGGTCCCTCCACCCAGGCAAACACTCAGCACACGAGCCGTTGACTGGATGACAGTTGCTGACACAGTTGTCGCACCTGAAGGCACACTGGTAACCATAGCGACGCCTGGTACAGTTTGGTAATAACAGAGTTGTAAATGCTTCTTGACACGTTGGAAGAATTGCATGATCTAGATACTTTTGTTTAGCCGTCATGGTAACATTTATGTAATGCTACTTATAAATATATCAACTCCACCAATCCCTTAGAACTTACTTTGGCCACACTCCACCAATCCCTTACAACTTATTTTGGCCACACTCCACCAATCCCTTAAAACTTACTTTGGTCACACTCCACCAATCCATAAAAACTTACTTTGGCCACACTCCACCAATCCATAAAAACTTACTTTGGCCACACTCCACCAATCCCTTACAACTTACTTTGGCCACACTCCACCAATCTCTTACAACTTATTTTGGCCACACTCCACCAATCCCTTACAACTTATTTTGGCCACACTCCACCAATCCCTTACAACTTATTTTGGCCACACTCCACCAATCCCTTAAAACTTATTTTGGCCACACTCCACCAATCCCTTAAAACTTACTTTGGCCACACTCCACCAATCCCTTACAACTTATTTTGGCCACACTCCACCAATCCCTTAAAACTTACTTTGGTCACACTCCACCAATCCATAAAAACTTACTTTGGCCACACTCCACCAATCCCTTACAACTTACTTTGGCCACACTCCACCAATCTCTTACAACTTACTTTGGCCACACTCCACCAATCTCTTACAACTTACTTTGGCCACACTCCACCAATCCCTTACAACTTACTTTGGCCACACTCCACCAATCTCTTACAACTTACTTTGGTCACACTTCACCAATCCCTTACAACTTACTTTGGCCACACTCCACCAATCCCTTACAACTTACTTTGGCCACACTGCACCAATCCCTTCAACTTACTTTGGTCACACTCTCACCAATCCCTTCAACTTACTTTGGCCACACTCCACCAATCCCTTCAACTTACTTTGGCCACACTCTCACCAATCCCTTACAACTTACTTTGACCACACTCCACCAATCCCTTACAACTTACTTTGGCCACACTCCACCAATCCCTTACAACTGCTGTTATTTTTCCTGACAAAATATCCTTCACACGTTTTGCCCATATATCTAGGATTAGGGTTGTTACACGACCTGCAATAATGGAGAACTGTTACAAGAACTGAAAATAATGGAGAATTGTTACAAGAGCTAAAACTAAAACAAATGGAAAATTGTTACAATAGCTGAAAAAAATGGAGAACGATTACAAGAACTAAAACAAATGGAGGATTGTTACAAGAACTGACAAAAATGGAGAATTGTTAAAAGAACTGAAAAAAATGGAGAATTGTTACAAGAACTGAAAAATAATGGAGAATTGTTACCCAAACTGACAAAAATGGAGAATTGTTACACAAACTGACAAAAATGGAGAATTGTTACACAAACTGACAAAAATGGAGAATTGTTACAAGAACTAAAACAAATGGAGAATTGTTACAATAGCTGAAACAAATTTTTGATTGTTACAAGAGGTAAAGTAATATCTCCATACAAAGTGGCTTTTTATGTGGCAAAAATATGTAAACCATTTTTCTTACTTAGGACCAAGTTTTTTTGTAAAAAAAAAAAATTTTTAAATTTATTTATCATTAATGGTGAATTTGGTGGCAGAGTACTTTAGTGGATATATATGCTCATATGTATGCATCATGAAAAAACACACCTGAATCACGTGCACAAAACACACCTGAATCACGTGACATGTTACCTGTAAGAGATGAAGGTCGACGTCCCACACGACCCCTCACACTCCCACTCGTCCCACTCCGACCAATGGCCGTCCACTGGAATAGATTGGCCGTCTAGTGACGTCACAGAAGACATGCACAGGACAGGCTAAACTAAACACACGATTCACACCCAACAGCCATTCGTATCGAGTGTTACATAGGTGACAGCTAACCATGACGATTGTTTACATTGCTAACGGTCACATTGCAGCACAATGTTATACGTAAACAGTCATTAAGGGCTACATCGACAACAACCAATCATATCGACTGTCAGATCGACAACAACCAATCATATCGACTGAAACATTGCTAAAGTATCCAATCACACCTAGAGTAACATTAAATCTAAAAGTCAAATCGAATGAAGCAACACCAACCAACCAAACAAATCATCAACGACATCTTCGTCAATGAGGCCATCATTGTCATCATCTGTGGAGACAAAGCAGCATCAACCGTAGACATGTACCAGCAACATCAACCTTAGACATGTACCAGCAACATCAACTGTAGACATGTACCAACAACATCAACCGTAGACATGTACCAGCAACATCAACCGTAGACATGTACCAGCAACATCAACCGTAGACATGTACCAGCTACATCAATTTTAGACATGTACCAGCAACATCAACCGTAGACATGTACCAGCAACATCAACTGTAGACATGTACCAGCAACATCAACTGTAGACATGTACCAACAACATCAACCGTAGACATGTACCAGCAACATCAACCGTAGACATGTACCAGCAACATCAACCGTAGACATGTATCAGCAGCTACATTGCTTTTATTCTCTTGCTCACAAGCACTGAACGCATCAAACCTGACAAGTTGTTCCACAACACAAGATCAAACCTGACTAGTTGATACACAACACAAGATCAAACCTGACAAGTTGATACACAACACAAGATCCAACCTGACTAGGTGATACACAACACAAGATCAAACCTGACAAGTTGTTCCACAACACAAGATCAAACCTGACTAGTTGTTCCACAACACGAGATCAAACCTGACTAGTTGTTTCACAACACAAGATCAAACCTGACTAGTTGTTTCACAACACAAGATCAAACCTGACTAGGTGATACACAAGATCAAACCTGACTAGTTGCTACACAACACAAGATCAAACCTGACTAGTTGATACACAAACTGGAAAGAAGATGGGGAGTCAGGAAAGCTGCAACCTTCTGGTAAAATCAGCCAGCTTCTGTTGTTCTCCTTGTGGATTGTTTGAACTGATTGACTGAGTGCTAGGCACTCTCTTATGTGTTAGTGTTTTTTTTTACCTCGTGAATTAAAAGATCAACTGGCGTGCACAAGAAGTTTTGTTGCTAAGCGTATTGTAGCTATAAATTAGATCAACAATGACACATTGCTGTAGAGTTCTTTTAAAATGATTTGCTATGTTTGTTTTCTATCACGCTTTACACAAACATCATGGATCCTGGACTGTGAGCTCAAAGCGGGACCGAACTAGAATAGCCTATAAGTTAAGATTGCATACCATGTTTATGGTTAAGATTGCGCACCATGGTTTTAAAGAGTAAGCGCAGTACGCGATAATAAACGACTGTATTTACACCATTTTATCTACTAACAACATTTTAAAATGTGTCATTGTTGATCAAATTTGTAGCTACAATACGCTTAGCAACAAAACTTCTTGTGCACAGAAGCTAGCTGATTTTACCAGAAGGTTGCAGCTTTCCTGACTCCCCATCTTCTGTACAGTCAACTAGTCAGGTTTGATCTTGTGTTGTGTATCAACTAGTCAGGTTTGATCTTGTGTTGTGTATCAACTAGTCAGGTTTGATCTTGTGTTGTGTATCAACCTGTCAGGTTTGATCTTGTGTTGTGTATCAACTAGTCAGGTTTGATCTTGTGTTGTGTATCAACTAGTCAGGTTTGATCTTGTGTTGTGTATCAACTAGTCAGGTTTGATCTTGTGTTGTGTATCTACTAGTCAGGTTTGATCTTGTGTTGTGTATCAACTAGTCAGGTTTGATCTTGTGTTGTGTATCAACTAGTCAGGTTTGATCTTGTGTTGTGTATCAACTAGTCAGGTTTGATCTTGTGTTGTGTATCAACTAGTCAGGTTTGATCTTGTGTTGTGTATCAACTTGTCAGGTTTGATCTTGTGTATCACCTAGTCAGGTTTGATCTTGTGTTGTGTATCAACTAGTCAGGTTTGATCTTGTGTTGTGTATCAACTATTCAGGTTTGATCTTGTGTTGTGTATCAACTAGTCAGGTTTGATCTTGTGTTGTGTATCAACTAGTCAGGTTTGATCTTGTGTTGTGTATCAACTAGTCAGGTTTGATCTTGTGTTGTGTATCACCTAGTCAGGTTTGATCTTGTGTTGTGTATCAACTAGTCAGGTTTGATCTTGTGTTGTGTATCTACTAGTCAGGTTGATCTTGTGTTGTGTATCAACTAGTCAGGTTTGATCTTGTGTTGTGTATCTACTAGTCAGGTTGATCTTGTGTTGTGTATCAACTAGTCAGGTTTGATCTTGTGTTGTGTATCAACTAGTCAGGTTTGATCTTGTGTTGTGAAACAACTAGTCAGGTTTGATCTTGTGTTGTGAAACAACTAGTCAGGTTTGATCTTGTGTATCAACTAGTCAGGTTTGATCTTGTGTATCAACTAGTCAGGTTTGATCTTGTGTATCAACTAGTCAGGTTTGATCTTGTGTTGTGTATCAACTAGTCAGGTTTGATCTTGTGTTGTGTATTATAATTATGACATATAGATCTAGATCTATTTAAATTTATGAAACTCAATCGTCCAGAAGTTTACTTGGTAATAAAATACATATTTACTTTTACAAACAATATTTAATATTTAACATCGGCAGATTTTTAATAGTTCATGTACCATGTATATCTAATTCAGACATGTTCCAAACGTTCTAAAATATTCATTAACACATTCCATCTAATTCTAATCACTATAGGAATGTGTTTGAAACGATAGGAAACAACTGCAGTTAATTTTTTACGCTCAGAGCGGTGGATGCTAATGTTAGAGACGCTGGATTGTTAAGCTACACACGACAGTGTTGTGACGAAAATATTACAACTTTTTTATTCTTGGGTGTGCGAAACATCAAAAGTAATACATTAGTCCACTTAAAGTTTTTTAAACAAATACATCATGTTATGTTCATTAGATGCTGAAATGGGCTCTAAAGCTTCGAAAAGCAAACGTGACGAACCGACTAATCTTGAACCTGGTCAATCAGGTATAGAATAATTTATACCATAATCTTTTTTAATTAAGTACTACTGATTATCATGTACGTAATTTGTCCTCGTCAGTCCCTGTGGAGTAAAGGGCTGCAACAAATCTCCGCCATTCCACTCTGTCCTGGGCGAGCAACTTCAATTCATGCCAGGTCTTGCCAATAGCCTGCACTTCTTCCATCTCTCTCCTCTAAGCTCCCACTTTATCATTTAATTGCTTCTTATCAAGAGACCACATCAGGCTCTTAGACGTCAGTGATCATCCGTTTATATATATATATATATATATATATATATATATATATATATATATATATATATATATATATATATATGTATATATATATATGTATGTATATATATATACTTGTGTTATAAAAGATGTTAGTACTGTGATCTTAAACACGATAGTTTTACTTTAAGGATACAAACGTACCCCACACCAGTGGTTCCCGAACAGAGCAGTATCGCTACCTGAGGATGGGAGTGTTTGCGTTGGTGTTTCAGGTTGGTGTTTGGGTTGGTGTTTCAGGTTGGTGTTTGGGTTGGTGTTTGGGTTGGTGTTTGGGTTGGTGTTTCAGGTTGGTGTTTGGGTTGGTGTTTTAGGTTGGTGTTTGGGTTGGTGTTTGGGTTGGTGTTTGGGTTGGTGTTTCAGGTTGGTGTTTGGGTTGGTGTTTCAGGTTGGTGTTTGGGTTGGTGTTTGGGTTGGTGTTTGGGTTGGTGTTTCGGTTGGTGTTTGGGTTGGTGTTTCAGGTTGGTGTTTGGGTTGGTGTTTCAGGTTGGTGTTAGGGTTGGTGTTAGGGAATTATATTCAGATGTCTGTTAAAGTTGTATGGGGAAGTAGGCAACATAAAACAGGGACGTACACTAGAGCATGCTCTTGGCGTGGTGATAATCTCCATATGGCCGTACACATGGAACAGATTTTAGATTATACTAGCTGTGATTGCTGTAGCTGTGATTGCTGTAGATCTGATGGCTGTAGCTGTGATTTCTGTAGCTGTGATTGCTGTTGTTGTGATTAATGTAGCTATGATTTATGTAGCTGTAAATGATGTAGATGTTTTTACTGTATCTATGTTATATGCAGCTTTTATTATTTTAGCTGTGGTTGATATAGAGTTAATTGCTGTAGCTGTGATTGATGTAGCTGTGATATATTAAACTGTGACTACTCTAGCTGTTATCGATGTAGCTCTCATTGTTGTAGCTGTCATTGATGTAGCTGTAATTGATGTAGCTGTCATTGATGTAGCTGTCATTGATTTAGCTGTCATTCATGTAGCTGTCATTGATGTAGCTGTCATTGATGTAGCTGTAATTGATGTAGCTGTAATTGGTGTAGCTGTCATTGATTTAGCTGTCATTCATGTAGCTGTCATTGATGTAGCTGTAATTGATGTAGCTATCATTAATGTAGCTCTGTAAGTCACGAATCTGAGTGCGGCAAGCAGCCTAGAAAATCTTGCAAAATATTTTCCCCATCTAAATTTACACGAATGGGAGTGAGGTAAAGCATAGATTGACATTTTGAGATGTTCACAACATTAGAAGAAATCAATCTAATCAATTTCCTTCTTTTTAGCGCAATTTCCATTCTGTAAATTGCGTTTATAAACCCGTCATTTCTGGATGGATGTATGAATGATTGTGCGTACGCAGCTTTAAGTCGTATCTCCTCCTCAACGAAGCAATATCGAGGACCAGTTCCAAAGCAATTATGTTAAGCAAGTTACGAGGATGAACATAGGCCATAAAAATTCCGGGTTTCTTTCGTGGATTTCCCGGAAAAGCCAAAAAAACTTAAAAAAATGCATTTTTTTTGCCCATATCTCGGCAACCAGACCACTTAGCGACTTGAAACATGTACCAATCGATTTCTGCCATAATTTAGAACAATATTGCCGAAGAAAGTTTTCAAAAATATCCTTTCGTTCGGTCACAAAATAATTTTTTGAATTAATTAAAATTTTGACCGAATTAGTAGGCATTTTTATTCAACCACAACACACGCGTCATCACGTTCAATAGCTGCGCCATCAAGTTCAATGGCTGCGACATCACGTTCGGTAGCTAGGCGCGCAATGGTTTTTAGTCATGTAACTCTATTGTAAATAAAACATGTAAATAATGAAAATAAAAATTAATAAAAAACATTTTAATAACTAACCAATGGTTTTACCAACCCTGCTCTTGATTTACGTCACGACAGAGCTATTTTTAGATAACATAAGGAAATTGCGCTTAAATGTCACTAGACTTTTTAATTAACTTGTTTTCTTTCCTTGTAGAAACGAAAGGTGTATCAGATGAGCTTAAAACTTCATTGGACCGGATTCTCGACCTAAACGATGTCTCATCAAATGATAGCTTATTCAAGTACCTCTGGGGTAGGGTTTAAATATTTGATTAAACTCTTTTACATTTCACACTTTTTTTCTACTCATATTAATCAAGAGAGGACAAAATTTCCACCTTAATTTTTGTTGCATCTTTAAATATCGTCTAACTCCTGTTTTAAAAATAATGTTCACTAATATTAAAATAAATGTGGTTATACAAACTTGAGGTATAGCTTGTGGGATGAGTTGGTCTTCGTTTACTTCCATAAACACAAACACACACACATATATATATATATATATATATATATATATATATATATATATATATATATATATATATATATATAAAGCAATGTATGTATATATATAAAGCAATGTATGTGTGTGTGTTTGACCTTTATGCATTATTAAACGAAGACATGATTTGTTTTTCTCAATATACGGTATATAAAAATAAAAGTCGATTTCGGTTTGACACCGTTCACCAGATCACTATCAAACTTTGGGAAGTTGACGAGATTTGTTTGAAATTTAAATTTTTGTTCGACAAAAATTATGAAAGTTTACATCGATGTTGATTGTACTATAATTAATGCTATAATAGTGATTTTGAGCGCAATTTCATTTTCCATTGCAACAATCTTTTTTCCCATGGAACGTAAGAAGCAAATAGTATATTTCAAATAACTAAAATTTTTAAATAATGACTAATAATTGAGTTTTTAAAGTATATTTTTTTATATCCTAATGTTTTCTTTATTTACATTTGTGTTATATATATATATATATATATATATATATATATATATATATATATATATATATATATATATATATATATATATATATATATATATATGTATGTACATATTTACATATAAACATATATACAATAATAATGCCCCTTCTTCCACATACATAGATGGCTCCAATATAAATACTAGCAGAGGACGTACTGTGAGCCACCGAAAGTCGAGGGTAAGTCTGTATAAGAGTTCGTATTATAGAATTTATTTTGATGGTTTGTTTAGTAGCATGTAAGGTGATATGCATGCATTACATTTAAATATGGTACGAGAGGCTCAAATATTATTTGACAGGATTTTTAGTAAATCTAGTAACTTAATTACAAACCCTTTTTAATTCTGCGATTTCGTAACTTTCCATATACATTCATCCCTGGTGACACTGAAATAATTTCACATGTTGAGTCTATTAGACATTAGATTAGTCATTATATATCTCATTAATTATCCCTAACGAATATGAAGGGGGAGGTGGAAGGATTATAAACTATCAACTGCTTGACAACGATGAACTGGTTAGTTTTTTGCTTGAGATGCACCCACGGACAAATAATGTGTAGATAACTGTCTTTTAGAGATCGCAAGTTACTGATCATGTTTTAAAACTATTATCTACGGAGATACAAATTTTGCTGGAGTGAAAACATTGTTCTATTCCTATTTGCTGCCACTAAATGTTTTTACTGAACAAATATGAGAGGAAACTACTTATTCTACTATAACATTTCAAAATTTAGTTTTATAATTTTAATTTTTAAAAAAGCAAATTTTTTAAAAGTTGGTTTTTCGCTCGATCTGAAACTTGCGCTGTTGTTTTTAACCAAGAATTTCCGAAATAGCTGCCATGTGAACATATTAAGTAGTGATAGATTTTTGTTATATTGATTGTGATAGTTCACCCCCCCCCCCCCTCACCTACATATTGAAATATACTTAAATTTAGTTTTGGCTATAATTTTTTTCCCTTCCATTGTCTACATTATAATATTGCTTTTTAGCAGGATTTCTTTATTTTTATTTTTTAAAACTTATATAATTCTGCATTGCAAATTGAAATGTCATGTCATTTTATGTTTATTTTAAGACAAAATTAAAATCTTTATTTTAGTCAATTAGGCCTTTTGTTGAGTTCAATTTAAATAGTCCACGCACCACTTTAATATAGCTATAATATTGTAAATAAAACGTTGCCAATATTACCCTGAACTTTAGTATAGCTATAATATAGTAAATAAAACGTTGCCAAAATGTATTACCCTGAACTTTAAACGACGATCATTTCTTCTCAACCGCTTCAAGCTATTGCTTCCTTCATTAGTACTTCGGACTCCCTTGTTTTGGGTTAGTGGTGGACCTTGGTCAGTAGACGACCTACTAGGTGGACCTTGGTCAGTAGACGACCTACTGGGTGGACCTTGGTCAGTAGACGACCTACTGGGTGGACCTTGGTCAGTAGACGACCTACTAGGTGGACCTTGGTCAGTAGACGACCTACTGGGTGGACCTTGGTCAGTAGACGACCTACTGGGTGGACCTTGGTCAGTAGACTGGGTGGACCTTGGTCAGTAGACGACCTACTGGGTGGACCTTGGTCAGTAGACGACCTACTGGGTGGACCTTGGTCAGTAGACGACCTACTGTGTGGACTTTGGTCAGTAGACTGGGTGGACCTTGGTCAGTAGACGACCTACTGGGTGGACCTTGGTCAGTAGACTGGGTGGACCTTGGTCAGTAGACGACCGACTGGGTGGTTCTTGGTCAGTAGACGACCTACTGGGTGGACCTTGGTCAGTAGACGACCTACTAGATGGACCTTGGTCAGTAGACGACCTACTGGGTGGACCTTGGTCAGTAGACTGGGTGGACCTTGGTCAGTAGACGACCTACTGGTTGGACCTTGGTCAGTAGACGACCTACTGGGTGGACCTTGGTCAGTAGACTGGGTGGACCTTGGACAGTAGACGACCTACTGGGTGGACCTTGGTCAGTAGACTGGGTGGATCTTGGTCAGTAGACTGGGTGGACCTTGGTCAGTAGACGACCTACTGGGTCGACCTTGGTCAGTAGACGACCTACTGGGTGGACCTTGGTCAGTAGACTGGGTGGATCTTGGTCAGTAGACGACCTACTGGGTGGACCTTGGTCAGTAGACTGGGTGGATCTTGGTCAGTAGACGACCTACTGGGTGGACCTTGGTCAGTAGACGACCTACTGGGTGGACCTTGGTCAGTAGACGACCTACTGGGTGAACCTTGGTCAGTAGATGACCTACTGGGTGGACCTTGGTCAGTAGACGACCTACTGGGTGGACCTTGGTCAGTAGACTACCTACTGGTTGGACCTTGGTCAGTAGACTGGGTGGACCTTGGTCAGTAGACTGGGTGGACCATGGTCAGTAGACGACCTACTGGGTGGACCTTGGTCAGTAGACCTACTTGGTGGACCTTGGTCAGTAGACGACCTACTGGGTGGACCTTGGTCAGTAGACGACCTACTGGGTGGACCTTGGTCAGTAGACTTGGTGGACCTTGGTCAGTAGATGACCTACTGGGTGGACCTTGGTCAGTATACTGGGTGGACCTTGGTCAGTAGACTGGGTGGACCTTGGTCAGTAGACGACCTACTGGGTGGACCTTGGCCAGTAGACGACCTACTGGGTGGACCTTGGTCAGTAGACGACCTACTGGATGGACCTTGGTCAGTAGACGACCTACTGGGTGGACCTTGGTCAGTAGACGACCTACTCGGTGAACCTTGGTCAGTAGACTGGGTGGACCTTGGTCAGTAGACGACCTACTGGGTGGACCTTGGTCAGTAGACGACCTACTGGGTGGACCTTGGTCAGTAGACGACCTTCTGGGTGAACCTTGGTCAATAGACGAACTAATGGGTGGACCTTGGTCAGTAGACGACCTACTGGGTGGACCTTGGTCAGTAGACTTGGTGGACCTTGGTCAGTAGATGACCTACTGGGTGGACCTTGGTCAGTAGACGACCTACTGGGTGGACCTTGGTCAGTAGACTGGGTGGACCTTGGTCAGTAGACGACCTACTGGGTGGACCTTGGTCAGTAGACGACCTACTGGGTGGACCTTGGTCAGTAGACTGGGTGGACCTTGGTCAGTAGACTGGGTGGACCTTGGTCAGTAGATGACCTACTGGGTAGACCTTGGTCAGTAGACGACCTACTAGGTGGACCTTGGTCAGTAGACTACCTACTGGGTGGACCTTGGTCAGTAGACCTACTGGGTGGACATTGGTCAGTAGACTGGGTGGACCTTGGTCAGTAGACGACCTACTGGGTGGACCTTGGTCAGTAGACCTACTGGGTGGACCTTGGTCAGTAGACTAGGTGGACCTTGGTCAGTAGACGACCTTCTAGGTGGACCTTGGTCAATAGACGAACTAATGGGTGGACCTTGGTCAGTAGACGACCTACTGGGTGGACCTTGGTCAGTAGACTTGGTGGACCTTGGTCAGTAGATGACCTACTGGGTGGACCTTGGTCAGTAGACTGGGTGGACCTTGGTCAGTAGATGACCTACTGGGTAGACCTTGGTCAGTAGACGACCTACTGGGTGGACCTTGGTCAGTAGACTACCTACTGGGTGGACCTTGGTCAGTAGACTGGGTGGACCTTGGTCAGTAGACTGGGTGGACCATGGTCAGTAGACGAACTACTGGGTGGACCTTGGTAAGTAGACCTACTGGGTGGACCTTGGTCAGTAGACGAGCTACTGGGTGGACCTTGGTCAGTAGACGACCTTCTAGGTGGACCTTGGTCAATAGACGACCTACTGGGTGGACCTTGGTCAGTTAACGACCTACTTTCTCGACCCCGTTAACCGAGCATGTGGTTTTCGTTCTACAGCTAGACCATGCCGTTCTTCAGCTAGACCATGCCGTTCTACAGCTAGACCATGCCGTTCTACAGCTAGACCATGCCGTTCTACAGCTAGACCATGCCGTTCTACAGCTAGACCATGCCGTTCTACAGCTAGACCATGCCGTTCTACAGCTAGACCATGCCGTTCTACAGCTAGACCATGCCGTTCTACAGCTAGACCATGCCGTTCTACAGCTAGACCATGCCGTTCTACAGCTAGACCATGCTGTTCTACAGCTAGACCATGCTGTTCTACAGCTAGACCATGCTGTTCTACAGCTAGACCATGCCGTTCTACAGCTAGACCATGCCGTTCTACAGCTAGACCGTGCTGTTCTACAGCTAGACCATGCCGTTCTACAGCTAGACCATGCTGTTCTACAGCTAGACCATGCCGTTCTACAGCTAGACCATGCTGTTCTACAGCTAGACCATGCTGTTCTACAGCTAGACCATGCTGTTCTACAGCTAGACCATTCTGTTCTACAGCTAGACCATGCTGTTCTACAGCTAGACCATGCCGTTCTACAGCTAGACCATGCCGTTCTACAGCTAGACTATGCTGTTCTACAGCTAGACCATGCTGTTCTACAGCTAGACCATGCTGTTCTACAGCTAGACCATGCCGTTCTACAGCTAGACCATGCTGTTCTACAGCTAGACCATGCTGTTCTACAGCTAGACCATGCTGTTCTCCAGAAACGGTCGATGTTGGATTAGATTTAAATAACGTACAATTTTAATAACGTTAAATTTTAATAACGGTAGATTTTAATAACGGTAGATTTTAATAAGTTTAGATTTTAATGACGTTAAATTTTAACAAAGTTGAGACGTTCATTACTTTCAGCATTAATGTCTTTGCATATTAAAATAAATAGTTTATTAAGGATTAATACCAAATTACACAATTTATAGAGGAGGCAGTCTGTAAGATGTAATCATGGGTAATAGATATAGAGGAAGGGGGGAAGGCGGCTGATCTATATGTTAATATATTAACAATTTCTGCAACTAGACTATCTACTACAAATGAGGACTGAATTGGCTTATTTTGATGTGTTCAATAACTTTACTCAAGTCTATGGTTATACAAACCACATTGGATGAGAAAAAACAAAAACATAACTGATTCGTCTATCATTAAAGTCTACCGTTAATACTAAATTATTTCCTTCTTATCTTTGCCTAGCGTTAAAATCAAAATTGATGCTTTTTATCTAATCACCTCCTACCCACCCTCGACATGTCAACTACGTCATTCTGCTCATACTCACACCACACATATTCTATATCAACAAACATATTCAAGTCGATACACTCTAACCCATTATTTATTTCATCCGTAATTATTATGTAGCCGTAATAGCAATTAAGTCATCAATCGACTGTTTAGTGGGAAGTGACACTGTGTATACATTGTTATGTAACATGTTATTATACCAAATGTGTTTGCAACATGAACTTCTTTTTTTCCAAGTGCATACCACCTAAGATTGATTTGCTAATGATTGGGAAAACCGGAAACGGAAAAAGTTCCACTGGAAATAGCATCTTAAGAAAACGGACGTTCCAAAGCGGGTCAACCACGTCTTCGTTAAAACAAAGTTTCTATAGTGGGACAACAGAACACAACGGTCGTCAGTTAAAAGTCGTGGACGGTCTGACATTCTGTGACACCAGGCTGGACAGTGCACGGTCAGTTGAGGAGACAACTGAGTCCGCTAAACTGGCTCTGGCAGCCAATCCTGAAGGATATCACGCTTTTCTTCTTGTGCTTAAATATGGCAAGAGGTTCACTCGAGAAGAACATGCCTCGGTTGATACCTTAAAAAAGGTTTTTGGCGATAATTTCCTAAGAAAATACGGAATCCTTATTATAACTTATGGGGATATTTTCAAGGAAGAACAACGTGGAAAGATTGACAAAAGAACGACCTTCTCCCAATGGTGCGAAAAACAAGACGGCGCCTTTAAAGATTTGCTTGAAGAATGTGACAATAGGGTCATCTTATTCAACAACAGCACTCAGGCCAAACGGGTTAAAGTCAAACAAATTGAAAAATTAATAAAAAATATCGATAAGTTACTTAGCGCTCGCCGCTTTACCAACAAGCGCTTGGAAAGAGTTCAGATCCAAAATCAGATCCAGCCTGCCACGTATTCACCACTTGACTACCCAGATTCTCCACCCAAAGATAAAAGTGAGGAATACGAAAATCTGAGAAAAGAGCTCGAACTTATTAAGAAAAAACAACAAGAAATCGAAGAGAATTTCCAGAAAAAATTTGAAGAAATTGAGCAGAGAATGCAAGACAAAAAAGGCAATTGTCGAGAGACAGCACAGGTATTGGAACATGAGACAGTAGACTTAGTCACACTTTACAAGATGTTGAGTCAAACCAATACTGTCCAGGTCATTCTTGCCAAGATGGAAGAATTATCAGGAGGTTTTCGAGACCTGACTCAAACCTTGGAAACTCGACAAAAACAGGTTTCTGATGAAAGCGCTTTCTCTCGTAGATGTATTGAAGAAATACAACAAAGTCGACAACATAAAGAAGAAATGAAACAGGTCTTCGATAAAGAGCTGAAAAATCAAAGGGATGATTATGAAAATCAGACTGAGGACTTAAAAGGCTATGAGCAACAGCGTAGGGAAATAGAACGCAATCACCAGAAGAGGTTTGAAGATCTGGTGCAACAGAGGCGAGACACAGAGCGCGGACCTCAAAGGATTCCCAGAGTAATGGAACAGGCAGGACAAGCACAGCAAGAAGGGGGAACGTTAGACCTCAAAAATAATCTTTCTTAAAGCCTGAAACCGGTTCATGAAGAACTGAAGCAGGTGGAGAAGGCACAGATAAACTTAAGTCAGCGAATGTCAGGTGACTTAAGTCAGCAAATGTCTTAAGTTCAGGTTAGAATTCCAGTGTTTCTTTAACTGTGTGTCACTAATGAGCTTTGTAAGTCAAAGTTCCGTTACTTTATACAGGTGTTGGCACCATAACGCACGTGTTATTTAGGTGGCGGAGTTGTTTTTCTCATATTCTAATTGCAAAAAGACAAACTTATTTTACTTTTTAAATATTGTAAAGAAAATGTTTTTTTTTCCGAATTCACCATTTAAAAAAAAATCTGTTCTGTTCAGTTCAGTTAATTAATTGACTTAATTAAGCGTATAAAGAAGACAGTCTACACTGTGTTATTAAAAGTATCAAAACCGTTGCAATAAATTTGTATTTCTTTCTTTCCTTCTATTTGGCCTTACAGTGTTTCTTCCAGACTTTTTTCTCCGGGGGGGCACTTGAAATCTTCGGGGGGGGCGGTAAACTTTCTTCGGGGGGGCGGACACTGTTAAAAGTATATATTTTCTATATAAATTATATAAATTTCATTTCGTTCGGGGGGGCGGTAAAAAATTTTCGGGGGGGCTTCGCCCCCCCGAAGAGATGCCTGGAAGAAACTGTGCTTATGGTTGAAATGTTAACACCTGTTTGGTGTTGTACTTTATTCTTTTTAGGTATTACATTAATTCACAGTGGACCCTCGAGCACGGTTATCACTGTCACAATAGTTTACATTTACTTAATTCAAAACTTCGATTTCACAATAATTGTTAATCCTCAGGGTGGATGAAAGAAGGCAGTGATTTAAACTTCAGTTGTCGTGAAAATTTGGGCAAAAGAATTGTGTATGAGAGGATGACTTATTAAAGAACAGAGTTAGCTAAAGAACACTCTTTAGGCTGAATATTAAAATACATTGAACGCTCCACGTATATAATCATTTAATCGAATAACCAATCAATAAAAAATTTTGGCAAACATTACAAAATCGAATTTGTAAATTATAGCCTGTTGGAAATATTACTATAAAATAAATTTTTATAAATATTTTACATTAAGAAACGCTAGAAATTATTTTAAAATAACGTTTTCGTCGGTATCCTTGTACATCCCTGTATGGATACAGACACGATGCTACGAGCTGTGGAATAGACCACCATGCAGGGTTTTGAATAACTTTTACGGTGTTCAAGTATCTGTGTGGCAGGTACACATTAGAGCATCAATAGTCAGGGAGACACGGTGTTCAAGTATCTTTGTGGCAGGTACACATTAGAGCATCAATAGTCAGGGTGACACGGTGTTCAAGTATCTGTGTGGCAGGTACACATTAGAGCATCAATAGTCAGGGTGACACGGTGTTCAAGTATCTGTGTGGCAGGTACACATTAGAGCATCAATAGTCAGGGAGACACGGTGTTCAAGTATCTTTGTGGCAGGTACACATTAGAGCATCAATAGTCAGGGTGACACGGTGTTCAAGTATCTTTGTGGCAGGTACACATTAGAGCATCAATAGTCAGGGTGACACGGTGTTCAAGTATCTTTGTGGCAGGTACACATTAGAGCATCAATAGTCAGGGAGACTCAGGTATCAACGATCAAACCTGACTAGTTGATACATAGCCTAAACACAAGTTCAGAACGGACTAGTTGATACATAGCCTAAACACAAGTTCGGAACTGACTAGTTGATACATAGCCTAAACACAAGTTCAGAACTGACTAGTTGATACATAGCCTAAACACAAGTTCAGAACGGACTAGTTGATACATAACCTAAACACAAGTTCAGAACTGACTAGTTGATACATAGCCTAAACACAAGTTCAGAACGGACTAGTTGATACATAGCCTAAACACAAGTTCAGAACTGACTAGTTGATACATAGCCTAAACACAAGTTCAGAACGGACTAGTTGATACATAGCCTAAACACAAGTTCAGAACGGACTAGTTGATACATAACCTAAACACAAGTTCAGAACTGACTAGTTGATACATAGACTAAACACAAGTTAAGAACTGACTAGTTGATACATAGCCTAAACACAAGTTCAAAACTGACTAGTTGATACATAGCCTAAACACAAGTTCAGAACTGACTAGTTGATACATAGCCTAAACACAAGTTCAGAACGGACTAGTTGATACATAACCTAAACACAAGTTCAGAACTGACTAGTTGATACATAGACTAAACACAAGTTCAGAACTGACTAGTTGATACATAGCCTAAACACAAGTTCAGAACGGACTAGTTGATACATAGCCTAAACACAAGTTCAGAACTGACTAGTTGATACATAGCCTAAACACAAGTTCAGAACTGACTAGTTGATACATAACCTAAGCACAAGTTCAGAACTGACTAGTTGATACATAGCCTAAACACAAGTTCAGAACTGACTAGTTGATACATAGCCTAAACACAAGTTCAGAACTGACTAGTTGATACATAGCCTAAACACAAGTTCAGAACGGACTAGTTGATACATAACCTAAACACAAGTTCAGAACTGACTAGTTGATACACAGACTCGGTGGGGAGTCAGGGCGAAACGTTACAACAATCTTAATAAAACCAAATAAATCACCAGATGTAATATGTGTTAGATCCAAGTAAATTGCTACAATAGTTGTGTAAGTAAAGCCACCATGAAAACTGTGTGTGGGACTCTGAACATTATACCATCAGTGGCGGAACTAGAAAAAAAGGGCCACCCCGCAAAAAGAATTTTTAGCCCCCCCCCTATATATATATATATATATATATTTATATATATATATATATATATATATATATATATATATATATATATATATATATATATATATATATATATATATATATAAAACACAAAATACGAACATAGGATACTCATTGCAGGCCTGTTCGGGTTTTAATTTTAAAAAAAAGTTTTTTTTTAATTAAAACAAATTACAACAACATGTCATGTGTGTAAGTGCATTAGTGTGTTCTGTGAAAATCGGTTTTATTCTATCTCTGCTATAAGACCTCATTACCTCTAGTTGGTCAAAAGAATATAAACCATGAAAGCTTTGTATAAGTAATGGTGTCGTGTTATGTTTATGTTTATTTTTTTGTTATTTATATTATTAATATTAATTACATTTCCTTTTTATACAGTGTCATTCTTTAAGTACTTTATAAAAAAATGATAATTCAGAGAAATAATTGCTTTTAAATTTGTTTAGTACAAATCTATTACAAGGAGCTTATGAGCACCCCTATTTGACTATTTAAAAAAGGGAAATAAGTAATGGAAGTGGCGTAAACGTTTGCTTATCTTTGATAAGTTTGATTGTAGGAGAAAGAGGACGGCTTTCAGAGTTGTTTAAAAACAAAGGTAAAGAGAATATACAAGAGCGTGGGGTGGTGTCTATAGAATAAAGATAATACAACCGCAGCTACGGTTATCTTTTTTACAAAACAACCATCAAGTCAAAAATGCACGAAAATTAATTTTTTTAACTATAAAAAATTGATTATGGTCGGCTGTGGGCCCCTAAATGGCGTGCCCCCCCCCCCCCCCCCCCCCCGCATTGCGGGGTCTGGCGGCACTGTAGTTCCGCCCCTGTATACCATGGAATTTTAAAATTACGCCACGCATGCGTGTTAAAAAATTCACTTGGCTATGTTAGGCCAATCAACCATGGCCTATATAACCGCTTATATTGTTGCTGTGGTGGTATTGGTTAAATCTGTCATTATCGTTTTTGACATCTCAGCGTCCTGACATCAGATGAAAATTGTTCCAAAAGTCTAACTTTGCCAAGTGTCGTCTCTATAGGTGGGTTCTAGATCTAGCTCTAAATGAATTCCACTCCACAAAACAGCTAAAGTGTTACTGGTAGTTTGAGCTGGTAAACAATCGGCCAAGAAATAAAATAATATATGTGTGACTTCGCACCATGATTAGAAAAGCTAGCACAGTTTTGACTACTATCATTGTTATCAACTGCAAATGAACGGATGTGTACTTCGTTTCGTTTTAAAGAACGCCATTTATTACTTACCTTCTTTTTAATTACAGGTTTTCAAAGTGGAAACTGCAGGTTTAAGTGGTGAATATAACGCTTGAATGTTTACTATTTATTTAGCATAGTTGGATGTTTAAATATATTATTGAAATATGTACTAGCACGTCTTTATAAGTATTTAGCGCCGTAAGCCGAACGCACTTTAATTAATTTTATTTTAATCTAATGGTTAAATCTAGTGGGTTAATCTAATCCGATCTAGTTAAAATGAGAGGCACCAACCACAGTCAGAACGATCTAGATCTAGACTATATAATATCAACAGAGTAGTGATTTCGTTGCTTCTGTTAGTTTCTCTTTTCGTATATTAAGAAATGGAACATTGCTGTGTTGAACATTTAGAATGTTGATTAAATCAAACTGTTCTTTATGATTTATTGTTTTCAGTTTTCGTATAAAGTATAATCTATAGAATAATTAAGATGTGTAGATTAGCCAAGCAGTTTTTCTGTAGTGGGGGATGGGGGTGGGGTAATAAGTCGAACACATAGACCTACTATATGGGCTTTGGCAAGTACATTAACTATATAGTACTAATATATGTTTGGGTGAGGACATACACCATATAGTCCTATGTAAAGCCTTAGTTTAGTGTCGTAAATTCCAACGAAGCTAGTAATGTGCGGTGGTTGTAACCAGTCAAAAGTATCCTGGAATCAACTTTAAACTACCCTGTTCGAGACAATAATAAGTAAATACGAGCAGCGGCCTTGTTTCAAAAACAATAAAAGAATAGTTTCCCTTGAAAAATTGTGTATTCGCGTGTATGTTGTGTTGATTTTGTGGTTAAATATGTTAGGTTTGTATTGTTTTAATATATGCCTGTATAGTAATTTTTTTTTTAATATAGTTGAAATAAATTACTAATAGACCTTTTCAGACTAATAACTGTCAACACAAGACGACAACAATTGTTCGGAGGTCGAACTTTTGAACGCTTTTTGCAGTAATCCAACCAATATTAGATCGCCCATAAATGACGTCACTTTTACGGGGTTAACACAGCGTGCACTATTACAGAACAAATATAATGATGAACCTATTTTTTTAGATAGAAATTGTGATTTGTGGTGGGGAGAGGTTGAGTAGAACTCAGCGATGTGATTTTTGAGAAGTCAGGTTTTTTCGTGTGTTGAAAACTGGGGATTGTTGTGGGGGAAAGGCACGCTGCAAAGGAATGACGTCATTCATTGGTGATACATTTAGGCCTAACTGAAGGCTAAGTGGTTGGCTTTTACTATCAAAACATCCTTAATTATTTGAATACTACAGTTTTCTGTAACCGATTTGTTTGCTTCTAGCTTTTATTAAATTTTTTATATATCTCTGTGGTCGATTTCCACCCCCCCCCCCCACCCACGACTTATCATTACAAATATACTCATATTTAAAGCCATGTTCATTAATTCTCTCTCGCCCACATTACTAGTTTTGGCCGAATTTACGACTAAGGTTTTACCTAGTCCTACCATCTGGGTGTTGTGAGTACATAGACCACATACACTGTTAGTACTTTAGTAAATATACGCTAGTAAATGTAAAGTTGTAGATAGAGTTTTAACTATTAGCAAAATAAACTGTTAAATTAATTACACGATCATAATCAATGTTTATTTCAAGGAGAGAAAAAAATCGCAATAAGTCGTAACGATGGTAACGGTCGAATTTTGCCGGAGAAAGTGTGACGTTTTAAAATTGCAAGCAGGTGTATAGCAAAGTATCCATCGTGCATATGTTGGTAAAATTGTCCACTCTTTGACGTACAATTACAGATAAAACGTTTGAATGGTTTTCTATCGGTATTTGATTGTTGAAGCATTTACCCCCCCCCCCCCCCTAGTGATCAAAACTGTTCAGAAAATTAATGCAACATAAACTCTACTTACATGTGTCATTAATATTTATTGTATTTTAGCCCCAGCCGTTTGCTAGATGAGAACAAAAGGAAAATGGATTACGTCAGAGAGTATTTGGTTTACGCCTAGTTGAAAAATCTACTCGTGTATCGCTATGTTCGATTTATGTAAAAAACTAAATCTTTGTCAGAAACTTTTTATAGGGATGAGATATCTCACGATCATTGAGAGTATAATATAAAATATGTGAACTATCTGATATCATAAGGAACGTTTCTATGATATTAACATGTCTGTTAAGCTATTTTCTACACTTAAATGTCCAGCAGATAATATCAGTTCGATATGTGACATGGAGCCTATTGTCTTGGTAGTAATATCAGTAATAACACCACAGTATGGCTGAGGGGTACAGAGGTAGAGAGCGCTAATATCAACGTTCTGTACTAGAGTTCCAGTCTCCCCAATGTAAACACACATCAGGCATAAATACTATCAATTCTAAGTGTGAAAAACATGATGAAACTAAGATCATATATTCAATTCGGAAAGTTTTATTATTGTGTGTAGAATATTACGAATACAATCAATATATAAATGCGTATGTTTTGTTAGGTAAACATTGTTCTTCATATACAATTATTTTATATACAATTATTTTATATTTATTATGTTTCTGTTTTTCTCTAAAAAATAATGAACAATAAAGCTAGGATCGATCTTCTCCTAATCGGGAAAACTGGAAATGGTAAGAGTGCGACGAGAAACAGCATCGTACGAAAAACGAAATTTGCAAGCGGCCCTAGTACATCATCGTTAACCCAAAACATTGACAACGCGATGACAGAATACAACGGTCGTCAGATAAAAGTCGTAGATGGTCTGACAATTTGTGATACCAGACTGGACGATGAGGGGTCAGCTGAGAAGTTAAACGAGGCCACCAAGTTGGCTCTGGCAGCCAATCCTGAAGGCTATCATGCTTTTCTTCTCGTCCTGAAATACGGCAATATGTTCACACGTAAAGAAAAGGATGCGGTTGTGTTGTTAACGAAAATATTCGGAGATGATTTTGTTCGTAAATTTTGTATTTTAATCTTGACATGCGGAGATGTTTTTCATCAAGATCATGAGGAAACAGATCCAGTAGGATTGGACTTCTCAGAGTGGTGCCAAAAACAAGATGGCGCCTTTAAGGATTTGCTTGAGGAGTGCTGCCATAGAGTGATTTTGTTTGACAACAAAACCAAAGACGAGTGGCAAATAACTGAACAAATCGACCAGTTGATTGAAATGGTCGATGTGTTGGTGTTTCGTGATCGACGATATACAGAAGCAAATTATAAGAATGTCCAGAAAACTAAAGACCGCATCACCAAACCTAGACAACCTTGGATAACCGTCAAGACCGTGCAACCAGCGATCCCAAATGTTCATCCAAGACAAGCCACACCAAACTCTGTTGATACAGTAGACGTAATCCCTCGCAACAGGATGCTGAGTCTAACTACATCCGTGCATGACACACTGGAAAAATAGGAAGAATTTTCAGGGACTATTATTAGAAACATGGAATCTCCACAATTAAAGATTTCCGATGCAAGAGCTGAAATAAGGAAAAAAATGCGACAACGGGAAGCAGAAAGGAGACAGATGATGTCTTAATTACAATTGGACAAGCCTACAGAAACATATGAAAACCGGTGTGAAAGACGAGACTTACAAAGCGTAAGAAAAAATACTATCACAGATTCTAACACTTTATAAAAATAGGAATAATATATAATTACAATTATAAAAATAGTTATAAAAAAGAGGAAAGTGGATAAAAAAAGCAGCTGAAGAGCTTGCTGCAGTTACGGGAATCTATGATGCGTTTGTCCTATATGTAAATATTCAGGTATCAGTGATTTTCTAGAGTTCAGACATGTGAACTAATGGTATGTTCTTTCATGGCGTTTTAAGTCGTTACTCCAATAACATATCAGGGTGGGTGTGTTTAAGGTGACATTTTACAAATGAGATTACTTTGTGGCACATTCTTAAGCATTTTTTATCGTAGTGATATCGTTAGTTCGTTACCCTAATGTATTATCATATTAGTTGTGTTAAGTTTATTAAGTAAAACGTTGGCGTTCTATTCTTTAATCGCAATTTGTTATGACTGTCTACCTATCACCTTTCAATGAAAGGAAATGTATGTGTATAACCGTGTGGTGTTAAATGTGTATCACCGTGTGATGTTAAATGTGTATCACAGTGTGATGTTAAATGTGTATCACCGTATGATGTTAAATGTGTATCACCATGTGATGTAAAATGTGTATCACCGTGTGATGTTAAATGTGTATCACTGCGTGGTAATCGATTGATTTCTTCTAGTTATAGAGCCCTGTCCCAAACAAAACTTGCTATGGTGTGTATGTCCCCGTCCATCTGGGGTAAGTTCTAAACCACCTAGGACATGTTGCTTATATTGACGTAATACTACACAGTTCTGGGAAGTTATGTCAAAGTGTGGATATAATATAGGCCCATTAAAGCTGGGTGACATGAGCTAGGTATCTTTGTAGATATTACTCAATTAGTAATAAAACAGATAGTGTTGTAGATACTACTCAATTAGTAGTAAAACAGATAGTGTTGTAGATACTACTCAGTATGGCGGTGGAGTGAGGCTGAATGTTGTTGTAAAGAAATAAGTCGGCTTTGATCTTGGTAAATAAGTGATAATAACAAAACGAATCTATTTTTTTAAAAAGTATTTTAGTCATAATTTTAGCAAGTATCAATGATCTATTTTAGGGTATGTTACAAATTAGCCCTGAAATATCTCCGTTGAAACCAGATTTAAGAATTGATCAAGGGAGTATAATTTTAATCGCTATGAAGACATGGGAAAGGAGGGGGGGGGGCTTAAATCATTGTAGACAAATGTAAGTAAATCAAAAGATCAGAAGTATTGAATATGTCACTTGTCAAATAGGGCCTAGCTACGTTTTTGGTAAATAATGCCTAGAGTCAGATTAGGCAAATAAGGCCAGCTCATTATGTAAATATGTCTTAGATTCTATTAGGGCCCCATACTTTACTGCTAAACATCGTCCCAGTAGGGCCCTTTAAAGGTTCGTAAAGTACTTAAAAACAGAGAGATATTTTACGCACACGCATTTTTAATTTTATCTTTTCACACAGACATTCACTAAATCTTGTCACACACACCGCCCAAGAAATGTGGATTACTCGTCAAAAATATGTACACACTTTTAGGAAAGTGTACACAATTTGTTTTGATCTGGCTCTGTGGTAGTTGAACCTTGAGCAGGTTCTGCTTTAGGGGGAAGGTCGGCTTTGGCTTCTGTCGTACCAAACGGTGACTTGACAGTAGACGCTGAAGGAAGGTGTTCGGCTTTGGCTTCCGTCGTACCAAACGGTGCCTGGACAGTAGACGCTGCCGGGGAAGAGGCTTTAGATTTAGTTTTTGGGCTGCCCATTGTTTGAGATGCCTGGGCAGAGGATACGTAGGTGGATGGGGGTTTGGATTTGGCTTTAGGAGGTATATTGGTATAAGATCCTTTTGTAGAAGGGGGTTGAGACTTGGTTTTGGGAGAGTCGATTTTCGGAGAAGGGGGTTGAGACTTGGTTTTGGGAGAGTCGATTTTCGGAGAAGGGGGTTGAGACTTGGTTTTGGGAGAGGGGATTTTCGGAGAAGGTGGTTCAGATTTGCTTTTAGGAGAGTGGATTTTCAAAGAAGGGGGTTCAGATTTGCGTCTGGTAGAGACAATGTTCGGAGAAGGGGGTTCAAATATGTTTTTAGGAGACTCTGGAGATTTAGATCCTTTGGTGGCCGAAGCATTTGTAGAGGATGACTTGGTTTTGATTTGGGCGGCCATCTTGGTGTCTGTATCTTTTCCACCAGACACGTTAGTGGACGGAACCTCGGACACGGATTTAGGGGAGGGCTGGTTGGGGGTGGAGGCCAGGGAGTTGTATTTGATGGACTCCTTGACGTAGGAAGTGATCTCACTCCACATAGACGGTGTGACGTCAGCCGCGTCTTTGCCGTCCACTTGAGTCGAAGATCCGGCAGTTTGCTGGAGTTGCTTCCGTTTCTTTTTTGCCAGTTTTCTCGCGCGTTTTTTCGCGAGCTTTTTCGCAGATAGTTTCTTTTTACGGAATTTTTTCCCGGTATCTCCTTTAGCTGAAGCCTTGGCTTTCTTCTTCTTCTTCGATCTCTTTTTACCTGTCCTTATTGTTTGGCCATCAACTTCAGATAAGAAAACACGAGTAGATTTTTTCCCTTTACGGCCTTTTTTCTTTTTCGTTGAGGTTAACTTTTTGTAGAGATTGGGGGTAGTCAGCACAAGGATTTTCTCCCCTTTCTTGTTTTTATACCTCCAGATGTAGTTCTTTCCCTTGATGGCGGAGACCATGAGCAGGAGGGTCAAGCGTGTCGCCTCGTTGTACCTGTGGTTGAGAGAGGGCATTACAACTCAATGGTTTTAGTGGGGGTTTAGTGAACGTTGTAAATGGTGTAGTTGGATAAGATTAGCTTTACAACTCAATGAGGGTTTAGTGGGGGTTTAGTGAACGTTGTAAATAATGTAGTAGGACAAGATTAGCTTTACAACTCAATGGTTTTAGTGGGGGTTTAGTCAACAATGTAAATGATGTAGTAGAGCGAGACTAGCTTTAAAATAAAAATGTTTAGTTATGTATTAGTTACAAGTGTATTTTTTACGAGCATTAACACTAACTTTGAGATGTGAATGTTTAAAACTATGGTTCTATCCAATAAAACGCACAAAATAAACTCCGGTTAACAACAGGGCTCATTAGTAAAGAGTACCTTACCATAACAAACTGAACTTGATGTGTGTGTGTTTGTGTGTGTGTGCGAGATGTGTGTGTCTGTGTGTGTTTGTGTGAGCGAGATGTGTGTGCGAGATGTGTGTACCTACTCACCACAAAGCGATGAAGGCCAAGGTTATCAACCCCAACAACAAGACCGTCCAAACAGAGGAGATAAACATCATGTTGGACTCTAGAATTACATGGTCAAACTTGGTTTGTACAGGTGTATGTTGGTCGGTAGTGTATGCTGTACAGCCGTCATACTTCATATGACATCACACTTCACGTCATATACATCAGTCACGCTTCATATGACATACATACGTCACACTCCATATGACATACAGCCGTCATACTTCATATGACATCACACTTCATGTCATATACATCAGTCGCGCTTCATATGACATACGCCTGTCACCCCACTCACACACACACGTATCCCACACACCTAGAATAACACCAGCCATACTCTCCACAAAGTCGACCCACACACCTCCCACACACCTTGACCCACACCTATCTTACCTGGACAAGCCCCGTCCACACGACTCACACAGTCCACCCCACACTTTTTCTCACACATCATCTCACACCTGAAGCCATACGTCCACTCCGGGCAGGCTGTGGATTGGTTGGAAAAACATTTTTTACGAGAAAAATTTTAACTTTTTTTTTAAGTGTCAAAGTTTGAGTTTGACAGAGCTGAACACACACCCCTTACATAGTAACCCTATCCTAACTGTATTTTATAATACCTTAACTATAAAAACTACTTTTTTTCATCTAGTTGTGAGTTACAAAACGATATATAAAAAGACAGACACGATTAGTAATTAGTGTTTCTGTCAGGCATTCTTCTGGAGGTTACCCCCCCCACCTCCCCCATCCGTCCAACGGAACTTTGAAGTGCCACCATCACCCTCCCCGCTGTAGATTAGCTCAGTTGTTTAATTCTATCGAACTGGTCCATCATGTTGTATATATAATAAGTGAATGCCAACACAAGGACCATTATGATGGGCGAGCCAACCTCACTCCTAGTAATGTGCGTGGGCGAGAGGTGGGTCTCTCCACCCCACCCCCAATCCCCTCCCCCAAATAACGATAAAAAAAAAGTTACGTGTGTTGCATGCCAGACGAGGGTCCCTCCACCCAGGCAAACACTCAGCACACGAGCCGTTGACTGGATGACAGTTGCTGACACAGTTGTCGCACGTGAAGGCACACTGGTAACCATAGCGACGCCTTGTACAGTCTGGTAATAACAGAGTTGTAAATGGTTCTTGACATGTTTGAAGAATTGCATGATCTAGATACTTTTTTGTAGCCGTCATGGTAACATTTATGTAATGTTACTTATAAATATTGCAACTCCACCAATCCCTTAAAACTTACTTTGGCCACACTCCACCAATCCCTTACAACTTACTTTGACCACACTCCACCAATCCCTTAAAACTTATTTTGACCACACTCCACCAATCCATAAAAACTTACTTTGGCCACACTCCACCAATCCCTTACAACTTACTTTGGCCACACTCCACCAATCCCTTACAACTTACTTTGGCCACACTCCACCAATCCATAAAAACTTACTTTGGCCACACTCCACCAATCCCTTACAACTTACTTTGGCCACACTCCACCAATCCCTTCAACTTACTTTGGCCACACTCCACCAATCCATAAAAACGTACTTTGGCCACACTCCACCAATCCCTTCAACTTACTTTGGCCACACTCGACCAATCCCTTACAACTGCTGTTGTTTTTCCTGACAAAATATCCTTCACACGTTTTGCCCATATATCTAGGCTTAGGGTTGTTACACGACCTGCAATAATGGAGAACTGTTACAAGAACTGAAAATAATGGAGAACTGTTACAAGAACTGTAACAAATGGAGAATTGTTACAAGAGCTAAAACAAATGGAGAATTATTACAATAGCTGAAAAAATTGGAGAATTGTTACACAAACTGAAAAAAATGGAGAACGGTTACAAGAACTAAAACTAATGGAGGATTGTTACAAGAACTGACAAAAATGGAGAATTGCTAAAAGAACTGACAAAAATGGAGAATTGTTACAAGAACTGAAAAATAATGGAGAATTGTTTCACAAACTGACAAAAAGGGAGAATTGTTACAAGAACTGAAAATAATGGAGAATTGTTACACAAACTGACAAAAATGGAGAATTGTTACACAAACTGACAAAAATGGAGAATTGTTACAAGAACTGAAAAATAATGGAGAATTGTTTCATAAACTGACAAAAAGGGAGAATTGTTACAAGAACTGAAAATAATGGAGAATTGTTACACAAACTGACAAAAATGGAGAATTGTTACACAAACTGACAAAAATGGAGAATTGTTACAAGAACTGAAAAATAATGGAGAATTGTTTCATAAACTGACAAAAAGGGAGAATTGTTACAAGAACTGAAAATAATGGAGAATTGTTACACAAACTGACAAAAAGGGAGAATTGTTACAAGAACTGAAAATAATGGGGAATTGTTACACAAACTGACAAAAATGGAGAATTGTTACACAAACTGACAAAAATGGAGAATTGTTACAAGAACTGAAAAATAATGGAGAATTGTTACAAGAGCTAAAACTAAAACAAATGGAAAATTGTTACAATAGCTGAAAAAAATGGAGATTTGTTACACAAACTGAAAAAAATGGAGAACGGTTACAAGAACTAAAACTAATGGAGGATTGTTACAAGAACTGACAAAAATGGAGAATTGCTAAAAGAACTGACAAAAATGGAGAATCGTTACAAGAACTGAAAATAATGGAGAACTGTTACAAGAACTAAAACAAATGGAGAATTGTTACAATAGCTGAAACAAATTGTTGATTGTTACAAGAGGCAAAGTAATATCTCCATACAAAGTGGCTTTTTATGTGGCAAAAAAATGTAAACCATTTTTCTTACTTAGGACCAAGTTTTTTTGTAAAAATAAATTTTTTAAATTTATTTATCATTAATGGTGAATTTGGTGGCAGAGTACTTTAGTGGATATATATGCTCATATGTATGTGTCATGAAAAAACACACCTGAATCACGTGCACAAAACACACCTGAATCACGTGACATGTTACCTGTAAGAGATGAAGGTCGACGTCCCACACGACCCCTCACACTCCCACTCGTCCCACTCCGACCAATGGCCGTCCACTGAAATAGATTGGCCGTCTAGTGACGTCACAGAAGACACGCACAGGACAGGCTAAGGTAAACACACGATTCACACCCAACAGCCATTCGTATCGAGTGTTACATAGGTGACAGCTAACCATGACGATTGTTTACATTGCTAACAGTCACATCGCATCACAATGTTATACTGTAAACAGTCCTTAAGGGCTACATCGACAACAACCAATCATATCGACTGTAAGATCGACAACAACCAATCATATCGACTGAAACATTGACTACAACCAATCATATCGATTATAACATTGCTAATATATCCAATCACACATAGAGTAACATTAAAATCTAAAAGTCAAATCGAATGAAGCAACACCAACCAACCAAACAAATCATCAACGACATCTTCGTCAATGAGGCCATCATTGTCATCATCTGTGAAGACAAAGCAACATTAACCGTAGACATGTACCAGCAACATCAACCGTAGACATGTACCATCACGCCAACAACTAATTAACCTGCTCGGGATAACTACCAACAAACACGTTTGACTTACTCTAGGTGTTGTATAGAAGGACAAGGATGTGGGTTGCGTGTAGCACAAGTGTGAAGCTAATTAGTTGTGTAATCATTAGTGATATGCGACAAATCAATAAGGTCTCACCTTGGTTATTCAATAGCTCTTCATCGATCGAACCGTCACAATCATTATCGATGAGGTCTGATTGGCGTATTACCCGAGTGCTCTCATCACAATAGTTCTATTAAAATATTGATTGTTAATTTAATAATTAAAATATTGATTGTTAATTTAATAATTAAAATATTGATTGTTAATTTAATAATTAAAATATTGATTGTTAATTTAATAATTAAAATATTGATTGTTAATTTAATAATTAAAATATTGATTGTTAATTTAATAATTAAAATATTGATCGTTTATTTGATTATTGAAATATTGATTGTTAATTTAATAATTAAAATATTGATTGTTAATTTAATAATTAAAATATTGATCGTTTATTTGATTATTGAAATATTGATTGTTCCTTTAATAATTAAAATATTGATTGTTTATTTAATAATTAAATATTGATTGTTTATTTGATAATTATATATTGATAGTTTATTTGATAATTAAAATATCGATTGTTTATTTAATAAATAAAATATTGCTTGTTTATTTAATAACTAACATAATGCATAATTAACATTTAAACATATGGCAAAATTTAAAACATATTTGTTCATTACTAAAGTAGTTTTCAATAAAAAAAAATTGTATGAAAAATTGATGTTTTGACTTCTTGAAATAAATGAAAATTCCCACCAACTGATATTTTAATATCCGAAATGACAATGTGGGGTGACGCCCCCTGCACCACCCCTTGCGACGCCACAGTTTCTCGTCACCCAGTTTAACAACAGTAAAGTTAAAGTGAAAACTAAAAATAGCACACACGGTTGTGAAGTCTGTCAGGATGAGACCCCGTGTCTGTATGTAGGTCATGTCGTCATCAAAGCTGTACAGGTAGCAGCCGAAGCCGTGCTTCCGGCCGTGGAGGTGAGCGTAGCTGGTGTCCGCATCAATCTCCAAGCTGGTCGTTCTCCACGCTCTGTCGCCCATGAAGGTTTGCCAGATCTGTAGTCTAGAGAAGGTCAAGGACGACTTTAGAGAAGGTCAAGGACGACTTTAGTCTAGACAAGGTCAAGGACGACTTTAGAGAAGGTCAAGTATGGCTTTAGTCTAGACAAGGTCAAGTATGGCAAGTCTAGAGAGGGTCACCTATGACTTTAGTCTAGAGAAGGTCAAGTACAACCTTAGTCTAGAGAAGGTAAAGTTTTACTTTAGTCTAGACAAGGTCAAGGACGACTTTAGAGAAGGTCAAGGACGACTTTAGTCTAGAGAAGGTCAAGTATGACTTTAGTCTAGAGAAGGTCAAGTATGACTTTAGTCTAGAGAAGGTCAAGCATGACTTTAGACAGGGTAAAGTATGACTAGAGTCTAGAGAAGGTCAAGTACAACCTTAGTCTAGAGAAGGTCAAGTATGGCTTTAGTATAGTGAAGTTCAATTATGGCTTTAGACTGGGTCAAGTATGACTTTAGTCTAGAGAAGGTCAAGTATGACTTTAGACTAGGTCAAGTATGACTTTAGTCTAGAGAAGGTAAAGTACAACTTTAGTCTAGAGAAGGTAGACTTTAGTCTAGAGAAGGTAAAGTGCAACTTCGGTCTAGAAAAGGTAAAGTATAACTTCAGTCTAGCGATGGTAAAATATACCTATAACTTGAGTCTAGAGAAAATAAAGCAGAACCTTCAAAAGTGACGGTCTATGAACGAGTTATATTAGATAAACTAATTGTCTATCAAGCAATCAGAGTTTCTTCCAGGCATCTCTTCGGGGGGGGGGGGGGGGGGGCTCAGCCCCCCCCCCCCCCCCGAAAAATTTTTACCGCCCCCCCGAACGAAATGAAATTTATATAATTTATATAGGAAATATATACTTTTAACAGTGTCCGCCCCCCCGAAGAAAGTTTACCGCCCCCCCCCCGAAGATTTCAAGTGCCCCCCCCCCCCCCGGAGAAAAAAGTCTGGAAGAAACACTGCAAGCAATAGACTTGTTAATTCTTGCTTTCAACGACACAATTCCCACAAGTCAACTACCCATTAGATATAAATAGAGAAAACGAGGTATAGAAAAACAAAATTTCAGTAGACAACTCAGT